GACGTTGATTCTAAATGTGGCGGGAAAAACCGGAGGACCGGGAGAAAAATCCACGCAACCGCTGTTCTTACCACGCGGTTTTCCCTTTTTCCTCAGCTCGCCTTTGAGTCTCTGGCCGTGATTGGCAATGCGCTGAGCCTGCTGGAAGTCGGGCAGATAGCGGTTTGCAGGTAAGAGCTTGTCTACCCACCGTGCCCGTGGTTCTTTAACGCATGCAGACAAAATGACCGTTCTCCGTGGAGCCCGCTGACTGTTGGGGCAAGTGCTGTTAGCATGGTTCCTATTAAGGCCGACATGGTCACTCCCACCCAGATGCCTTTGTTTCCCTCCCCTGTCTTGTTGTTTATACACCATGCTCATTTAAGGTTCAGCTAATCGAGGGGAGGCCAAATACACGTTCTGAAACCACTTGCATACTTTTGTTAAGCTGGGAATTGAATCCAAGTCTTTGGATTCACGGCACAGCGTGTGAATGACTGTGCCCCACCACGCACACAAAGCAGGCATACACACCCATGCATCCACACGCACATATGTGCATACACAAAGCAAAGACAAAGGTCCCCCGTATAGCCTTAGCAGACTTTTGGGGCTGTTCGCGAGCACCTATAAAGGCCGGCACGGCACACGAGAGGGAGGTTGGGTGGCCCTCAACACACGCAAACGCTGATGGACAAACACTCCGCGCTTGCCCTCCCCGTGCCGCCCCTCAGCTTCGGGGAGACGATGCGCCTGCTGCACCCCTTCCACGAGCCGTTCACGGAGCAGGGCGGCGCCGCCGTGTTGCGCAGCTGCACCTTCCAGCAGAAGAAGACTCACATCGCCCAGGTGACGAACGCCCCGGTTCCACGGCTCCAGAATCTCCATTCGTGCTGCCGCGGTCATCTCGAACCAGCCTTGGAAATGATTCACAGCCCCACCCACCCGACCGCCTACTCACACCCACTCAACCCGGCCACCCAGTCAATCCATCTAGCCACCCAACCACCATGCTTCAAAGAAACAATTTTGGCGTTGCGATAAAACTCAAGATTCTAATTCTTTTTGTACGTTTTGTATCTTGCCCTTGGTAAAAGTCCCAGCTGTACCTCCCACTCTTTGTCTCTCTCCTTCCACGGATGTGTATGTGATGGAGCCCGATGGCAGAGTGGCCTTTTTAATGATTTCCAGTCGAGGTTTATTATAACTTTGAAAGACAACCCAGAGCACATTTGTAAACATGTTTTACGCTGACAACTTCCCGTCGCCTTTCATACCGCTAGTTAACTTCCAAGGACAAACGCGTGTCAGAATGTGTTGCAGAATCCATGCGTCGCGCAATAGCTGAGCTTTTGCTAACACCTGATGATGCTCTGTGTATTCTCCAGCGAAATGTTGCGTCGAAAAAAATCTAAACATTTTGCTTGCTTTCCGGCACTCCGCTCTGCTAAAAGAAGCAACAAATAAATTTGGCATCTTTGCCCATGTGACAACTTTATTTGATTAGTGCTGTGGAGGGTGGCGGAAAAAATCGTTGACAATTGGCATTGTACCTACGCAATCTAAACCCTCCCCACCCCCCAAAAAAAACGAATTATGAATGAGAACCCAGTGCGTCTCATTGCGTGGATGCTGTCGGTGGTTCCCCGTTGCGATGCCGCCGAGTTCACCTGCGTTCACCTGCGTTTACCCGTGCGTGTTTCGTTTGCTTTCAGTTTCTGGAGGAGGCGACGAGGATGTTTCTCTCTGCGCGGCAGAACCAGCAAAGTGGAATTAAAGGCGCCCTGGGTGAGTCCGACCAATCTGAGACAAACACCACAACTCTATACGTGCAGTTTTGACAAGCGCTTGCAAAAAATGAACCACAATACCTTACTGGTCTCGTCAAGGAGCATAAACCATCACCTGAACTCCAGTCAAACTCTCAGCAATGGCTTTTGGCTTGCCATCGAACAAAGAAAGCCACTGCATCACACGCTTTCAGATGCTCTTCTGCGGCCGTCTGGAATGCTCTTTCGATATTAGGAAGCCACTGGAGCGATGCAGTTTTAAATCTAGATTTTAAAACTCATCTCTAACAACTGCTTTTTGTGTTTAGTTTGTTGTCCTTCCACCGCACCTCCGATTGGCACGATTGGCTATATACAGTGTAAAAGAAGTTCAACATACGACAAATAATATCTGGAAGGTGATATTGCAGAACTAGTTCTGAGATCATTCAATTGACTCATCCATAATGCCCAAAGCATATTGCTCTAACTTCACGAGGCTCACGCACATCGTCTCCGTGTCTCTCCTGGCTGCGCTGACCTCAATCTGGGATCGCCCCGTTGCGCCGGCTGTGACCTGGCTGGCAAACCCGCTCACCCATCGCCTCCCTGCGCCTCGTCCTCGCAGAGACGTCGCAGCTGCTCCTGGTCGTGTCGGACGGCCGGGGGCTTTTCCTCGAGGGGAAGCAGCGCGTGCAGGCGGCGATCCGCGCCGCCCGGGATGCCGGCGTCTTCCTCATTTTCGTCGCCCTCGACAACCCGGACAGCAAGGTGAGCGAGTGGCGCGCGTGTCCTGCCCCGTCTCTCCGTGCACGCCTCGAACCACTGCACGCCTCCGCAACTGCATTAATAGCACAGGCGAAGCATTGATTGGCCAAGAACGTGCAGTTATCCTGTATTTTGTGGGATTTTTTAAAAATGTGTTGTGTGTCTCTCTACATACGAGGGTTACCACAATGTTTTGCCAGCGACAGCTCCGATATTCTCACTCCCACGTCATTCCTTTCTTGTACGGCAGCGTCCGCGTCAATTCCATGAATTATTCTTGGCAGTTATATTTACCATAGCAACAACCACTACTGGCAGATAAGTCCCAACCAAATTTCAAAACTCACGACGACAAGAGGTAGGCTGGACATTGCGATTACCTCTCGCACTCCTTGCATCTCACTCGTAGACACGCCACACATCCACCTCACCCATCCCGATTCCTCAAAAGCAGTCACTCTCGCTCGCATAAATTCCTGAGCCCGTACACATCCCAGTTGCCCTCCACCAGCGTCTTGCACTCCACCGTGGTCTTGTGAAACGTAAAGATTTTACCGTTGGCATTCGCCAACTCGGCAGATTCTGCCGACCGCCCTTGCTCTCTCTTGACCCCCTTACGTACCCCCGTCCCACGCTCCCCGGCCTCCAGGACTCGCTGCTCGACATTAAAGTGCCGATCTTCGGGGGTCCCGGGACGCTGCCCGAGATCCGCTCTTACATGGACGAGTTCCCGTTCCCGTTCTACGTCGTCCTGCGCGACGTCAACGCACTCCCCGAGACGCTGAGCGACGCCCTCCGCCAGTGGTTCGAGCTCGTGACGGCGTCCGATCACTGAGATCGTCGACACGGCGCGGAGGCAAAGAGGAGAGATGCGGGGTGAAGGTTTGGCGATGTCGAGCGGGTGGGGAGGATGGGCGGTGGGGGGGGGACTTGGCGAGGGAGAGGAGACGGTGGCTGGGGAGGGGAAGAGGCCTTGGGGTGAGAAAAGGATTGGGCAAGAAAGCTGAAATAAAGATGGGGGAAAAAATCATGCACACGCATGGATTTAGTCATTCTTCCCAACATGAATTTTTCTTTGGAAGTATTTAATTAGCAGTACTGAAGCCGACAGGTGGTTGTCAGGGTTAAATGTGTTGGCATATTTGAAAATAGTCCTTTTTGGCTTGATTTGTGCCACCCATGTCTTGGACAACGTGTTGGTGAATGTTGCTGGTTTTTTTCAGTAGGTTAAGTCCCGAATAGCGACACAACTTTATATTACAGCTTGGTTCATATTGGATCATCTTCGAGATAATTATTTTATTTCCCCTTTATGGACAGGTAGAGATGGAGCCAATGTGGAAAATGCTTTTAACCTTAGTTGGAAAGCATTACAAGCTAAGTTAGGAAATGTAAGGAGAGGGGAAAAGTTGGCGAAGATGAAACCACAGCATCAAGTTAACGTACCGTTTGAAACCTTGTGGTAACTTACATATGCAACGTGGGTTTAGCATTGTTACTGCATCACTGTACAATGTGTTTACCTCAAATAAGCGTTAACCATTGTGTCACGTGTCCTCAGCCCTTTTAATAATAATGATAATAATAAAAGACGAATTCTGCATCACCGTGCCCTCCTGTGCTTACTCAGGGTCATTTTCTTATTCACGGCTCAGCTCGGGCTCAGCGTCTAACATGTCCCAGCTCAGACCTGAGCCACTCGGCTGCTTCCTAAGATGCACGTGGGGCTCGGCCGTGGCTCGGGGCGCTGCGGTGGGGAGATGTTAACTCGATTCGTTGATGTGCAGGAGGTCGTGGGTTGGATCCCCCAACGCTGACGCCTGTATATTTGGAGTTTGCTTGTTCTCCCCGTGGTCGCGTGGATTTTTCTCCGGCACACCGGTTTATCCCTCCACATGTAGAAACGTGCGTTTAAGAGTATTTGGCTGCTCTAGATTTCCACACTATAAGCTACTTTGTTGAGCTATCATTTGTGGCCAGGTCGCTCATGAAAACGAGCTGAACAGCTCAGTGGGGCCTCACCTCGTAAAATATTTTTTTTTTAGGCTCAGCTCACGGAAATCCTAACCGTTGCTGGGATCGTGCTCAGAGCCGGCTCAAGTTAACCATGCCTTCGAGCCCGCTCACTTGAGCCAGAGCCTAGCCTAAGCCGAGCCATGACGAAGCATCCAGGCCTCTTAGTATTCCCGTCTTAGGTTGGCCTTGAGGAGGTTTGAGCACAGTCACCAGGCAGGCGGGGGACGTTTTGGGATTGTGAAGGAAAGTGGGAGCCCAAGGCTTTGTGCTCTAAAGTGGCAGAGTGCTGTGTGTGACATGGGGAAGTCAGGAGGCTGTGTGAATGTGGAGCCCACTTGTCTCCAGGATGTGCGCGCGTGCGCCTCTTTGCCTCCCCCCTTTATCACGCCCACTCGCACACAAGTGGTGGCATTCGTGCCGCCTCAGCATTTTGAAGGATGGCAGTGAAAAAAAACACAGTGCTCCAAGTTTTAATGAAAACGTGTATTGTACGATTTCGAGTGACGACGACAATGGCACTACTTGTGTCAAAACAAGACTTTGTAACAAACAAAAATTGAGAATGTAAACAGACAATACATAATTCGTTCATTTTTGGTCAGATCCGTCTAGCTATGCCAGTGTTTTTTTTTATGATAATCTTCCTGACATAACCTACACGATATCATCCAAACAAAACTAACGAGCCTTTTGCCCATCAAAGGACGGGTGTATTTCAGTAGATCTGAAACTTGCAAGCGAAAAGCAGAGCGTGAAGTGATATTGCATCAATTCGTGTGCAATTTGTAAGGCCGCGGTGACTACAGACATTTTATTTAAAGGTTATAATCCCTTGTTCATCATGACGTCCTTTTTACTTCGATGTCTCAACAGCAGTACGGAGATCACGTGACGTGAGGGTTCTGCCTTTGTCGTGAGGGTTGTAAGGGGGAGTGACGTCACCCACTAAATATGAATGGGAGGGGGTGTCCATTTGGAAGATTGATGTGGGGGCCTGTTCGATGTGGAGTGACGTCACCTGCTCATTATTGGTGAGGGGGAGGGGTGCTATATGTGGAGTGACGTCGTCTGCTCATGATTATTAATGAGGGGCAGGGATCCATGTGGAGGACGTCACCTGTTCATGATTATTAATGAGGGGGGCTGGCCGACGTGGAGTGACGTCACGCGCGGGACACACAGACATTCTTGGCTCATCGTCGTAAATTCTGCATCGTGACCAGGGTATCGGCAACCTGTGTCTCCAGAGCCACATTGCGGCTCTTTAAAGACGGCTTCGTGACGTTATTATGTTAGGGTCGCCGTCGCGTATTTACATGCGTTGTGGCTGTTCAAGTGTTGAGGTTTTTTTTACCGAATTCAAAAAAAAACGGCTCTTGTTATATTGGTTTCCGACCCCTGATAATGACATTGTATGTGAAAGCCAATTGTCGATCACGAACTATCTACAATTTTTGTGTTACGCTCCGTTAAAGCTATTAAAAAAAAGAACAACCGTTGCAAGTTCAAATTAGTTAAAATACATTATTATTGGCCCCATCCAACTTTTACTGTATAAAAGAGTAATACGTTCACAACAATAAAAAAAAATATAAACCAATCCTTGCCGGCTCAAAGTTGTACCACAGGGAGCAAGCAAGTCATTGTTGAATTCCACTCCAAAACGACACTGGGGGAGACTCGGGATCATATAAATAACGACGAGGTTGGATCTCCGCAGTTTTCCCGCGTTCATCGCTGGCAAGGCAGATTGGTGTGGCCGCACACGACACGGTCGGTGGTGTGGAGGCCGGCCAGTCCGGCCGGGCAGACGGACGGACGCCTCAACGGAAGCAATCGACGGCTGGCGAGAGCCAGATGTTGAAGGCGACTGCGGCCAGGGTGCAGATGGCGAAGCCGACGAGGCACACCCAGAAGCGAGGGTCCTTCACGAGGCTCTGGTCGTAGCTGGTGAACACCACGTAGCCCATGGACACGCCCGCCAGCCCGCCCGCTATGTGAGCCACAAACGACACCTGCCCCCCCAAGCGCGTTAGTCGACACGGGTCACGATGGCAGCGATTGTGTTTTTTTTGCCAAACAAAATCGAGGAGAAACGAGCAAGAAAAAACAAAAACGAGGTCGTGCTAAAACTCTACGGTTAGATGGCGGTGGAAAGTGTTAAAGAAGCTTACTTGGGAGATTGGGGGGTCAGGAGGGGGGGCTGTGACACATTTATGGAAAATGTGTAGACCGTGACAACTGGAAAGAATCTTGCAGAGAAATTGATAAAGGTCGATAACGGCCTCCGAGCAACAGACTCCTTTTAAAAATAGCATCATTTTATCTCAATGGGCTCTTGAGCTGGTTATAAATGACGTGGATGAAATAATGAATTAATATCGTTCTGCCTGTACAAATGTCACCCTGCACACAGCATGTCTGTAAGGGAACCCTGCGTGTACTGCTGGGAACATTTGCAGGAGGGCGCTCACCAATCGTCATTGTCAATGTACCGTTTATTTCATCAGAGCCCCCTTTGATGATCGAGACTGCGATGGGCCGGCTATAATGGGTGGTTTTGTAACGCGAACTCTGATGGTGCATTGACACCGCCGCCGAAAGGAAGAGTTCCCTGTTTGGGAAGGCTGGCTATGCCAAGCCCCCGTCATTTAACACGCCGTGTGTGGGGGAGAATGCTGCCGAGGGTGGCAAGAGGGTGAAGCCCTTTTCTCTGACCACATCCCTTGAAGCTGATGAAATTGAATCCATCGTACAAAGTACGCGTGTGTACGTACAGGGGGCCCCCTTTTGGCAATCTGCCGCTGGGTGAGGGGGGGGGCCTTCCTTTACACCGTACAGCGTTGTGGAGGTTATTTGTCTGCGTCGGTCAGTGCAGCTTTGTCAAGGTTTGTACTGACTGTGTTTTGTGCGGGGAGCGGTAGTTTAGTGGTTAGCGCGCTGCGCTACGAGTTCGAATCTCGCTCACGGCCAACACCGGTGACTGTTATCTGAACCGGTCGTGGGCCTCCCCTAGGTCGGCTCAGCCTCAAATGAGTGCCTGGTGCGGTTTGTCAAACATCGCCACTGGGGAGACAAAGGCGGGCGGGCGTGGTTACTGGCCAGCCCTCCCCTCGTGCGCCGTTGCCGGCCTTCACAGGGTGCTGTTACCGAGAGCACTTGCCCCAACAGTGCTGTTAAGGCGATACGGGAGATCTTTGCCTTTTTAAAATGTTGTGGCCCTGCAGCTTACAGGGCTCAGCCCTGCTTAGCTTCCTATACCAGACGAGTTTGGATGCATTCAGGGTGCTAGCGCCACAGACTCGTGATTGCACAACACGGATTTGAATTTGTGATGCGTCTACAGTTGCCTATCTGATTGCGATTGAGTGAGTGGAATCCAAGATCTGTTCTTGCAATGCCTCACCTGTTGCGCAATCTCTTTGGCAATAAATCTCCTGTAAATGGCCACTCCGACATCTGATAGCACTGTGTGGGCAAAACATTCATCATCATAGGTGCGGTGCGAAAGAAGTTCATCATATTCGAGATTAGAAGCTTTCGTGACTGCAAGGATTAGGTTTTTTCGGTAAAGTCACGTAGGTAAAAAAAAAATACATGAAAATATCTCAATTAAATCACGACGTTTCGGAGGCAACACAAGTCTCCGTCTTCAGGTGGGACAGTCACAGCTAAATTCACTGTATCAAGTGAAGAGAAATCCAAGAGACAAGATCATCATACATACATCATCATGTACTGTAGCACATTGAAAACGGTAACCTAGCATGGCTGGAATGAGCGCTGGTGCATACATATTTACGGTATTTTTAACACGCTTTTATTTAACTCACTGTTATTGTCGTTGTATCCTCAAATCTTGTAACTCAGTTTTAACCCACTTCCCAAAGTGGTATCGACTGCAAACTTGGTATACTTATGTCATACTGATGACAATACTATATTCTATCATTAATTTTTTTTTTACATTCTTTTTTATATGTTATGTTTCGGCTTGGGTCTAATTGTCCACGCTCAACTGACGTTGGCTGTAATTGCCCACGGTCCTTTACGTTATGGCAAGCTTCCTGGAGTCGTGGAGTTCTTCCATTACTAGTACATTTCATAAAAGCGTGTTTTTTTAAAAATATTACTTATTAAATTTTTTATCTGGCCACAGTGTGGTACTCAAAAAATATATGATTGTAACCGGTAACGAGGGACGACTTGATGACTGCGCGCTAACCACCCTCGGTGAACGGAAATGTACAAGCATGTGTTTCCTGCAAAAAAAAACCTCCCGCAACGTTTATTTTATTCATTTTCATTTTTCCTCCCTCCAAATTGCATCGCTGCTGCGCTGTCCACCGCGACCACGTCGTTAGAAGGTGTCACCAATTTCGAAGTCTCGCAGAGGAAGTGCATCTCCACACGTTAAAGACCAGCTTCTGGAAGGCGTTGTTTTTGAGTTGTACGCCTTTTAGCGTCATCTGGTCCAACACCAATGGAGACTAGGCTCTAAGAAAAGCTGTCTCGGGTGTGGACCAATCAACTTCAAGGACAGTGCATATCATTATCAGAGTTGTTTATTTTTGTTTGCATTTTGACTGCTTGTGTTGTGGTTATTGCAAACATGATGCCTTGTATAAAGGTGTCAGTTTTGTACCAGTTTAAAGGGTAAAAACCTACTACTACTCCTTCAGAGGTCTCTTCCATTCCCTCTTATCTACACGCCCTTCTGTGCGGCGCTCAAACTGCATTTTTATTTTGTTGATTTATTGGAGCGAGACTTTTACAAATGAATTACGAAGCCAAATTTTTACTCAGATGGGTTTGTTTTTTGTGCCGCCGTTGAGAGAATGAGCTGAGAACATCAACTTGCCACACTTGAGAAACAACCTGGTACGATGGAAACAAATAAAAGGCTTTTTATACCCCTTCCCGCCAATAATAGAGGAGGTGTTAAGATGTTTAAACGCCAAATAGACCCATCCTCTTGCAAGGCCTCAAGTCTGCATTAATCACACATCATGTGTGTGGCAAAACACGCACCCGTGCATTAAAAATGTACGCAATGCTCTTGAAATGGATCGACAGCCTCCTTTTATGTCCTTTTCTCACCAGTGGCAGATCGGAGAACAACGCCAAAAGGCAGACAACTTGGTTTGATTAGCGGGGTTACCGAAACATTGCTATTTATTTCATAATTTCAACAGGGTGAGAGCTCGCTAAGCCCACGGCTCTCTGCTGTTTTTTCCTATATTTTTCTGTTGCGTGTTTTTAAGATGTTCCTTGTTCATGTTTTTGTTTGTTGCGGTTGCACCCGAGTTAAGAGCCGCATGGCTCACAGGGTTATACCTAATAAATGAAACTGAAACTGTCAAGGGAGAGCTGAGAGAGTCACAGGGCAATACCAGAGCAAAAAAGGAGGCCTTTGCAGTAAAATTAAAGTTAAACAATAAATGCCGTAAAGCTTATACTGGAAGTGAAAGTTATTTTGGAAAGGCAAAATACCAACGCAGTTAAATACATTTTACTGACTGCGGTAGAAACAAAGATCAAAAGCACGTGCACTTAAGAGTATTCTACAAAAGTTATTGTGTGGGAAGTCCGGGCTTAGTTTATTGTCCTTCCCCCGCACCTCCGATTATCACGGTTGGCCACGTACTGTGCGAAAGAAGTTCTACATACATGCATACCTTCCATGCTCTTTTTTCCCCTTAACTTGAACCCATTTTTACGGTTAGTTTCCTGCGGTATTATTTCCAGATGGTGCAGTGATTAGCGAACTGCTGTATGAACCCAGTAACTTCGAGTTCAATTCCTAGCCATGGATTAAATCGGCGTCGAGTTTTATTCAAACCTGTTTGGGTAACCCCCTCACCGCCAACCCGCGCTGACCAGCATGGTGAAGTACAGTCAAATAAACCCATGTGACCAACATGGTGTGTGGGGAGGCCTTCATCCTGCAGTGAATTGACAAAGGCTGAAAAGTTGCCTAGGGCGACAGCAGCACTATAAGGCCATGTCAAGTTCCAAGCCAGTGTCTCGGCGAATTTATCAAAAATCATCTGGTACAATTTTTTTGTTGTCACACTGACGTTGATCACCAAGGAAAGGACATTGAATTGTAACATTACCTATACTGCCGATGAAGAGAAGTCGGAATACTCCAAACAGAGGCTTCATCTCCTTAAAATTCTGCAAGGCGAATGAAACGTGAGTCGGTTATAACAGAGCCGACTACAAAACACAAATAGCGTCTCTGTCAGGTGCCACGCAGTAGGTGGAGCGGTGGTGCAGTGGTTTGCACCGCTGTGCGTAAAACCTTGCGAACCGAGTTTGATCATTGGCCACTGATGACATCGATGGTGAGTTAAATCTGAACCTTACTCATTAGTTCTTTCGGTAAAGTCACTTAGGTATAAAATGAAATAAATAATAAATAAAAATCAATTACAAATAAAAAACAAAATCCAAATAAATCTAATAAAATCAGTGATTTTTGAAAATGTGATATTTATTATTTTATTTTAATTATTTATTTTTATTTTATTACTACGTGACTACCGAAAGAACTAAAGAGTATGGATCATTGCAGTCACGAAAACTTACGATCTAAATCTGAACCTGTTCTGCGTACCCCTCACTAACCCTCACTGCTCAGCATGAAGTCTGCTCAAATAACCCCTGCGACCTTCACGGCCTGCGGAGTTCCAGTAGCGGATTGACAAAGGGCTGTAAATAATTATATTACTCCGCGTAAAAGCAAAACTAATAGTCTTGCAAAATCACTTGTAAAGTAATCCGCTGTTGATGATGATGCTGTTGTTGCTGATAATGATGAGAGTGATACTGGAGATGGTGATGTATGATGATGATGTTGAGTTATAATGATACCCACTTAGACGGTAGCCAAACTCTATCCCAACCGAAATGGATACTCAGGGTCGGCTTTACTGCAACAACCGGTGCAGCGGCAGAGGTCGCAAACGGGTTTTGATTCCTTAGCCGTACCTGTACCCGGCCGCACCAGGGTCGCAAACGGGTACCCGTACCCTACCCGATACCCGGCTATCCGTACCCGGCCGGGTATCTCGTAGGGTACGGGTACCCGATTGCGACCTCTGGGATGAAGCCATGTTGCAAGCGCGGGTGGGTTGATTCTAGGAACTTGAATTGTGAGAAGAGACAAGACGTTGGGAAATGAGTGACAAACGGTTACTCACCAGTGACTCACGGCCTACCCGTACCCGTACCCGGCCGCACCAGGGTCACAAACGGCTACCCGTACCCGGCCGGGTACGGGTAGCCAGGTATCGGGTAGGGTACGGGTATCGGGTACCCGATTGCGACCTCTGTGCAGCGGTGAGCGTCCGTGGATCTTAACCGACGCATCGTTGAACTCACCACCACGACGTTCATGAAGTACCCCCCAATGAGCGCGTAGCCTCCGCCAGACGCGCCGACCAGCTGAACACACGGGTCGAACACGGAGCTGGCGAGTGAGCCTGCCCACGCCGACACGGAGACGAGACACCGTTCGGGCCGGTCACACAGCCGGCCCCACACACGACGCTTCGTTCGTATGGCGGTAAACAGACCAGCAATGTTTTTACGTTCATGTCGGGGTTGGTCGGTGAGCCAGTGGATGACTTTAACGAGTGGCCTCGTGGCAAATATCTCGATTGCTGCCGGCGAACGATCGAAATCTGGCAGTGGCGGTGTGCGGTGGCCGCAGTTGCTCTTGTGGGCTATGATGAACAGTCCCATCGGTGTAAATAGATGGAAGCAGACTCCGTTGGCCGACTGGATACGGTGCGTTCCGAGTGATTTGGTCACGGGGCTGTGGCATGGCCGAATGGCAGCGTGTTTGCTGTTTGTTTCGAGGCCGACAGCTACCGTGCTTAACACTGTGGTTCCGATTAGCCATCGAATACATGCCGTCTGCTTCGAAGTGGACATTAAAGACCCCGCAGCTTGGTTTGAAAGAGAGTTGGCTTCGTGCGCCGGCGTTGTTGTCAGAATTTGATAATTTGCCCCGCAAGCTACTTAGTTGGGTAAAACCACATTACAACATCGCCCCCCCTACTTACTGGCAGACAATACTCATCTGTGAAACATAGCACCCCTTGCGGTATAATACTGGCGATAATATCAAATGTACCGATACTTTGATTTTATTCGTGATTTTGATGATAGGCCGCTTCGGTAAGACAAAATGAATTCCTTACAAACACAACAGAACATGAAATCAGGGACCCTGGTGGGGACTGGCTCAGTTGTGGCCCACCGTCACTGCCTTGTCCCACACCTGCCTCCAGAACACGTGATACGCGAGAGGGCCTGCCCGCGCGTGTGGTGTGGTGGGACAGAGGCCTCACCGGCAACTACCCCCGCCAGGTACACAAGCCCCACGCGATGACCCTTGTGCACCAGCTCCAGAGGAATCCCGAGAATCAGTTGCACGATGAAGTTGTTGACGATGTGTTGCACCCTGCGCGACCACCACCAGCAGCAGCAGAGGTCAGTGATGCCCTCCACATCGGCGTTAACATCAGTCATGAACCACCTTTATTAGCTATCGATTGCTACGTCCAGGAAATGTTAGCTTTGTCTGACTACTTTTCCACGGAGAGTCAAAGTACATTTCGATTTTTTTGGCTGAAACACGGTGGCGCCTTTCTGGCACAAATCCGCCACCCAATGCGTCCATCGTCACATTAATACTCGTAAACGTAAACATGATATTAAATTACAACAACGAAAAATGGTTGGAAAAGCAGTGTGTTCGACAGCGGTGGTGGGGACGTTGCCGACCAGCTCCGGTTTCGGTTGCGTCCACGGGGAGTTGCTATTTTTCCACAGCTCAGCTTCGCCAAGCGTGGCTTCAGGTAACAGGAAAAACAACAAACATTGGCTTGTGGGTTTTTCGCTCACTATTACAGAATTTACTTCCTACATACAAAATGCTCGGTACAGTTTCGGCTCAACATTGCAATGCGGGACCTGCTTCAAAATGAGTCTTGAACCTCGGTAAGGCTCTCCTGGATAAAGAAAGGGAATTATTACCCATTATGTTCGCAGCCCTTTGTCAATCCATTACTGGATGAATTTCTCCCCCGTGCCTTGTCACTCGTGGGGGATGTTTGACCATACTTCACCAAGTTGGTCAGCGTGGGTTTATCAACTGGGAGACCTTTCAGATGTAACTTGCCAATGGTGTTATCCGTGGCCAGGAATCAAACTCAGGCACCAGGTTCACAGTACAGTGTGGTAACCACTGCACCTCCACTCCACTTTTTTTTATCAAGACCAGAAGAAAAGAAAAGAATATCTTCTCCTAATTATAAGACACTCGGGCAAAGTAAGACAGATCCCGCTAAGTTGTGCCAGTGTCAATAAATGTACAGAAATCTGGTCTCGCACATATACATACACCCCTACCAGATTACATGGTGGGGGGGAGGGAGGCTATAATCCTGAGAATAGGGTAATACTCAGCACCCACAAATGTTCTTAATTCTGAAGTGAAGCGATTAACATGCGACACCGCGAGCCTTGACTAAAGAGCGTTACCGATTGAATCATCGTCGCTGATGCGAAACGCCGGCGTGAAGGGGGGGGGGGGGTGACGGAGGAGCTACACACGGGCCTCTCTTCAATTCGTCTGTTGTGTACATTCTTGCCTGAGCCAGTCCAGCCCAGCGTCACTGCAGCCGCCCCCCCCTCCCCAAGGCCAAATAACAATGAGCGACTCCAACTGAAACCTGTTCTTTTGCTTCACTGATCACACGCGCGCACTGCACCAACGCGTTAAAGGCGTCGCCGGTTCGCGTCCTCTTATTGCACGCGCGGAAAGTGGTTCACGGAGGCCGCATTGGGAACTGACGAATTGAAAAGATTCCAGGCCAACCAACCCGAGCGTGCGAATGGGCAGCTTTTTTTGAAAGGTTCCTCTACCGCCGACGACATGCACACAGCACGGTACTGATGTAAGGAGAGTACCGCTGATTAGCGGTCAAAAGTGGTAAAAACAGGCTAAGGAACAGACAGGGGAACGATCTGAGATCTTCCGGAAGGTTCAAGAACCAGCGAGAGAGTTCGAGAAGTAGGGGTGGAGGGATGGCCACGCTGGGGATAAAAGGGGGGCGAGGAGAGAGGTTCGGGGCTGCTGTGGGAGTCTGGATCGTCGCTGTCCAGTGAATGTGTCTTCAATGAAGAAACCCTCACAAGACCGTATCTCTGAGAGTCGTTACATTGTTCATCAGGCTCTGGAATAGACTCGTGAACAACTAGATTTGAAGCTTTCGTGACTGCAAGAATTCATATTCTTAGGTTTTTTTCGGTAAAGTCACGTAGGTAAAAAAATTTAAATTAATAAAAGTAAAATAAAAAGAAAAATATAAATCACGACGTTTCGGAGGCAACACAAGTCTCCGTCATCAGGTGGGACCGTCACAGCCAGATTTGCTGTATCAAGTGTGTTGCCTCCGAAACGTCGTGATTTTTTTATTTAACTTTTATAAATTTTTATTTTACATTTTTTTTTACCTACGTGACTTTACCGATAAAACCTAAGAATATTGTGAACAACTACCACGTCAAATTTCGATTTAAAGCTTGCGTGACTGCAGGGATTCATCTTCTTGGTTCTTTCGGTAAAGTCACGTAGAATGGAAATAATAAAATAATGAAATAAAACATAATAAAATAATTCTCACGACGTTTCGGCCACAACGCAAGCAGCCGTCCTCAGGTGAAGACCAGGTCTGTCGGGGAGACTGCGTTGTGGCCGAAACATCGTGAGAATTATTTTATTATTTTATTATTTCCATTTTACGTGACTTTACCGAAAGAACCAAGAAGAACTAACACGTCAGCAGAGTATTTGCAGGATGAAATGGCGTTTTGGTGGGCCAGCGCACTGTCCCCATGAGCCTGGCGACCAGAGTTCGATTCCCGGCCATGGCTAACATCACAGGGGGACGTGGTGACTGGTCCTGGGGACTGACTGACTGCCTGTAACCAACCCCCGTGACTAACACGACGTGGAGAGGTGTGGGAGGAATGTACGTTGTGGAAGTCTGGATTGCACGTGAGTGTTTGTTCGTGGAACTGACTCTGCAACCCGCACGCATAGGAATGCCTCCGGTGATAAACCCAAAAACAGCAGGAAACAGCGGGTGTGAAACTTAACACAAAATAATAATTTAATTATGGTTTCAGCCCAGTCACTGATGACAATAAACAAGCAGACAATATACCTCCAGATATCTGTTCCTCAGCATAAATTTGTTTTGTTAAAGCCATCTTTTACACAACCCATCATCATAACAACTTTCTTGGAATAGATGTCAGCAGTATTGGTTCAACACAAGCAAATTCTGGACCTGTTTCAACATTTATAATTGTGTTTACTCTCCAGCACACCGGTGTGCTGAACTAGTAACTAATTTGGATGTTTTGTTTACGTGACAAACCTTAATGCTTTGGCTGTGTCGGGTGGTGGCGGGTTTAACGACACATTTATATATTTACGCGATCTAACCCCCCCTAAAAAAACCTCTTATGGATAATATTGCTAGCGAAAGCCTACGTGTTAAACTGAATATGAAGACACTTTGCAATGAGGAATCTTTAAATTACACAAATTGTCAAGCGAGGTGGTTATGTGTTTTCTTCATAGTTAAACAATAGTGCTGTTTGTTGCTGGTCGTTCAGGATCGTTTGGGTCTTTGAGCCAGTCAGTGCTCAACAACTATGATTAAAAAAGCAGACAGATTTACTCTCACAAAGACCCAAGCTCCAACAAAAAACAGCAAAACCTGAAGACAGTCAAATCTCTTAACCCGTGGGCGGCTTGCAAAATCGTGTATCCTCTGGCTTGTGTAAAACACATGCCTAGCATCGCACACACACGTGTGTTCAAACGTCTATGCAAACTGCAACGGTGACGCATGGCACGCGATCACCTACGGCTTTTGCTCTGCACCCGAGCGTGCCTGGCCTCAAACTGCGGTTTTAAGATAAAAGTTTAACAGAAATGAAACAATAAAGAAAAAAAGAAGCCCTAGGTCAAGTCGAGGAAGAACCTGGACTCTCTCTGAAACTATCAGGAAGGGGAAGAACGTCCGGATTGGGCAGGTCGTGGCGCGAGGGAACGGCTTGCCGAAGGAGGCGATTGCGGGAAGATAATTTGGGAAAAGACGAAGAGGAAGGGAAAAAAAAATAACCCGTAAAAACACAACAAATCCTTTATATGCGTGGTATCGGTTTTATTTTATTACTCATTTCTGTTTTTCTTGAGTAAGAGTTTTATTTTTATCACATTGGTCTTTGAAACGGGTGGCTAGAGTCCTCTCGTCCTCTGGCTTGAGATGGCTGCCACCTATGGGTCAGATGATTGCCTGCCAGCATTAAGCAATTGGTAATTAAATATAAAAAAAATCCTAAATTTTTTTTAAAATTTTGGAACAAAAATTTTCACGAGAATAAATTGTCACGCACAACGAGTCTGTGTGCAAAATCTTAGCTCGATTGGATCACGAGAAGTGGGTTAAAAAACGACCGAAAGATTTGCACGGTCGTAAGCGCGCAAGCAAGCAAGCAAGTGAACTTAATATATAAAGGATTTAAAAATGCGATGATGTGCAACAAGGACAGATGTAGAAAGCAGCAGAGGAAAGGATTGTCTACAGACCAAGCACTTAATGAACGGTTGAAATAAAGCGAGCGAGCGAGACGATGCAACGTGTTTTCGGCCACACGACTCGTGAGATCAAGCGGCATACCGGGCCACCACGCTTGTATCTGTTCGTCGCATCTCTCTGCCATCTCTCTTGGTCGATTTGTTTTCCTGCGACCCCACGTGTGTGGATTAGCGAGGGGAGGTGGGTGAAGCAATAATCGCCCGCGGCGGGTGAAGGAAGCCACTGCGGTGCATTGCAGTCTCACGAAACTTTGCAAGACCAGGCACGCACAGGGCCCAATTAATATCTGTAGAGTCCCTCGAGGTATAACTGTACCGCAGGCAGTGTCAGCGAACGTAGCAGAGTAGGAGAATGGACATGCTAATAAGACTAATAATAATGTCCTCTTTCAATCCGAGAAGGTCTCGCTTTTCCTAAAGGCTCTTTTGCAGGAGGAAAAATACATGTAATAGGTGACGTTTTGGGTAATGATCCTCATTCAAAGCACGTGAAAAAGGGTCAATGCTCGTAATGTCTATACTTTCCCTTTTTAAGGCAGTGTTGTTGAGATTTGTTGTGATGCGTGTGTTGTTGGTTGTGCTCAGTCAGTCGACCCGTGGCACCTGGGTCTGCCCCGTGACCTCCTGCCAGCGGGCGTTCGACACTTCACGTGGCCTCAAGGTGCACAAGCGTCGTGGTGACGTCACCGCCACTTAGTGGTGAATGGCGGTTGTTGTTGTTGCTTTTCGCGCCACTGCCAATGCGGTATCGCCTAAATAATTTGTTTTCTTTTTCAGAACGGCCCTGCTTGGAACATTTGGCTAATTCTTTGTTAGATATTTCTACTGTGTGTGCGGAAACTAGGGTTACCTGGTGAAAAACTACGTATACATGTGGGAGAAAAACACTCAAACAGTCTCTATTAATCGCCAATCAACTTCCTGTACTGCTCATCCTCTGTCCACCTCATAGCCCTGCCTCTTGGGAATCTCACACACACGATGTTTCACATGATTTCAAAGTTCTCCATGACAGGCATCCTCTGTCACGCTTCCATAATAATAATGTCCATTATTTATCGAGGAAAGCTTCAATGAGTCGAAAGACTCCCTGTTCATTATGGTCCTGCAATGGGATTTTTGGCCAAATTCGTTCATGAAGTGTTTAGCATGCGGCTGAAAACCCATAGTGCCTGTGAAAAACCCACACATAAGACAGGATAACACTCAGAGCTCTGCAGGGATAAAATTAATCCACATCGTGGACTGCCATCTCTTGGCCACCTCGCAGCCCAGTGGGTTTGGAGCTTCACCTTATCTCAAATTTGAGATCCACAAAACCTCGCTTCCGAAGCTCTGGAATACAGGTGGGCACCCCACCTGTAATCCTGGTGGAAAAGACGTGGTCCTGTTCAAGTCACGAAATCTGGTCCGAAGGCCAGAGTAGAGCTGGGATGATCAGTCAATTAAGTCAATTAATTATAAATAAATGTTATCACTTACGACACTGTTGGGCTCTTTTCCCAAAGGTGGGAAATCCCACAACAAGCCACGCCCATCGTGACGTAGGTGACACCGCCCATGACAACGCCCATGACAACACCCATGACAACACCCATAACAACACCAAGCCCTCTCTTACAGTAACCAAACCGATAATTATTGATAATTATCGGTTTGGTCATGTATAATCGGTACAGTAGTCGGTCATCCATCATACAGGTTTTTTGGGTTAGATTGCGTAAATATATAAATGTGTCGTTAAACCCACCACCACCCGACACAGCCAATTAGTAAGATTTGTCACGTAAACAGAACATGCCAATTCGTTACTAGTACAGCACACCGGTGTGTTGAAGAGCCAAGCCACAACATTTACAATCTGAGTACGACGTTTCGCCAGTAATTACAACTAGCTTCATCAGGCGACAGCCAGATTTGTGGAGAAGTCCTTCTGTTTCGTTCCTTAAATTAACATATTTACGCGATATAACCCAAAAAACCTGTACGATGGATGATATTGGTCGCAAAAGCCAACGACGTGTTAAACCGAGTCCTCGGTCACTGAAATAATCGGACATCCCAGCTCTAAGTAGAAATCTTCCCACCACCAGCACCACCACTCCAGCGACCGCCACCTTCGTTGGAACTTACCCAGCGTGCACCAGCATGTAGGACACGAAGCGCCAAGCCTCCTGCCGCCGGTCGGGCCGGTAGATGAAGGGACTGTTGGAGATACCAGAGTCCAGCGTGATCCACTGCTTCTGGGGTTTCCACACCGCGTAGTAGATGAACACGCCCAGCTGGAACGGCAACACGGCACCCGCGTGACGCGAGTTGACCCCGAGGGGACATCAGCAACGCGACCGATAGTCGCCGTTGCTTTGTGCGTGAGGACACAGCGGATCGCATGCATCGACACAGTAAATGCTCCTGTACGTGCAGACACGCTGGTTTGTAAAGTGTGCACGGGTGGGAGTTTCAAGGGTTTTCTTGCATCGGGTGGTGGCACATTCAAGGCGTATAAAGCCACTGCTCCTCCCCATGCCACGCAGGTCAGTGTGCGATGGTGAAGGCCAGGGAGCATTGCCTTCTGCTGACCACCACGTAGACCTGTAGCCATCTCTGACAACCTGTTTGTGCATCGTGGTCACCACCATCCTAAGCTCTGAGATTGTGACGAATTCGGGCCCCTTTCCTGGTGATACCCACAGGTGTTGTCAGGGTGCTCTCGTTTCCTCTGCTACATAACAAACAATGCAAGTCCAAACATCCCAATGCAGGGCCCTTCCTAAAAAAGAGAGATTCCTGAGAAATCGCGAGGATTTCCTGGAGGAAAGAAGACAATTGAAGGGAATATAAACAAGGAAAGAGCTTGTTGTCTCCCAAAGACGGTCGAACGTTTAGAAATTGAACTTTAAAAGTTTGTACAACTCCCATGGCATCTTGCGAGACGTAATCAGGTTTGGGTTGAGCTATTGTGCTAGCAAATGTGATAATTCTATTTTTGTAATGTATGACCACGTATCGCTTCCCTCTGTGTTGACCCACGTGTTTCCGGCGTAAAAAGCCCAGCTGCGTCGCGTGTGGCAATTTGCTAACAAGGATTAGGAGCGGTGTTTAGTCATCATTCTTTTCATTTTAGTCAGAGCCCTCGTTGAGTCGGCAACAACTCGTGGATTTTGAGTCAAGTCTGATTTTGTGGATTTATTTTTTTAATCTTTTGCTTCGTCTAGTCGACGACTAAAGCTGGCAGCAGTGTTGTTCACTCTTCATCAATAAATGTCGCTTAACAATCTCCCCCAATATTAAACAGGTCAGCCCATCAGCGAACTCCGCAAATATTTTTTTAATATACTGTACAAAAATGGCCAATTTCCCTTTTTGGTCTTACTCAATGCACTGCAGTCACTGACATTCCTAAATTATCTTCGTCTGCATCAAATTTCAAGTCTATTTGTTTTACCAGGCGAGAACTCACGATACCAGGATCATCGCATTGGCAAGAGTGACCTGGGTCGTCAAACATATCGTAGTAAATCGGCTGCAGCACACCTTAAAAAAAGACAAGAACAATACTCTTTGGTTCTTTCGGTCAAGTCACGTAGTTAGAAATAAAATATACAATACTAATTTTATTTGTAACTACGTGACTTTACCGAAAGAACCAGAGTATGGATTCCTGTAGTCACGAAAGCTTCAAATCAACAAGAGCAATGTTTAAGTCTTTGTTAGATAGTCTTAATCACAGTCACGCTTTGATGATTTCCATCCACTCATAGTCATCGTCGACTTAATTTTTTTTCATCTTCTTGGTTCTTTCGGTAAAGTCACGTAGAAGGGAAGTAATAAAATAATACAAATAAAACATAAAATAATTCTCACGACGTTTCGGCCACAACGCAAGCAGCCGTCCTCAGGTGAAGAATGAAACACCACCAAGCTTGGAGCGTATATTTAAGCTGGGTTGGAGGGGGGGAAGAAGAGCGCCTTGACAAAAGAATTTTCATATCAAGAGGAATTTAGCATATTTATGGGAAATGCGTAGGGGGAGTTTCAAAGTCATATTATGCCCGTGCATTATGCAGGATTAGCAGCATAAAAGGGAGGGGGGATGGGGGTAGCATTTACAAAACTCCATCGATGAAAACATTCCGTCACCAATTTCCCACCTCCAGAAGGCTGATGAGCATGATGAAAATTGGCGGCGGCAGGCAGTCGGCCCTCTCCAAATACTTCTCACGGATGTCGGGTGGCAGCACCCAGCGAGACAGCGACTTGTGCACCACGTGGCATCGCGGGCAGCAGGTCGACGCTCCCTTCCCGGGCGAGACGTCCTCCGGGTCGGCCTCCGGGTCGGCGTCTGGTACGGGTTCCATTCCTGCGAGAGGGGGGTGCGGGTGGCGAATCCTGGGGGAGCGGGGGGGGGGGGTGGGCAAATGGTTACCACGGAATGCTGCAGGAGATGCACATGGATTATGTTTATATGTATGAATGTATGTTAAACTTCTTCTTGGTTCTTTCGTTAAAGTCACGTAGAATGGAAATAATAAAATAATAAAACTAAAACATAATTAAATAAATCTCACGACGTTTCGGCCACAACGCAAGCAGCCGTCCTCAGGTGAAGAACAGGTCTGAAGAACAGGTCTGTCAGAAAGACTTTCTGACAGACCTGTTCTTCACCTGAGGACGGCTGCTTGCGTTGTGGCCGAAACGTCGTGAGAATTATTTTATAATGTTTTATTTTTATTATTTTATTATTTCAATTCTACGTGACTTTACCGAAAGAACCAAGAAGATGAATCCCTGCAGTCACGAAAGCTTTAAATCGAAATATGTTGAACTTATTTCGCACCGTACGTAGCCAACTGAGCTTATGTGATGTAGAGGTCGACGGTTTGATCTCCAGGTGCGGCATTTGAAACAATGTTGCAAGTTACTTGAATCCCCGTCCCCACCTCTGTCCACCCAGCAGTATAAATTAGTACATCGGAGTTGTTCGACTGGCAAGTCGCGTTTGGTGGGGTAAAATGAGGGTACTCCCACTTCTTCCAAGACATCGATCCAGTGAAGAAGAGTCCAAAGCACCCTTTAGAAAGGCTCTCTAAGAGCTCTCCCGAGTGGACGTCCTTCTACCAGCAGTGGTATGAAAAAGTAATTGCAGGGCTGCACCTTTACTATTTCACCCCTTTATTCATAATCCACTACAACAGCACAGAATAATCTTCAAACTATTTTGTTGTACTGCACTGAATGGGTCACATGGTGCTTTTTTTTTGCCTCTGTTAGCGACAACCCAGTTGGATTTGTTTAACATGCCACACTGCTTAAAATACTCGGGCAAAACCGGTTTAGATATTTCCATATTCAACATCTACTAAAAACGTTACAGCAAAGTATGATTGGCTAAGACACGATGTTGTATGTAAGTGTGTGTGTTGAACTTGCTTTGCACTATATTTATGTATTGAACAAGACGCTTGTAGGTTTGTTATTCTATTACCCAATTTTAACTACGACAGCGCATACATGCATTTATTGTCAACACAATACTCGTACCAACAATGCTCTTGTCGCCTGCCGTGTCAGTATCCCCCCTTGACCTCTAATCCATAGGCGCCTCTCCTTGGTTCTTTCGGTAAAGTCACGTAGAAGGGAAGTAATAAAATAATAAAAATAAAACATAATAAAATAATTCTCACACATCTTTTACAGACGCGACCATAGGCGCCTGTTTGTTGGACGAAGGTCCAGTTGGACCAGTTTTACCTAAGCGGTGGGGGAAGTTTCCAGACTGAACTTTAACCCCCTGCCTAGGAATCCAAACTGCCCTCTGCATCGTAGCTACGGCGGGGCAGCATTGTGATTCAGCACCCCGCAGGCAAGGGGTGGGTGGGTCACACAAATGTGTGGAACTCCCAAATCCCGTAGGCTGTGAAGCGCACAAGAGGGACAATAAACGGGTTAATTAACCTGCACTTTCATCATGGGACCTCCTTTGCCAGTACCACATGTTCCCCTTTTGTTGACTTTTCAGTGTTATCCCTGAGTATATAGAGGGACTCCTCTACCTACGAACATTCGACTCACGAACTTTCATAGATACGGACAAAACTGTCCGTATGTCCAGTTGCCTGTTCGGATCGAGGGTCGTAAGTTCAACCGCCTTGGTGGGATCTACATTTGCAGAACATGACGAACCAGTGGCATCTATATCTACAGGAGTTTATACAACTTTTAAATCCATTACCTGTGTTTAGTGTACATGCCGTACAACATGTATGAAATCGACGGGAGTAAAGTTGGACTTACGAACAAATCGACTTACGAACAGACCTCTGGAACCTAACTCGTTCGTAAGTAGAGGAGCACCTGTACTTGTATGTATGTTGAACCTCTTTCGCACCATACATAGCCAACCGCGCTAATTGCAGGTGTGTGGGGGAGGGGAAGGACAACAAAACTGACCACAAGAAGCAGTCATCTCGTTCGTAAGTAGAGGAGTCACTTTATAACTTTCCACCAGGTACTTGTTTTCTCCGCAAATCAAAATAATTCTTAAATAAATTGACTTTCGTATTTGTTCCATTTTTTGTTCAGCACAAGATCCTTCCTGAAAAGTAACCTGAGACTCAGTGAGACTTGTTTTAGACCATCATCATCATGAGGCTTTATTTATCCACTGCTGGATGAAGGCCTTCTCAAGACTGTCCCTCTCGGATTTATGAACGATGCAGCAGCAATTCCTCGTCTGGGTCCAACACATCGCTCAGTCCTCTCGATGAACGTCCTCTCAGATGCATTCAATTCCTTGTCTACCACTCCATCGTTCATCTCTGACAACCACCGACCATTATCCCTTGTAGTGAAGTGGTCCTTCTTGACCGTGCCCACTCACTCTTGTGAACAATGTGATGGCTCTGACTCACTCACGTTCCTATTTCTGTTTTCCATTGTTATTTGACGCATACAACCTCTCCATACCTCTTTGCTCACTTAAACTTATTTAATATATTTTGTCAATATCTACGTTTCATACAATACATATATGATACGATCAGTAAAAAGTGGGGGCGACTGGTGATAACATTTTAACACGGCGAACTGTTCCCATGTTAACGTGCATATCTCAACGGTCACTCGTTTAACGCTTTGTAAACTACCCTTTCAGCAAATCTCCATTCTTGTTTTTCTTTGCATTGACCGTTGTCGCGTTGGGGTTGCAATGTAAAGATTGCGGTTTGCGTCAGCATTCGGAGTGGCAACGTGGCTTGACAGACGAGTTCGTGGCTTGGATTCTTGACAGTCACAGGGGCGTGTGCGGTCACGAAGCCAACCACAAACTTCACAAAGAGCAGTGGAGAGAGCATGGCCGGTGATACGTTCAGCATATAAGTACCGTGCACATACGAGTAACTTGGAGGCGTTCTTTGTCCACTTACATTGACTTTGGCGTCAAACTCTACGGGGAGGCAATGTAATGGGTGCACTCACGGATAGATAGAAGTGGCAGGACGTGATTCTGTGATTGTTTAGCACGGGAACCTCTTCAACGCATTGAAGGACTTTATAGGCTGATCTTTCCGCGCGAGAGGAAATGAATCAACCTTCGGGTCATAAGTTCTAGCTGCCTAATTAACAACAAATTTAAAGGTGAGAATTGATGTCAGTCACCCAGCCGGGACCGTCTAATAGTACGTACAGACGGTAATACTTACAGAGTACTATATTACTTACATTGTACTTGAACTACAGTGTAAGTTTGTATCTAGGTAAGATAACTTTGGTAAGAACACCGAGTAATATAAAATGCTGTAACTCAAGAGTATAGAATTGACCTAATACCCCAATAAGAGTTTTGATACAGTATTTTTTCAAGAGTAAAGTATATCATTACAACAATTTTTATGATATAATAATACATTAGCTATAAGTAGCTACATGTATAATCTTAAGTGTGTGCAAGTAAACAGATTGTCCTCAATCCACTGCTGGATGAAGGTCTCCCCACGCTCCGTCGGTCGTGGTGTTTGACCATACTTCCCCACGCTGGTCAATGCGGGTTGGTGAATGGGGCAGGACCGGTTCAGATATCACTTGCCACTGATGTTAGCCGCTAATCGAAGCCAGTTCGCCAGGTTCGTACCGCAATGCGCTAACCCGAGTGCCACCGCTCCGTCATTAGCACGGTTGGCTACGTACGGTGCGAAACGAGTCCAACCTACATACATATATACACAGATTACTACTACTGTACTCCTTTAAGACTCAGTCGACCTAGGGGAGACCCAGGACCGGCTCAAACATTCGCCACTGTATTGTCGTGAGTGTGAATCGAACTCGAGTCGCCAGGTTAGTCTCGCAGTGCGCTAACCACAACGGCACCGCTCCCCGCCACTTTGTTAACACACACACAGCAGCAGTCAGTGGGCAGGCGTTGACCACACGCAACGCAACACAACGTCCCCCATCGCAATGGATCGATAAAGCGATCGAACACACGGACAAGCGATAGGGCACGATGCGAAAACGTACAGGTGTGCGCTGTGGCGGCCCTACCTGGCTCGTGTCTCGAGGCGATGTCGTGAACGCACGCACCTACACACCTGGGGGGGAGAGGAGGAGGGGGGCGCACGTGTTCGCTTAACTCACCTGTATTGTCCCGAGCGTCGAGAACCCGGTGGACTGTGACGTCACAGCGCTGAGAGCGCTTCACGTGACGGGCTCGCGACAGAAATGGTCAATTATTGAGGGGTGGGCGGTGGTGGTGATGGTGGTGGGGGAGGCATTAGGGGTTGGGTCTGGTGGTTTACATCTCAAACCACCCCCCCCCTCTGTCTCTTCCCCAACCCAATTTAGCCACGATTCACTAATGGCTGTTCGTGACTGCGGGAATTCATGTTCTTTGGGTGTTTGTGTAAAGTCACGTCCATAAGTTCAAAGAAAATGAAATGAACAAAGAACTACGACGTTTCGATCGCAACGCACGCGACTTTGCCGAAAGACCCAAACAATATTAGGCACGCTTGTTTCACGAATTACGATTGTCGCGACCTCTGCTGTTTTAATATTGAACTTAACGCAGTCGTCCATAAGAATGGCCCCCTGAACCAGGAACAACGCAGATGAGAGGCGACGTTACGGTCAATGGCCTTTTATAAAATAAATATATAATAGATAACGTTTCGGACAATAGACCTTCATAAAACAAGTTTATAGGAAAGGTTTTGGGCAATACCCCTTCATAAAACAAGATGATAGGTAACGTTTTTGGCAATAGCCCTTTATAAAACAAGATGATTGGGAACGTTTCGGGCAATGGACCTTCATAAAACACGTTTTAGGTAACGTTTCGGGCAATATGCCTTCATAAAACAAGGTGATAGATAACGTTTCGGGCAATAGACCTTCATAAAACAAGATGATTGTGAACGTTTCGGGCAATTGCCCTTCAGAAACTTTATATAATAAACGACGATTCGGGCAGTGCTATGAAGGGTCATTACTCAAAACGTCGCCTATTATGTTTATTTTTAAAGGCAGTATTATTGACGAATGTGTGGTGGGTGTCTTGGTTTTTTGTGACACTATGAACGCAGGCAGCATTACCACCAATTCTAGATTTGAAGCTTTCGTGACTGCAAGTATTCATATTCTTAGGTTTTTTTCGGTAAAGTGACGTAGGTAAAAAAAAATTAATAACAAAGGCTCAGTCCTTTGTTATGTAGACTAGCCGTAGTCACAAGCCGCATCTTACCATAATAATAAAAGGGGGCCTGTCCTAGCCCATCTCCCCCCCTCAACCAGTATATATACGGGGTAGTATCTCTTGGAATCTCTCATTTACTTGATACAGCAAGCGTGCTGTGACGGTTCCACCTGAAGACGGAAGCTTGTGTTGCCTCCGAAACGTCGTAATTCATATTTTACTTTTATTAATTTTTATTTTTTATTTTTTACCTACGTGACTTTACCGAAAAAAACCTAAGAATATAGCATTACCACCAACTAATTTATTTTCAAATAAGTGATGAGAACTTGACATACAGAAAGAGAGGCACAACACGCGCATGTTAATTATATCATCAAACTATAAAAAAGTAAAGTTTGGACAGGACACGTCTTTGATGCACGGCGGTCAAATAATAATTACGGAGTGGCAGCCGAGGAATGGAACGCGTCACGAAGGAGCGTGGGACCGCGATGTCAGCTGGTGTCCAGGTAACTTGGTGAATTTTCGCATCACAGGATCGTGAGAAATGGAGACCGCGCTTGGGCACGGGACCAGCGGTGGTTTGATGGATTGATCACGGATGCTGACGTTGAGGGCTACCGACAGATACATCGTGATTATGACATTAGCAACGTTCTTTGTTTACCCAGGCAAGGATCAGTAACGAGTCCAAGGGCTACGTATGGTTTTTTTTTTAAAGAGGGCCCGTTTCGTGAATGCGACTTTGGCTTCATGTGGGGTCAAATTTCGCCGAGTATCCAATTAGTGCGCTTGGCTACGTACGGTGCGAAAGAAGTTCAAGTTCATTTATTAGGTATAGCCCTGTGAGCCATTCGGCTCTTGAATCGGGTGCAACCGCAACAAACAAAAAACTAAAAAATAAACAAAAAAATATCTTAAAGTGAATATGTGACTAAGTGCAAACAGAAAATCCAAGAAAAGACGGCTAAATATTGCAGAAAAAACACCGTACACCAACGATCTGAGCAAAAATCCCAGTGGGATGCAAGTCAAACAACAACAACAAACACAAGACAACTTAGATTAAGGCCACCAGTCTTACTCCGTACTAAAACAAACAAACATGGCCAAACCAAAAAACTTTTCGAAATCACCAAAATAAAGCCATGAAAGTAATGAAACAGTGATCATAGGAACTGTGACGGAATTTTCACAATAAACGACATAAACAACATGTACTACCAAAACTCTGCAGCCATAGCTGGCTGCATGAGTCACTCCAAAACAGCAGTTCAACATACAGCATATGCACACACATACAAATCCATGAACCGAATCACCCAGCATGCGCGCCCTATCTTATCGGTTTCTGGGGGGTTCTTCAGCTTTGCCCCTGGATAGTGCTCGCTTTGGTTGACCACCACGCACGCGGCATTGTCAAGAGGCGGCTGGGAGGCCTGAACGACCTGTTCAACGTGGTGGGCAGCAGAGGGCAGTCCTGTAAAAAGCCATCGTATGGCGCTCAAATATGGCATTGATGATTCAAAATTTTTTTAAAAAGTCAGCATAACAAAATAATAGTGCACGCCGGTACACAAAAAAAACTATACTTTTCAAACGAAAATTTTTAAACGGTGATTTTTTTTTTCAAACAACATTCAACAGTGTAAAAAAGCCTTTGTGTGTTATGCTAAAAACCATGAGCGGTTCCTGAAGAACTACACTGCGGTCCTCTCTGCACTCTGTTGTTAAATCAGCACCGTGTATGACAAGAAAACCCATCATGCAATCTGTGTTTTTTGTGGCAGTTCATGCGTCTTGGATTGTCCAGTCTCAGCTGATTATTGCAGTCTTCATCTTCACGGGGAGATGAAACAGCATTGCCTCTTTGAAAGATCCACCTGGGCTACAGTACAACATGACACAATATAAGAACACAACGCTTAAAAATATAATACCATACTCTTTTAGTTCTTTCGGTAAAGTCACGGAGGTAAAATTCAATCAAAATAAATCACGACGATGGCTTGTGTTGCTATCGAAACGTCGTAATTTATTTTGTTTCATTTCTACCTACGTGACTTTACAGAGAGAACCAACGAGTATGGGTTCCTGCAGTCACGAAAGCTTCAAATCTAATAAAGTTGGTTCATGACTGATGTTGACGCCGATGTGGAGGGCATCACTGACCTCTGCTGCTGCTGCTGGTGGTCACCACCACCAGCAGCAGCATATGATGCGTTTGGGTGGATCGATAATGGGAACACAAAGGCAACGTGTGGTGGTGATGATGATGGTGCACCAGTGTTGGAGCTCATGTGAAGCGATGGTTCTCTAGCCCAGTAAACATGCAGCGTTGTTGGCATGTGGTTGGAACCGTTTGGCCAACATTGGTCCAACGTTTACTAGGCGAGTCTAAGGGGCTCAGGGGCCGTCCATAAATGACGTCACGCGATTTTGGACGATTTTTTACCCCCCCCCCTCGTCACACGGCGTCACAAAAAGTCAGACCCCCCCTCAAATATGACGTCACAAAGCTCTGCCCCCCCCCAAATAAAACATACTTCAAATCGCTTTAAATTATTGCCATTGTAGTGCGTATTTAATGTGGCGCTGCAATCTGATGTTGTAGGAGAAAGCATTTATTTATTTAATTAAGTAGAACGTGTTGTCTATTTATTTAAAGTTGCGCATTTTGATGTGACGTCACATTTCTCACCCCCCCCCCCCTTGTCACACATCGTCACAAATGTCTGACCCCCCCCCCCCCCCAGGTGCGTGACGTCATTTATGGACGGCCCCTAATTGAGCCTTGGAACACAAAGGCTAAACGTGTGGTGGTAATTATAATTAATCGGTACAGGTACTGGGCTCCCACCAAACCACTTGGACTCCTGGGAAGCGATGTGTGGGCTGAATGTGCCCGTCTGCTGAAAATAAAGTCATTGGTGATGGAGCAAAACGACCAAGGGCATCCAAGTTATTCATTCAATGGGCGTCTATGTGAGTCTGAGTCTCTATACGAAGTTTGTAGGGATTTATGTGACGATATATCTCTATGTCGGGGCCGTCCATAAATGACGTCACGCACCTGGGGAGGGGGGGTCAGACATTTGTGACGATGTGTGACGGGGGGGGGGGGGTGAGAAATGTGACGTCGCATCAAAATGCGCAACTTTAAATAAATATAGAATTTCGATTTAAAGCTTTCGTGACTGCAGGATTTCATATTCTTTGTTCTTTCGGCAAAGTCACGTAGAAGAGAAATAATACAATAATACAAATAAACCAATAAAATATATAATTGTTATAACAACACTAATTGTTATAACAACACTCCTACAACATCAGAGTGCAGCGCCACATTAAATACGCGCTACAATGACAATAGTTTAAAGCGATTCGAAGCATGTTTTATTTTCAAAATGGAAATATGTTTTTGGGGGTGGGGGCAGAGCTTTGTGACGTCACATTTGAGGGGGGGGGGGTCTGACTTTTCGTGACGCCGTGTGACGAGGGGGGGGGGGGGTAAAAAATCGTCCAAAATCGCGTGACGTCATTTATGGACGGCCCCAGAGTGCTGTTAGCGAGTGGCACCCACGAAGGGCTCACACTGTGGCACACGAGGGGGTGGCTGGCCAGCAACCAACGCCCGCCCGGCCGCCTTTGTCTCCCCAGTTGGCGATGTTTACTTCACACCGCACCAGGTACTCATTTGAGGCTGAGTCGACCTTAGGGGAGTTCAGACAACCGTCACCGGTATAGGCCGTGAGCGGTAATCGAACGAGCCGGTTCGTAGTCGCCCTCACCGCTGCACCACCGCTCCCCCCCACGTGAAACCACGCAAACCCGCTCCAAGCTTGAGGCTCGTGACGTCATGTCACCTCGGAACCGATGACGTCATTGTTCGCGCACACGCCGCCGTGTCTATGACGTCATCGGTGCCGCCACGTGGGCGCGGCGCGCGCACCGCTCATCTCACGTCCGCATTCGCGGGGCCTGCAGAGCGTGGCCGAGCTGCTGCTGGTGGTGGTGGTGCGTGAGTCCGGCGTGTATTTGCGTTTCGTCTCTCGTCAACGCCTCCCTCTCCCCCCCCGTCTCTTGTCTCTTAACCATCGTCTTGATCGTTTATTTGTTGTGGACGTCTGTGCTGGTGGTGGTGGTGGTGGTGAGGGGGATATTTATGTTTAAGTCGTGGTTTAGTGGTGATTAAGGACGCTGCTGCTGGGCAATTAGAGGCAGTCGCCCTCCAGCAACAACGGAGGGCGGAGGAGCGACGCTCACAACAACGAGCGGAGCGCCGGGTTAGCTAAAGCACAGCAAGTTGGCACAGTAGGGGGCACAGGTGGTGCATCAGCCACTCATCTCAGTCAGTCGACCCGTGGCACCTGCTGGGTCTGCCCCGTGACCTCCTGCCAGCGGGAATTCGACACTTCACGTGGCCCCAAGGTGCACCTAGCCTGGCACAAGCGTCGTGGTGACGTCACCGCCACTCAGTGGCGAATGGCGGTGGTTATTGGTGAGGGGTTTAAGAGCTTTACAGCTCATTGGATTCCTCCGGTGGCTTTTAGAAATGCGGATTCTGTCTCGGGTCTCGTCTGCATTGCCTTGCTCTACCCCCGCCTGTGTACGGTCTGTCTGCTCTGTAAAGTCGACATTCTGTACCCTCTTGCTGTATCTCAGCTCTACTCTCCTTTGCGCCGTCTTGTTCTGTCCTGTCTTGTCTACTCTGCACTGTATTGCTCTCGACTGCCTCGCCTCTCTGTTGCCTTGTTCTCTCTCTCTCTCTCGCCGTGTTGTTTGTACCGTCCAGTCTTGGCGGCGCGATCTAATCTGTCAACTCCCTTCCACGCCGTCTTTGTCTTTGTTGCCATCTGTAACGTCCGGCTTGCAGTGTCTCTTGTTGACATCGTGGCCGAATTATCCCGTGCCATCTGGTCTCCTCTCTGCAGCTGTAATCTCGTCTCAACGCCCGTGTCGTGTGCGCTCTCTTTCACAGGAGACTCTGAACACATATCTAGCGGCTGGTAGATCTCAACGCAGCTGCTCTTACATCTGAAGAAGCAGCAGCAAGCCCCTGCTGCTGTTACTGTTGATACTGCTGCTGCTACTGCTGCAGCTGCTCACTGCGTTTAAGTCCTCGCCTCGTCGCAGCTCCACGCAACCCGAGGCGCGATGGCTGCAGGTGAGAGAGCCGCGTGCGGTCACGTCTTGACCTGGCAAGGCCGGCAAGGTGGCATGGCTAGAGGAAGGGATGCCAGGCTATTTGTTGCAGGGCAAGAGTTGGGAAAGGAAGAGGGAGCAAAGGCTGGGAAGGAAGGCGAGGATAGGGTGCTGGGCGAGGCTGGGCAAGGCTGGGCTAAAGGCGAGGCTGGGAAGGAGTTCTCATGGCTCGGGAAGTTTTCAGGCAGGGGGCATGTGTTGCAGTGCAAGGCAGCGAAGGAGGGCAACGCTAGGAAACCGGGGCAAGGTTGGGCTAGGGGGCAAGGCTGGGTTAGAGGGCAAGGCTGGGTTAGAGGGCAAGGCTGGGCTAGAGGGCAGAGGGCAAGGCTGGGATGAAGAGTGAGGCTGGGCTGGGCTGGAGGGCAGAGGGCAAGGCTGGGCTAGAGGGCAGAGGGCAAGGCTGGGCTGGAGGGCAAGGCTGGGCTGGAGGGTAGAGGGCAAGGCTGGGCTGGGCTGGAGGGCAGAGGGCAACGCTGGGCTGGAGGGCAGAGGGCAAGGCTGGGCTGGAGGGCAAGGCTGGGCTGGGCTGGAGGGCAGAGGGCAAGGCTGGGCTAGAGGGCAAGGCTGGGATGACGAGTGAGGCTGGAAGGCATGCACGTGAAGGGGGGCAGCGCCTGGAAGGGGGGATGGCAGCGCAGGAAAGGGGGGCAAGGCTACGGGGAAGGTGAATTCTGGGTTGTGCAGTTGGGACACTTTGAGGGTTGCGTAAGGCTTGAGTTGAGGGTAGAACTGGGAAAGGAGGTTAAGGCTGGAGGAGATATAGCATTATGGCTGCAGGTATTGTGGTCTATGCAAATATGACTCCTTGTAAAAAAGGTGTCAGTTTTGTTGCCAGATAGAAGGGTAAAAAAACAATTATCATATTTTTTACTGGCAAATGAGGTTCCAATGGTGAGATATGCCTCGTCTGGCAGGTAGGAGGGCAAGGTCTGTCTGGGCAATAGGGGTGTGCCCACAGAGATGCCAGTACTGAAGTGGGCATTGGTGCCAACCATCGTGAAGGATAAAGCGGGATGTGGTCACGTGTGCGATGTTTTAAGACGTTTTAAGGCCTCGTGTTTTAATGTATGGGACAGCTTCATAGCATATTTGCTGTACATAATGTAATGTATACATAGAATGTATATGTCCTACATAATTGCACATGTGTCTTGCGCGCATTTAAGTGTTGTTGGAATATACTCTAATGCAAGTATACGTGCATATGGTATGCACATGAGTGTGAGATGGCACATAGGGTGTCTGTGTGTGGTTTATGTACATGTGTATGTTGCATGGTGGAAACGTGTATGCGATATGTAAATGACGTGTATGGACATGTATGAACATGGGAATGTGGTGCAGAGGTTACACGGACATGTGCGTGGAGTGCATTTACATTTGGTATATATATGTCCATGTGGTGTGTGTGTGTGCGGGTGTGATCTATAACCTGAGTAATATCTGAACCTGTCCTGGGCATCCTTTAGGTTTGTTCAGCCTTAAATGACGAGCTGTTGCAGTGTGCAAACATCACCAACAGCAGACAAATGTGGCCGGGCGTGGTGCTAGCCACACTCGCCCACCTCCTCGTTCACCGATCTCATCTTAAAATAGTTGCTCGCTCACAAGCACTTGGCCCAGCAGTCTGATAGAGGTTACACGGTGGGTCTTTGTGTACGTCTACTGTATCATTTGTTGGCCAAAGACCCTCTGCAGCTGCTGCAGTTCTTTAAGAGTGAGCTGAATGCATTGAGGTCATTGCCAGTCACTCACTGCCCCCTACCCGCCTCCACTGCCAGTACTGAACAGCAGCCACTGGCAGAGGTCGCAAACGGGTTTTGATTCCTTACCCGTACCCGTACCCGGCCGCACCAGGGTCGCAAACGGGTACCCGTACCCAGCCGGGTACGGGTACCCGGGTATCGGGTACCCGGTTGCGACCTCTGGCCACTGGTCATCATCATCATTATGGAGCGAGTACACGAGCCTGGGCCATCGCGCGTTCTCAACCCGTTTGTCAATCCACTGATAGACGTGGGCCTCCCCAAGCAGCGTGGGTGGCCATTTGACCGTACTTCACGTCGGCCAGTTTGGGATTGGTGAAGCGTGTGGGTTGAGGAGGGGAAAGGGGTTCTTGGCCAGGACCCAGGCATCACTTGGCTTGAATAGTGCTGGGATGGGTGGCCACCATGCAGACGCAGTTTGTCATCCTGATGTGAGGTCGACGCGGTCGGTTGCATAGAGAGCGGTGCAGTAAAATCCATTGGTGTACCCGTACTACTACGCTTGCGTGGCTATGCTGCCCGCCTTCGTGAACCCGAACTGACCAGCATAGAGTACCGCACGGACCAATAATCCCCACGACCCCACAGGCAGGAGTGGGGATGCCTTCGTCCTGCAGTGGACCGATAAAGTGGGTTGCAGGTGTACAACAAAGATGGGTAATCGTGACAGATGTGGACTATGGGGGATGGTCGTGACGACTGGAGTCAGGGACACTGCCCGGAGGGTGGGTTATTGCAGTTGTTGCGACACGGTATGCTTTACAAGTATAGCATTACGGAGGAGCTGCACCTTTTGCTTGCATTCCTGAGATTCCGTTTACCTGCAGCAGTAGCAGAAGGCAAGCTTTGTTTAACGCGACCGGAGAATGCAATGGGCTTTGACGCAATACAAAAGTGCGATGCAATCGGGTACGTTTCCTGTAATGGCAGGTACACAAATTATGTAACTTCACAGTCAATGTAACAAAACATCACTGTAATAGTGCACGCATATGGGGAGGCGGCATTGTGATGGTAATTACCAGTGTTAGACCAGAAAATGCAGTTATAACCCCTCAAACCCAAGCTATTAATACTTTAATACTTGCATTGTCTTTACACTGTTCGCCCTTCGGCGTTCTCTGATCTGACATTGGTGAGAAAAGGTCATCACGAAGGTGTAGCCGAATCCAAGGCTGTAATTATAAAATATATTGGGGGGGGACACATTCCTCCCCCCCCCCCCCAATATTCAAATATGCTCAAAATGTCCCCCCCCAATATTTTGCTATAACATTTTTTGATATGCTATGTAAATAAAAACAATTTTCTGAACCTTGGCCACAATATCTGGACTTGTCTTCATATAAATCAATGCATAGATTTATGTTTATATGATTGTGGTTATGGTTGTACTTTATTAATCCATAATCTCTGCCATTACATACAATGAAACAAGAAATGGTAAAAAAAGTAAAAACAGAGCAATGTAATACAATACACCATTAGACATTATTGTAAAAAATAAGTAAATAGTGATTTTTTAAACATTTAAGTCAGGAAATTAGTTTTCAAATATAAATATTTTTCTGGGTTGGGACCCCCAGACACCCTGGAAGATTTGGTTCCCCCCAATGTTGACTCCATGGCTACGATCTTGGCCCAATCAGTTTTCAAAAACAATTCATATTATCAGAGAATGTTTGCACGTGTTTCCACAATTGTGTGGTAAATGCAGACTTGATGCCTTGTAGTAATAGGGGTATGAATTTGACGTTTGAACATCTTAACGCATATTTTATTGCCAGTGTGGGTAAAGCCTATTCCTATTTTTTTCATCATTTCGATACTGGTAGAAAGGACCCTTAGATACGCCTTAAAAGTGTTTGAAATGTACTGCCCGTAGTTAAATGAAAGTTTCTCCCTGCATGTCACGAATGTTTTTTTGTTAACTCACCCATAGACCTTGAACATGTTGACAACTTCGGGAACAATTATGTTTAACGTCTCTTTGAGCACTAGCCTTCCAAGTAGAGAATAGACAAAACCAGCAGTTTTTCTAGTTACATTCACAAGTAATCACCAGACAACTTACAATTATTCACTTGACATTTTTACTAGACTTAAATATGTGACGAAATGTTCATAGTATTAGCACTTCCGATTAGCACGGTTGGTTACGTACAGTGCGAAAAAAGTTCAACATATCTTCTTGGTTCTTTCGGTAAAGTCACATAGAATGGAAATAATAAAATAATAAAAATAAAACAATAAAATAATTCTCACGACGTTTCACCCACAATGCAAGCAGTCGTCCTCAGGTGGAGAGCAGGTCTGTCGAGAAGACAGCGTCTGAATGACACACTCCAGGCCTTATATCTTTATTATTTTATTATTTCCATTCTACGTGACTTTACCGAAAGAACCAAGAAGACGAATCCCTGCAGTCATGAAAACTTTAAATCGAAGTTCAACATACTTATGTTGGTGGACAACCATACATCATTCCTTCATCGTTAACGCGACTTTAGCAGAAAAGCCCGTCACTAAATCACGGGCAATGCACCCGATTCCGTCAGACAGCAGTCACGGGGCAGTACTTCGTACGGGCGACCACTGTGCATGAAACGGGTGTTGGGAGTCGTAGGTGTTGAAGGGAGCAAAGGTCAGTGCAGGTGAAATGTTTTGTTCTGGACTCCTCCCACCTTCAGCTCGAAATGGCCAGCCTGGTGGACAGTAAGAATGACCTTCATGACCTGCACGGTATGGGGAGGCCCTAATCCAGTCGGTGGATTGACAAATGAACGTATTGGCGGTGCACCGGTATAACAAAAAAGCACAATTTTCGCGATAATTATTAACTTTTTTTTTTCGATTTAAAGCTTTCGTGACTGCAGGGACTCATATTATTGGTTCTTTCGGTAAAGTCACGTAGAAGGGAAATAATAAAATAATAATGAAAACAGGTGTGTTTTCACACCTGATAATTGCTTGTGTTGCAATCGAAACGTCGTGAGAATTTTATAGCTGTATTTTTATTATTTTATTATTGCCCTTCTACGTGACTTTACTGAAAGAACCAAGAATAATGATTTACTTACCCGCGATTTGCAACCCCCGGTCAGAAAAATCTTGCGGGGTTGGTGCGTCAACATCCGTTCTCGTGATGTCGAAGCAGTCGGAAGAAGAATGTCCGTTCAGATTTAGATTTTGGACTGTTTTATGAGGATCCCAGTGTGTTACACGGCACCGGTGTACCGCCAATATGTCCAAATGGTCTCGACACGTCAGCAATGAGACTTCAAGTCACTCGGTGGCAAAGGTCACCCATTTAAAGCTTTCGTGACTGCAGGGATTCATCTTCTTGGTTCTTTCGGTAAAGTCACGTAGAAGGGAAGTAATAAAATAATAAAAATAAAACATCATAAAATAATTCTCACGACGTTTCGGCCACAACGCAAGCAGCAATTATTTTATTATGTTTTATTTTTATTATTTTATTACTTCCCTTCTATGTGACTTTACCGAAAGAACCAAGAAGATGAAAGGTCACCCAGTTGACATCTTCAATCGCCCAAAAGTAACTGGAAAAGGATCATTGCCTGAAAGTTTAACATATACATATGTTATGAAGGCACAATTAATAGCTAACACGTCATTCTAAGTGTGGTACATTATTTGCATTTTTATGTTTTACAAATGCCTCCAAGGAGTCAAAACTATGGGAGAGTAAGAACTTGACTTTCGGTGACTGTCAAGATAAACATTTTTCCCGGGGCGAATTCGATGTCTCCCTTGCAGAACATTTCATCGCGATGGTTTTTCACTCTGTGACTCCTGTCCCTGCAGATATGGACAAAGAAACCAAGTCACTGGCAAAGCTCTCCCTGCAGATTGGTATCTAATCGCAGATGCAGCTGTTCATCCAAGCACAGACCCTTTCTTGGGTTGCGCTTCTTATCCTTCGGCATTCATTTCTAATTTCTACTGCTTCTAGCTTTCAGTTGAACGAATATGAAGAGACGCCACATCTTTAGTTTTCATGTAGAGATGGGGTTCGGCGAGAGGGTTTTTAGGGTTAAGGTTTACAGTTTTCAGTATATTGTTTTTATCGTTAGGCAATAGGAGTGAGGTCTTTTGGGTTAGCGTTTTAGGGTTAGGTTTAAGGAGCTGTAATGTAATTCTGATGGTTAGTGGTTAGGGACAGACGTGCCCAGTACTTATTTTCTTACCACACGTCTTTCATGAAAGCGGTGGGTGCAATTGTTCAAGGTCTGCACCACAAAACCAGGAGCCCTGAGTTAACTTCTAAGCCACAGAGATCACGTCAGTCGCAAATGATAGCTGAGCTCACATCCTGGGCCTCTACTAGATCTACTCGGACTTGCGAAGAGCGCCTGGGGCAGTGTGAAAACATGAACAGTGGGGACACAAAGACAGCCAGCCGGGTATGGCCACGGCAACAACACCCTTTCATGCGCCATACCAGCTCGAAAAGTCGCTCACTCGCCGCTAATATGTGGCTAGTGATATCTGAACTGGCTCTGAGCACCACCTTCACCGACCCAGTGACGTGAAGGCTGCTCAAGCAATCCCCACGACTGACATAGCGCGGAGAAGGCCTTTGTCCAGCAGTGGGTAGATAACGGGCTGCAATTATTTACGTTTGTCTTATGAAGTAATTGGTGCCGCCGATAGTTTATCCATTGGTCAAGACCAGAGAGTTTTGTTTAACAGTCTTATTATTCTTATAGTTACAATCGTAACACCTATACTGCCGACGAAAATAAGTCGGTTATTACAAAAATAAGACTAAAGAAAATGTAGATTTAATTCTGAAAGGTACCGTGTCGTGAGAGGAGTGGTGGCATAGTGGTTAGTGCACTCCGCTTTGAAAATAGCCACCTGAGTTTTAGTCTTGACCACTTAGCAAACCTCACCGGGCCAGTATGGTGAAGTATTCTCAAAACAACGCCGACGATCGACACAGCGTGGGCGGAAGTCTATTCATCCAGTAGCGGATTCACAAAAGGTCGTTGTCATAATCCTTTTGTGTGTGTGCGTGCGTGTGTGGCGCACGTGACTGCGTGCAGGTGTGGACAAGGTGAGCCTGCCCTTCAAGCTGTACTGCTTGACGGTGATGACCCTGGTGGCCGCCGCGTACATCGTGGGCCTGCGCTACACGCGCACCACCACGGGAGACATGTACTTTGCCACGACCGCCGTGTGCCTCACCGAGGTGGCGAAGCTCATCGTCAGCTTCGCCATGCTCACCAGGTGAGCGACCCCCCCCCCCCCCCCCCCACCCCGCAGGGAACAACGGGACAGCATTGCAGGAACCGTTCGGCTCGGATGCGCGCAAACGTGGGCCGGGCGACTCGCGTTGCTGCAGATCGCTGTTTTATACAAAGTTCACCTCGCTATGAATGCTGATAGTTGGCCGTGACAGTGTAAATGAGTTGATAAATAGACCAAAAAATTATAATCGCTCACTTTTATCGTGGCCCATACCTGCCAAAATGGCAGCCGCCCCACATGCTGCTCCCCCGAAGGTGGGAAACCCCCTACGGGCCACACGCGGCTGATGACGTCACCAAGCCTCATCCATTACCTCCTGTCCAGCGGCATACGTGGGAATGGAGGCGAGACTTGTTTTCCACTAGTTTCGTGTTATTTGATTCGTCGAGTAAAGGAATCTGTAATTAGTAGCTGGGATGATTACTTAAATCATTGTACTGGTGGGGGTCTGCACCATTGCACCCCCATGGCCGCCTTTGTCTTCCCATTGTTGGCTGTTACTCTTCGGCACTGCTCTGTGTTTTTGCGTCATTTGCTTTGTGTTCAATGTCTGTCCTGTTTATTATCTAAAGCAGGGGTGGGGAACCTTTTTTCTGCCAAGGGCCATTTGGATATTTATAACGTCATTTGCGGGCCATTCAAATTATCAACTTAGAAATTAGCCTGTTATATTTGGTCAAACATTTAATTAACTCACCCCTAATGCGATGGCTGGAACAGTTTTTTTTTGGTGAGGCGTGTGATGTTAGCTGCTATTGATGATGTTGCTACTCGCAACTGCTTTTCCAGGTTTGCTCCTAGATTTATTGAATTTCGAGTCACGCCTGCGGTTGCCTTGGCAGGGCCAGACCAAATGATTTCGCGGGCCTTGTACGGCCCGCGGGCCGGAGGTTCCCCACCCCTGATCTAAAGGAACAAAAACAATTGCATATATGTTAATTACTTGCTCATTATTTGTTCTTGCGTGTTTGTTGTTGTAACATTCTTACCCGCCCCAAATGGACATCTGTGAAATAGAGCTTTTTACAGCTCATAGAATTCCTCCAGTATGAATAAATATTCTGATTTAATGTTTTCCTCGTGAGCCTGAGAAATTGTTCGAATTGATGAATAGTTGAATAATTTAATGCCTGGTACTCGCCATCCCATCTGCTTTGAGTGTGCTATAACATCATAGCCACATTGTTTCCATGGCGCTACCATATTTCTGCGAGGCTTACACTAAAATAGTTGAGTTTTATTTGTATATTTTTCTTTCGTGATTTGCTTACATTTCCTCTACTTTGCACGCCTATCGTGTGTTTGTATTGTTTTTGTTGTTGTAACGTTCTGACCCTGCCCCTACTGGACATCCGTGATTAAGAGCTTCATAGCTCATCGGATTCTTCAAGTATGTATACATACAGTGATCCCTCGTTTATCGCGGTTAATGGGGACCGGAACCCCTCGCGATAGGTGAAAATCCGCGAAGTAGGAATGGCCCCCTAGGAATTTCCGTATATGTGTGTGTGGGTACCAGAATGTTTAAAATATGTATATTTGTACTTTATATATATATTTTACTTAAATCTATTTAATTATAAAACCTTAATATTATACATTCACTCTCTCTCTCATACGATACGTATTATGGTGTTCTACACTCACCAATGACAGTAGTATCTTGAGACTTGACTCCAGTAATGACGACGACGACGATGACAATGACGATGACAGTGACGACGATGACAGACCTGTGCAGTTCGATGAATGTGATGATGGATGATGATGTTACTGCACAGGTATAATGAGGCCTTGAAATCAGTTCGAAAAATCCGCGATGCACTGAGGCCGCGAAACTTGAACCGCGAAGTGGCGAGGGATTACTGTATACCGATTCACATGGCGAACTACACAGGGGACCTTTGTCTTGTGTGCCACAGGGAGACGGGGAGCGTGCGGGGTATGGCCAAGTCCGTCTGGGAGGACGTGATCATGAACCGCAAGGAAACCCTAAAGCTCGCCATCCCGTCGCTGGTGTACGCGTTGCAGAACAACATGGGCTACGTGGCGCTCAGCAACCTCGATGCGGCCGTTTACCAGGTATGCCTTCCGAGTCCTCGTTCGGCGCACAAGTTACAGGCATTCCCGATATTAGGAGGCCACTGGAGTTATGCACTTTTAAAACTAGATGAAAAACGAATTTCTTTAAGGACTGCTTTTTGTGTTTAGTTTGTTGTCCTGGGCCCGCACCTCCGATTAGCACAGTTGGCTACGTATGGTGCGAAAGAAGTTCAACATGCTTACCTGATCCTGATATTGTGGAAAACATTTCCACCTCCGGCTTGCATTGTGCTGACTCTGTGTCGGTCAGCAGACGAGCGATAGTCGGTCGCCCTCTTAGCACTTTCCTTTCGCTACACCCGTGGTTTACCGTTTTTCGCGAACGTCACTCGCCGATTCCTACCGCTCATGTTGAGAAAAGCAAACGGTAGCTTGCACATCTGAGGAGTTGTCCGATAAAAACTATATAACCCGCATACACAAATACATTACACTGGTCAACACACTTTTTTTGGTATGAGGTATTCCAACGGTTTTAGGGTAATTTGGGGGTGCTGATTCCAAATCTGGCATCAGTTTTTGTCTATCACGTCAGGTTTTTGAGATATCAAATATTGCATTTTCAATAAAAACTGCGGAAGAAAAATATTAAATAAATGTGGATATCTACATGAAATAATATTATAAACACACTATCCTAAAAATACAGCACCATATTTTAACACTAAAGCAGTCACTGACTCGCAACAACTTGCAATCATAAGTGACAGAGTTAATTTCGGATAAAATCAATGAAAATGGGCTATGCCGATAGCATAAAAATGAGATGTGATAGAGCAAATCTGAGATCAGATTTGGAATCAGCACCCTGAAATTAGTCTAACACAGCTGCAAAAGTCCAGGCCAGAATTTTTATTTTGTTGACCAGTGTTATTGAAATACTGCCTAGTCTATTTACACATTCACTGGAAGTAACAGACACCCGCATGTGTGATTTGTTTCAAGTTTCGTGAGAAGCGTCTACATCAATGTAAGACTCATGGATTGTGATTCGGTCTACCAGATTGACAGTTGTATCTCATCCATGGTGTGTTCAAGCACCGTACTTTAGTTCAAAACCTTTCTCGCTTTGCTTTACTCACATAATTCAACTTGGGAATTCCCGGCCATTGTGTCGTTTCCCGAGTTCTTATAGCCTCGCTCAATCAGGAAACATTTAACTCAATTTCAAGAGTGCTGTTTGTTGCTGGCCATCTGGCGTTTTGGACCTTTGCTCAGCAACTGTCGCTGTGAGGGCCATTGGGTGTCTTTCGTTGCACGGCAACACAAAGTCGAACAACTGCAAAGGTTAGGAACGGTCGCCTACGCCGATTAAAACTTGTTATTTGTTCATATTTTGACAAACATGCGCAGTGTAAACTTCACTTCAAGAGATTGTGAGTAGACCAGCGTGTGGGAAGCTGGTCTCGTGTGGTGTTACAAGGGCAAAGCTCACTCAGGGTCCTCTTGGCTTGTGTTGGCTCTGTTTACAGTGATGTTGACAGAAGCATTGAATGTTTCAACAAAACGCAGCAGGCTAACATTGAGACAAATCGTAATTGTGTTGATCTCTGATGGGAGCCATCTTGAGGGATCGTACACGTGGCATCTGTTATTGTTACTTTTTCCATGAGCAGTTTCCATCATCGGAGAATCCTTTAAACCGATTCTAACACTCATTAGTAAAGAAATCTTCGGATAGAAAAGTGAATGCAGGTTGGCGACACGGATAATAATAATATGCGCAATACGTGCTTTCTAGAGGGCAAAAAGCACAATTGACCATAGAATATGTCATTGCTTGTTACGTGACATCACCACACTGCGTCTCTCTAATTTTAGGCCACCGACTCAAGAAAGTCAACATGTTTAGAACACCGTAGCAGGATATTCCAGCACACACTACTTGAAAACGAAGGTTGGCCAATTTAGTCATGTGGTACGGCAGTGGAAACAACGGGGCAAGTGTCTTAAATCCTTCTTCACCGCCTCTGTCTACCCAGCAGTATAAACTGGCGCACCACAGTTCATCGGCAGGCCGCGTGTGTTGGAGTTAAGCGTTGGTACTACCACCTCTTCCAAAATGTCTGGCCAGCCTGTAAGCATAGGCCAAATATCCACTAAAGAGTCTGTCAAGAGCGCCCTTGAGTGGAGGACCTTCCATTAGCAGTGACGTGAGCAACCAATTGCAGGGCTGCACCTTTAACTTTTGTAATCCTGAGAACTCTGTTTAATCACAGGCGGTTGCTTGTATTCGAACCCACGTTTCAAGCTCGGCTTCCTGACTTTTGACCTCTGTCCCACACGGCCACCTCGAACTGACCCAAATGTTATCGGTCGGGCAATGCAGACACCCGCACGCATCCACCCACACGCATCCACCCGCACGCATCCACCCGCACGCAGACACCCGCACGCAGACACCCGCACGTGCACGCGCGCGCGCTCACCTCGCCCGCCCTCCTTGCACGCAGGTGACGTACCAGCTGAAGATCCCGTGCACAGCGCTCTGCACCGTGCTCATGCTGGGCCGCTCGCTCAGCCGCCTGCAGTGGTTCTCCGTGTTCGTGCTGTGCGGCGGGGTCACCCTGGTGCAGTGGACGCCGGCTGAGTCAACCAAGGTCATGGTGGGTAGGTGCCTGGACTGCACCACTGCCTTTCCCTTGGTGTCGGCGCAGGGCACGTTAAGGCCTGGTGTTTAGGAGTGGAGTTGGACTATCTGATTATATCATTAATTGATTACTCTAACTGAATTTCGGTTGGATTACTCGACTAATCGTATTGCACGAAATTATTTGGAGTAAAAAAAAAGCCTGTGTTTTAAATACGTCTGCAGTACATGGTGCATGCACTTATGCCGCTGCGTAGTTTTTTGCGATTGTGCTGTGTAGCTCTCTGGTGTGTTTTCGAGGTTTGTGCCGTTTAAGTTCAAGTTAATTTATTAGGTATAGCCCTGTGAGCCATTCGGCTCTTGAATCGGGTGCAACCGCAACAAACAAAAAACAAAAACATGAACAAGAAAACATTTTAAAGTGAATATGTGACTAAGTGCAAACAGAAAATCTAAGAAAAGACAGCAAAATATTGCAGAAAAAGCACCATACACCAACGCTGTGTGCAGAAATCCCAGTGGGATGCAAGTCAAACAACAACAACAACAACCACAAGACAACTTAGATTAAGGCCATCAATCTAACTCCATACTACAACAAACAAACATGGCCAAACCAAAAAACTTTTAGAAAATCACCAAAATAAAGCCATGAAAGCAATGAAACGGTGATCATAGGAACTGTGACAGAATTTTCACAATAAACGACATAAACAACATGTACCACCAAACCCTGCAGCCATAGCTGGCTGCACGACGTCCCGGGAACCTCACCTCCGAGCACGCGGAGCGAAACGTCATGAATTGTGCCGAGCGAACACGGTGGTCGAACTTGAATGAACATCAGAGCTATACGGTGTTCTTGTTTTTGTTACGAACACAAATATACAGTATTCCCTGGTGATACGTTCCGGAGGTGCTCGTGAATAGCAAATTTAGCGGATAATTATATTGGCCTACGAAAACCGACAAATAATATTGGGCAAGAAAAATATTTTTATTAATTACCTTAAATAAATGAATACATAAATAAGATATGAAATACGTGCAAATTATTTCATCACTTTACCTCATTACCTGATCTCATCACTTCATCTCATCAATTTATCTCAACATTTTCTCTCATTGCATTCTCTCTCATCACTTTATTTCATCGCTCTCTCTCTCTCTCGATGCAGTCGTGTGGAGTCCCAGATGCGATTCGCGGATAGCCAAAATCGCGGATCACAAGTTCGTGACTAACAAGGGAATGCTGTCTTAAGCACCTCACCTGTTCACCTCTAATGCTGAATGTTGTCTGCCGAAGGTGGAGCAAAATCCATTTCTGGGGTTCATGGCCATCGCCGTTGCGGTCGTGTGCTCGGGGTTTGCTGGTAAGAAGTCCTCGTCTCGCGATATTCTCTCACACCCTCACACACTCGCACACACTCGCACACACTCGCACACACTCGCACACACTCGCACACACTCGCACGCACTCGCACGCACACACTCGCACACACTCGCACGCACACACTCGCACACACTCGCACACACTCGCACACACTCGCACGCACACACTCGCACACACTCGCACGCACACACTCGCACGCACTCGCACGCACACACTCGCACGCACACACTCGCACACACTCGCACGCACACACTCGCACACACTCGCACACACACACTCAGACACACACACACCCACACACCTACACACCCTCACACCCACACACCCACACACCCACACACACACACACCCACACACCCTCACACCCACACTCACACCCACACACCGTAATATTCGTCGAGAAGGCCTCTTTCAGCGACCGTGATTGTTAAAAGGAGGACCAATATTTTCCAACCCTGGTTAACGAGCTCAAATTTGATTTTGTACCGCAGCATTCACACAAGGTCTCATAGCGCTTTGCACAAAACAACCAGACCCTTAAGTAACCATGAACAAATACAACTGAATAAAACCTTGAATGAATAAAAACAATAAATAGATTAGACAATAAACCCCTGAACAAATAAAACCTTTAACAGATACAACTGAATTTTGATTTAAAGCTTTTATGACTGCAGGGATTCATATTCTGGGTTCTTTCGGTAAAGTCACGTAGAAGGGAAATAATAAAATAAATATATATTTATATTATTTTATTACTTCCCTTCTACGTGACTTTCCCTTATTTCGCTTCTACGTGACTTTACCGAAAGAACCAAGAATATACATACAACTGGAATAAAAACTCTCAACAGATGAACACTTTTGACAAATATAACGGAATAAACTTTAAAAAATATATATATAAACAATGTAAAAGGCACATAACCTACACAGACGGGTATACAATTGAAAACAAATATGTGTCTCCAGCTTGTCGATGGCGTTACTTGTAGTGTCTATTTAACCGGAGGGCTCGTTGTCATAGTTTACGTTTGGCGCGGGTGATGCCGCAACCGCTTGCTCAATTGCCACCTGTTCCAGCTATTGTATAATCTTTATTGCTGTTACCACTTGCTTACAAAAGGTGCGGTTAAAGTTCCAATGGGGGTTGGGGGGGGGGAAATCGTAAAACTGGAAACTATTTTCTGAAAATTAAATTCAGTGCAGCAATTTATTGATGATGCAATCTCTCGCACGGTACTGCATTAGTGGGCCTTAGCAGAGAGAACAAGGGTTACGTTTGCTTGCACGAAGCCCAGTAATATTTGCCCATCAAATAGCGCTCACTTTTTTGGGTGGTGAAATGTGGTCCCACGATGAAAGACGCTTTGTACTTCAAAGTAATAAAATCTCTGCATCACCCCCAACGTGGTCCTATTTTATGAGAATTGTAACGTTTCTACGAACGCTTTGTGAAACTGAATTGGTTGAGGCACGCAGAGAGGAATTGAAATCACTTTCAGCTCGTATCCAGACATCAGCGTATAATGAACTCGGTGACCTGAACAAAGGTGCTTTTGTTCGACCACATTTTAATTGTACGATCAGTATTGTCATGAGATAACATTTGGACGATGACATCACGTACTTCTGAAGTCACTTCAAGAGATATATTTATACGAACTGTGTTTAAAATTTAGTTTAATCGTGGGATCGCTGATATCTGGATGCGAACTATTCCTATGGCTCTCAGGAAAGGTGGTGGCTCGCCGCTTTAGCATGGCGTTGTCCACCTAAACCACTTGGGCCAACTCCTGGCTTGTGACTTTGTTTTATTTTTTTCTAACGAGGTCCGTCCGTTTGTCGCGCCACAGGCGTGTACTTTGAGCGGGTGCTCAAGAGCTCCAACACGTCGCTGTGGGTGCGCAACATCCAGATGTACCTGTGGGGCATCCTCGTCACCTTCCTGGGCGTGGTTACCAACGACGGCAGCGCCGTGATGGAGAAGGGCTTCCTGCACGGCTACACGCCCATGGTGTGGCTCGTCATATGTGAGTCGGCTCGTCGAGCATCTTGCGCGCACGGCATAGATCCCTCCGTCTCGCACTTTGTTCGTTTCTCAATCCGCTTGTCCTGGTGAGGATCGTGGTGGCAGCATGTTGAGTAGTGGCGGTCCAGACCTCCCTTTTCCTGGTGACGGACTCTAGCTCTTCCTGGGGAATTTGCGGCGTTCCCTGGCCAGCCGAGCGACATAGTCCCGCCAGCATGTCCTGGGTTGGCCCCGGGGTCTTCGCCCTTTGCAGAGATTAACATTTTTGTCGAAATATATCACAGTCGCTAAGTACAGGCCCAAAACTCGCAAGCAGCCGGACACAAACCGTCATTGTTAAAGGTGTAATAGTTGAGAGGAGAAAAAAGTGTATTGAATTGATTAGGGCGACGTGATTGAGAGCTTGGGAAAAGAGACGATGGGAGGAGAATTCCACTGTGGGAAAAGTGCGGGGGAAGAAGCAGAAAGAGCACTGTTTTGACCTGCAGTACGTATCTATGTACCTTGCTAATCGGAGGTGCGGTGGTTGAACGCAGATGAAGGTTTGCTAAACCGTATCACAAATCTTAGCAATTCTAATAATTAAATAATTCCTCATGGTTACGATGCACAAATCAAATCACACATTTTAATAATCAATTACTCTTAATGGATATGTAAATAGTTGACGTATAATTACAATGTATACGTAAGTTATCTTGTTTTTCCCAGGACGTCCTTAGGATACACAGCTTGCTATTGTTGCCTCTTTAAATCCCCTCGTCTAAATTCAGTTAATTCAATATTTTTGAGAGTTCATCATCTAGATTTGAAGTTTTCGTGACTGCAAGGATTCATACTCTTTGTTTTTTTCCGGTAAAGTCACGTAGGTAAAAAATAAATGAAATAAACGAAAACAACTACATTAAATCGAAAGTACATTGCTTAAGTGTGTGTACTTTCGCTCCGTTATCCACACCTGTAGACGGACGCTTGTGTTGTGCCCGAAACGTCGTGATATAATTTAGATGTTTTCATTTATTTTTTACCTACGTGACTTTACCGAAAAAAAACAAAGAGTATAGTTCATCTGGCAGTACCAACCTCCTCCTGATGCTGCAATGCCCAATGGTGGCCTTTGGCAACCCACGCCACTCACCCTGGTGATCATGCTGTACTGCTGCTGCGCTGTTCTACTGCTGTTGCTGTTTTTCCCACACAGTCCTCGCCAGCGTGGGTGGCCTGTACACCTCGGTGGTTGTCAAGTACACGGACAACATCATGAAGGGCTTCTCGGCTGCTGCTGCCATCGTGCTTTCCACAGTGGCTTCGATGCACCTTTTCGGCCTGCAAGTCGGTATGTTTGTCCCTTCGTCTGTCCAATCGTCCGTCTCCCTATCCGGCTGTCACAGGGTGGAATCATTTGCAGCTTGGGGTGTGTGAGCGTCTGATGGGTGATCAGGGTGGACACAAGACCAAAGGCCTTTTATCTCATAAACAACAGGAATCAAGAACACCTTGAGACGGCAACGTATCATAAAGCCTATCGCTATACTAGACAACACATCAACTCTCCGGTGCTACAAGCTCTGTTGCTCTGCTCTGAGTCCACACGGGAGGGCAGTGACGCAACTTCCTTGGAGCGTCAATTATTGGAGCAACTGCCTCTATAACCAGGATGCGGTTGATGTGACCGCCGTATTTGCAGAAGTAGAAATGGGTCTTTGGGTATCGTAAAGAAATCCGACGACCCTCTCCCTGCCTTCTTGAAATCTTCTCACACAGCCTGACTGTCCCTGATGACACGCTTAGTGGTCACCACCTCATCCACCTCCTCTTCAGCCTCTCATTGGCTTCTGTTCCCCATAGCACGGCTCGGACAATGAGCGCGCACTGCTATGTCACCAATAGTTTAACCATGACACAAGTTGCTTGTACAGAGCCTCGTTGCACCCACCAATATTTCTCTCCCACAATGTTATTAAGCCTATTGCTTTCTCCAATTACGGCCTTCATAATATCTGACCGGGATCACTTTTAAGTAGAATCTCGACACATTAACATTACTTCTCTTCAGTAACCATATTGGTGGATCACACAGAGATGTGGCGATTGTGTGCACGCGAATGTATGTATGTATGTCGAACATCTTTCGCACCGTACGTAGCCAACCGTGCTAATCGGAGGTGCAGGAAAATTTGCTTATAAATAAAACGGCGAAGTGCCTGTAGGGAACGGCACAGTAAGGAGGTTGTGCCAGGCCAATCCTGTGCTGCTGTGCAGCGTATTCTCCCTTTGCTTGAGTTATGGTCTCTGGGCACTTCAGTTTAACCCCCTTGTTCAAACGCGAGGAAATTGCGGCACTGCAAACGGTGGTGAGAAACGAGGCGCATTGGGCAACGATCGAGGGAGAAAGAGCAGTGAAACCTGTGAGGGAAACGCCGCCAGGTGCCATTGCAATGCTTCCGCCGTGTTGTGCTGTGGTGACTGCAGGCCTTTTGTTCATGGTGGGCACGTTCCTGGTGTGCCTCTCCATCTACATGTACGGCTTGCCGCGCACCGACACCACCAAGCTGACGCCGCCCCCTGGGAGCGAAGCGGAGCACAGGAAGCCGAGCACTTCCATCTGAGACGAAGCACCGTCTCCCGCCACTGCCGCTGCCGCCACCACTGCCCATCGGTCACGCCCGTAAAGACAAAAACAGAATCTACGTGGATGGGGAAGAGTCCGACGCGTGTTCACATATTCCCACTGCGGCTCGGCAATGGTGACATTTCTCGATAAGGGTCCGTCGTGGCACGGGGGCAGTATTTCAAGGGATTTTTCTGCCCCACACCCACCCACCTAACTTGTGTTTTGGACCACGCTGCTAAAGGTGAATTCGTGATGATGCTGAAATAGCGGCGTCACTGGTCAAATAACGATGCGTGGACTCGCTTGCGATAACCGCGAAGTAAAACTCTTGCCGTGTTCGACCGCGAACCGAATCTCGGTTCAGTGCGGTTGTGTTTTGCGGCCTTGGTGAGTGACACGAGTGCGTGCCGCCACCCAGGCTAGTAATGTACGCTTACGTAGCGGCTCGCCAGCCCTCTGTGTGTCTGTACGTGATCGTGAGTCGTGCGCTGCGACGAAGTGGTGTCCTTGGGAAAAACTTTAATCGTAAAGTTGTCGGTCGTCTGGGAGAAATGTTGATTGTGGGGATAAGTCTAAAAAGCACAGGTACTGTTTCACTTATTTCATTTGTAAGCCTCATCACAAGGTAATTTCTATGTAAACACTGGATCACTTGGGTCAGTAACTGGTCAAGATTTTAAAGTCATCATATGTAAAGGTTGGGTTTTATTTGTTTTTTTAATTTCCCATTGGCGTGTAAAGTGTAAACTTTGTATAGTCAGGGTGGCCGGGTTTGTTGAAGGTCAGAACGCTGAACCAGACCTTGCTGATATCCCTCGGTGAAAATATAATCAGTCACCCGTGGTTAAACCGCGTTCTCAAGCACAGTGGTCATCAATGACTTTACAACAACAACAACAACAAAAATACACGTTTAGCTTTGCACTTTGCTTCATTGCATCTTGGATAGTTAAATAGATGTTTTTTACTGTCGTGATAATCTCTCACTGTAGAGTGTGTGGATAAGTGCGACCCGTACTGGGTCATGGATAACAGAGGCCACTCGGAAGGATTGTTTTGTGTGAGATCCTGTAAAAAAAAAATTCCACAGTCATACCTCAGACACACCGCTTGTACTGATGTGCAATTGTGGCCAAAAGCACAATTAGAATTAGTGTATAGGTAAAAGGAAAATAACAACTAAAAGCGGTAGATTTTAAAATGTTGATCCATTTAGGCAACTGAACTTCTAATCTAAATTATTTAAAAATGTTATTCTGATTTAACAAAATAAAAACACTACCTAGGTTTATTATCATCATCATCATCATTCTTACAATGCTTGTTTACTCCGGAAGGCTGCACCTTGCCCAACACTCTTTTTCTAAGAAGGTCCCTGCCAATTTTTCACAGACGGTGGGGGTTGCTGCTACGTGTAGTCCCAGTTGAGTAATTAAAGCAGGTACATTGTCAAGCGTGAGAAAGCTTGGCCAGTTACATTGTGGGGTTTTTTTCTCACTTATAAAAGATCACACACTCTTGGGGGTTTTACACAAGGGTGGTCCACCGTGGTTTATACATCTCCACTCCTGCAGGCGTTTCACGCTGTACGTCGGGTATTTTGGGTTTGCGTCGCTGGATTGCGTTTTATTCATGGCCATTGGCCGAACTAAGCACTGAACCTTGACCTGTGGCCAGTTGCATACAATTCATTCAGAATGTGAGATTTCACCGTTACACTAAATAATTTACATTGCAAAAAAACGGACTAAATGTCACTCTGATTTAAAGCTTTCGTGACTGCAGGGATTCATATTCTTGGTTCTTTCGGTAAAGTCACATAGAAGGGAAATAATAAAATATTATTTTATTTTTACTTCCCTTCTATGTGACTTTACCGAAAAAAAGTCACGTAGAAGGGAAATAAAATATTTTTATTATTTTATTATTTCCCTTCTACGTGACTTTACCGAAAGAACCAAGAATATGAATGTCACTCGTGATCAGGGGCAGTTTCTTCATTAGGGCGATTGGGCGACGCACCACCAATGTCATTCAACCACAGAGTCACGCGAGCCGTCACTGTGCCTCTGGATATAGTCCAATCAGCGTCATGTCACGTTCTGTGGAGTACCGCCTCTTTTTGGGCGATTTCACTCCGGCTGAGAATCGCCCCGAGTGGCCCCATAGACTTACATTCAAAGATGTTTTTTTTCACACGGGGGGCGCTGCAATGCATTCTCTGGCTTCCGGGAGGGCTCGCCCTAACGTGCTTACGTCATCAAACGTAAGCACGTTTCATCCAACAATATAATTTGTCGCCACCTAGTGGAATCTTTAATAAAAGAAACTTGAGTGGATTGTATTAATAGTGAGTATAGAAACAAACAAGGTGTATTGTAAGAGTCACTTTATTTTTCATTAATATTAAAGAAGTGAAGTTGCCTTTACATGCTTAAGCTGTTAATTTATCCATTGCATGGGTGGACCTTATCCTGAGCAATAATCCAGACATTTGCCCCCCCCCTGAGAGATTTTGCAGGAGCCGCCACTGCTCGTGATGTATCATGTAACCAACTACAGGTTGCAACCACAGTGTTTGGCATGTGAGTCCAGACACCGCCAAGAAACGTTAAATATGGTCAAGAGGTAGCCACAATTTTGGACACGAATGGCATTTTTAATCGGTGCACATTCAAGGTGACATTCTAATGTTGACTACGGAACTTATTTTTTTTACGCAGAGCAGCGCATGAACAATGAGGCTCGGTGTCGAGTCAGGCGCCGGTAGTTGCTTTCTTGCATCGCGGGGTGGGGGGTGGTGGTGCACATCACGGAGCCTGTCTGTGATCTAACCAATAACCACAGGGAACCATTCCCTAGTAGGACATCTCCACCTTCTATCGTGTAGCTGCACCCGACTGAAGCCTCATTGACGGGCTCCTGGGCTCTCGGCTGATGAAGCCGACGTGGTTCGCTCCACACTCGCCCACACCACACAAGAGTTCAGTTTTAGAGAAAGAAAAAAAAATGGAACGTCATTCTGAGTCGTTCAGCATCCCCTCATGAAACACTAATTCGGCGCACAGAAATTACCTCCGATTTTTAAACAAAGACTTTTGAACCAACTTTGACGGGGTGGTATTTGGATAATCCTGTGTGCAATGCTTTTATTAAAAGTTATTTTTGGATTGTATTGCAGTTCTCTCTGCTGGACAGGTGTGCAAAAAGCATTTCAAGAGTGGCTAATGTAAGGGTAATCCATGTTTGAAATGCGACTACGTTTGTTGGCTTAATAGATTGTAGATTGATCCACTTTTAAAGGTTTATTACTGTGTTGTACTTGTACATTAAGGTGGACATATAACCCCCGTGATGTGCCCAAAGCTTTGGTAAATTAATTTAGCTTTTCATTGCAGCAAGCCTAGCATGGAGAATCCCACTAAGAAACAACTGCACCATGCCTTTTGAAAATGTGTTTGGTAGCACTTGTGTTGGGCGTGCGTCAAATAATTGCATCCATTTGACCAATTCCAAAGCAAAGCATCGCGAGACCTGCAAAAATTACCGTATTTATAGCTAGATGCTGATTTATAGGGGATGTTTGTAGAGTGTGCGCACTTTACGATGTAATGTCAAGTGGGTGTTGTCAGAACGCACTGGGGGGAGGAAGTGATTAAAAGGTGGTTTTGGAATTAGTTTTTTAAAAGTAACATTTTTTTTTATTGTGTTGGCGAGTTGGTGAATCCTGTGTACGATCATATTTAATCAGTCGGTTGATTAGACGGCTCGCAAAAACTGGTGCTTGGTAAAACAACCTCGCGATTTTTTTTGACAGCTTGAACCGTGCATGGAACTTAACGGAACAAGCGTTACAACTGGCGCGGGACGGATCAATGGTAGCTTGGGAATATACGTAACAAAAATAAGGAGTCTGTATTGACACAATCCGCTGCCGAATGAAGATCATCCCAGTTGCCGCCATCTGTTACGCTCCCAAGACGCAACGGTCCAGCACCTGTGCACGCTCCAATTCCATCGCTCCGTCTCTGCACTGGATGATGCCCTCGTGGGTGCCGAGTTGGAGCGATGGAATGGGCCCCGCGTGCAAGGATGCTCGTTGCATTTACTGCATCGCAGGGTTGTTGATGTTGGGGGGGGGGTGATAGTGTTGGTCTTGGGAAGCTTTCATCCAGCAGTGGATGGACCACAGCAGATGAGTAGTCTCGGCTTCCTTACTCGGTAGACCTGTACATTTGACTCGACCAACGACATTAAACAATGCTGTATACGATTCGAAAGGAGTTGCACCGTGCTTGCTTTCTGGCATCTTTACGAATGGAAAGGTTACGTGGCTTGATGCTCATCCTCCTGCACCTCCGATTAGCATGGTTGGCCACGTACGGTACGAAAGAAGACCAACACATAGCCCTGAACCGTCCCGTAAGGGTTGTTTGCAGCTTACTGTTCAGCGTAGGATTGCTATAAAAACATTATGCTCTGCTCACTTGATTGTAATGCAATAAACCCATTAAATGGACCTATTCATGAAGGGGAGCCCCCACATGTCCCGGGGAATGTCGCTTATTTAGAGGCCGTTCCTGTGTGCCCCGAAGTTTTGGATAAAACTTAGATTTTTTTTCCCTCTTTAAAATTATTTTGCGGGATGCTCACTCTCATTGACTATGGGGCAGAGAGTGGGGCTATAGAAGTAGTGGGTTGGTGCTAGTGGTGGAACAGCAACCCTAAGTCTTCTAGACACAATATTTGTGAGAATCGATTTCTTCATCTCTGCAGGTCTCTACTAGCCACGTACACCGCATGGTTATTCATCACGCATTTCACTTGCCCCCACCAATACTTTGTGCAGGATTTGAACCTGCGAACCTGATACCTCCAAAAGAGCTGGTGGAGCCCCAGGTGCGTCTTTTCTGCGCTGCGCCACGGAGCTGCCCAAAGCTCCAGTTGGCTTTGTCCACCTAAGTCCTCTCACTGCGCATTAATGCAGCAATAAAAGTGCGATGATTTCATCGCATACACCGAAAATAATGGCAAAAAACAGGACTTGGTGGGATTCCAAACCAATTGTGCGTTTGCTACGCTGCATTAACAAAATTTGTTTTAATAAAATATTCTGCTTGATTTGAACCGAGGTATCTTCAAACAGGACACACAATCACTGCATTAGCCATTGCAGGCTTGGCAAGACTTACAGGAGCGGCGATATATATAACTGAGACTTAAATTGAAGTCCTGTTAAAGTCATATGCCAGCTGCACACGAGTCTTAGAGCGTACAAAGGTCTCAATAGAGGCGGGCCTCTGGTGGCTGAGCGGAGCGTGTGGGGAATTGGAAAGTGTGTGGCAATGGTGAGGCTGAGTCAAAGAGTTCAAACCCCACCTATTTTTTTTCATATTATTCAATTACAAAATAGTAAAAAAAAATTACATTGGTGGATTCGAACCTATGTAAGCTTTTAACCTTCTAACCTTCTAACTTTCTAACTTTCTAACTCCACATACTCTCCACCCAGCCACCAGAGGCAATGCTTGATCTACTAGTGTCTTTGTTTATATGACTTTGGACCTCCTCGGATACTAAGCAGACTTGTGAGCTGAACCAGAGCTCCGATGCTCTGTTATGAACCCGGCGGGACACTGAGATCTCTCTCCAACACAGAATATGCTGTTCCCATCTACCCCAAATATTGTATTAATATATTGTGGTATATAAATACAAGCTAACTACCAGCCCATCCTCGGGACAGGGCGAATCTTTATTCGAACTAAAATACTTAGTGAAGCTGCATTGGATGAGAGATCTGAAGCCTGATTTGAATTCGCCTTCCAACTTTTGACCTCATCACAAATTTAACAGACAACGGATATCACAGCACATCACCGACACATCACAAGCGGATACCCAGTACGTCACTGATTATAAATTACAGCCACCGTCGCAGAAACATCACTGGCAAGCCAGACACATCACATACGCGACATGAGAAATGTTCTTTGTTCAAACTTGAGTTTATTAAACATTGCGAAGTTGTACATCTGTGGGATTTGATGAACGTCAATGCGTTGATGAGCGGTGAAAGTGGTGGCAGTGGTTCGTCCGAGCACTGCAGCTATAAACCCAGCGACCAGTTTGATTCCTGGCCACGTCTAAGTTTTGAGATCGAAACCGACCCTGGGTGGGTGCAGATACTCCCTTCACCGACCTGCATGGATCAGCGTGGTGAAGTATGGTTAAATTACCTTAATGACCGACGCGGTGTGGTATCGAGGCTGTACAAGGGTGGTCTTCTGCCGTCGAAAGTGTCTGTGGTCCGCTGCTTTCCGTGCAGTGATCTCGTCCAATCACGAGGCAACTCGTGACCAAGGCAACAATGGCTCCACCAAATTGTCATTCGGTCCCCCCACCCCCCCCCCCCCAATTTTCGTAATCGATTTCCCTCTGACCCAGCCAAATTGGGTGAAAGGACGGACTCTTCTGTAACACACGCAGCCAGCTCAGACGGGTATACTCTCCCGAGACGGACAAAAAGGCACACCTCAGTCGTCTGGTTTCCACTGTGTATCCTGTTGATCCTCTATTAATTGGTCTGAATATCCTCAGTGTACTCCAAAACCCAGCAAGGGAAACTACAGACCAAAAGACGACTCTAAAACAGGTTCATTCACCGTTCGAAAATGTGCATATGGATGTAACATTATTTGGGAAATTCCATTGCACACATTTCACAAAGGCGATCTGGATTGAATACCACAATCGTTTCGTGTATATTTTTTGTCGTTATTTATTTACTTACGAAACAGCCACAGTGTAGCTGATAATTTAATCGTGTGCGTGCCGGGGAGTGTAGATTTCAATACGATTCCAAAGTGTTCTCTCTCAACACCGGTGCATGTGGACAAGCCCTTACCAGAACGCTCTAGACAATTTATATTTATTAAAGAACAGACCACGACTATCCACGTAAATTCCAACTACATGGAATTATTATGGAATATAATATACAATATACCTTTGCAATGTTCCATAGAAATACTATACACACATTCCATGACTTAAAAAAAAAATTCTATAAAACTCAAAGGAATGCTTGATTATGACTAAATCATCAGAAAAATATTCAACCACCATCAGTTCTGACAAGCCTGATTAGCGCATCAGTAACCACCGAGGCTTGCTACGTGTGGTAGGCGTGTGGCTGCGAGGTGTGACCAGGAGATGGCAGGGCTGAGTGTCACCCTCTAATATGCATGGACGGTTTGTCTCGGCTATTGGTTAAACATCCCAATGTTGGATCCTTATGAAGCAAGATAACAATGTTTGTCTTCCCATGGGTTTTTCTTCGGGCGGAGTTATTGCAGTGTGTGCAAGCTGTGTATGCTGTTCTTCTGCTGGCTTCATTGGTCACGCACACGCAGCCAGTCTGGCCAAAAACCTGCCTGACAATTCGTACTGACGCTTCGATTTTCCCCACTGCGCTGAATCCACAGGCAGCATTCCAACTCCTGTAGCCAGAAGTCCGAGTACCCGAGCATCGCCACATTTGTGCCACCGCCTCCCTATTTCTGGACATCTGTGAAACAAAGCTCGATATTTTATCGAATTCCTCCAGTATAAATAAATATTCTGACTCTGTATCAACATCCTCGACATTGCATCGAGTCGGCTGTTGCAGGTTGCCGCTCCCACGCGGCCCTGTTGCGATCGCAGCCGCCTCAGTCTCCGCGAGTGACAGTAACCCCCCCCCCACCGCCTTCACTGCGACAATCCCGTCTGCCCGCCTGCCGCCTGGCGATCGTCTTGAAGCTGTTGCCGCCCGGAGCTGCCGCAGGAGCGAACGGCGCCGTCACATGCGGTCAACGGGGACGATGCCCAGCAGCCGCAGTCCACGGGCGAGGACGGAGCGCGCCGCCGCAAACAGGTGCAGCCTGGCCTGCGTCCCCCACGGCGACACGACAACAATGGCTGAGAGTAAACATAAACTGATTTTTGTTTATTTTAACCAGGTGTAGGGCCCACCGAGCTCTTTTTCAGAAGCGACCTGGCCAAAATGCGGCGGGGAAAATGTGGTGGGGAAAATGTGGCGGGGAAAATGTGGAGGGGAAACACCGGAGGGCCCGGAGGAAATCCACGCGATCACGGGGAGAACATGCAAACTCCAAATATACAGGTGTCAGGGTCGGGATCGAACCTACGACCTCCTGTATACCAGGCGAGGTAGTTAACATCTTGCCACCGTGGCGCCCCTCTTGCCACAGTTAACATGAGCCTACCGACAAAGAACAATAAGGGTAGAGGTGTAGCCCTGCAATTGCTTTGCTCATGCCACATTGCTGGCGTAATTGACTCATCCGAAGGGTAATTTTGGCTCCTCTTCCACGCTGGCCACACGCCTTTGACGAAGTGGGAGCACCCGCGCTTTACCCGCAAACACGTCGGAGAGCCGTACAGCACAACTGCGAATACCGCTGCCGGAGTGAGTCAGGACCATTATAGGTCATCGCGATGAAAATGTGCGGCCGAGATCCAGGCTGGTACAAAGCGTGTGACGTAGGCAAGGCCGGATTAAGGCACGGGGGCTTTAGGGGCTGCAGCCCAGAGGCCTCCACCAGCTGGAGGGCCTCCAGAGATGAATTGAAAAGTTATTTCATTTGTGAATGCTGAATTTTATTTGTTGTTAGCCTGGTAAAAATACATTTTCTTTAACTGTTTACTTTTTGAAAATATCACTGGGGGCCTCACAGTACCTGCAGCCCAGGGGCCTACACAATCTTAATCCAGCATAGGGCTGCGTCGCTTTAACGGACTCAGGTTGGCTCACCTGGGCGAGGTCAGAGGGCATCCCCTTGACAGGAAGGTTCCGGTGAGCCACCGCTGCCAACCGACTGCCATGGGAAAATACAACTCGGTCAACGGCGCGCTTATACCACCCGCCAGTATGGTCCACTTTAACGGAGTGTTCTTTAAAGGTGCGGCGACGTATGGTGCAAAATAATTTCAACATACATGCGTACGACGACTGTGCAATGTGGACTATGCTGTAGATATGCCCTTAATATTCGTGCAGCCACCAGAGCTCATTTTAGTCGGGATTGCCCCCTGAACGAATTGCCCATCTGGTGGGGACCTGTACACAATTTGTCATCCTTAATAAACAACAGCCCCTCCTTCTCAGTCTACCTGGCTGGAGGCCTCCCCACACCATTCGGCTTGTGGGGGTTATTTGAGCATACTTCGCGAGGCTTTGAAAAGGCAGGGTCAAAGACCCGGGGGAATAGAAGCATATTAGCCTTTATGTAATACGAATATAAATAAACATACAATTGACATCCGACAAAATCGATTGTTACACAAACAATTCGATGCATATGAGTACAAGAATCAGATGACATCAAACGATACGATTCAGCTGCTACTGCCAATGACGTAGGGCTCGTTTTTATTCAACGACCGGGCACCTGCGGACTTGCATCACCTGAGTGTGAAGAGGAACTGCACCAGCGGTCGGGGCTGCAGGTCGCACGCCGCCTCCTCCACCGCCTCGTCGTAGCTGCGGCCGCCACGCGCATGGACGCGCGCGGTCGTTAGCAACATCCGGTGTCATTGGTGCCGAAAGTATTCGTCAAAAATAAGTTTCTTATTCTGATCACCGATGACCGAGCGGTGGTCCCCCGCACGTCCTATTAGCACGGTTGGCTACGTACGGTGCGAAAGAAGTTCTACATACAGACACGAATTGAAGGACTCCATGAAATCCACAAAGGCTTGACTAAAGTACCACAGGTTGTCATCGAGTAGAGCAAGGGCTATGAGTGATGCTACTGATGCCAATGACAGTCTCTGTTGATATTTTTTCAAGGCATGCCTTGACATTCCTTTTTTTCTGTTGCTTTTTGTTCTCTCTCCACATTTGTTACTGCTCCCACACGTTTCTCTCTTATCCGTTGAGCTCGGACTATCTCTCTCGTGGCCATAATACTGCCGCTTAATTGTTCAGGGCTTCGTGATTTTTTTGAAAGGCACTTTCGTAAAACGAATTCATGAACTTATTATGACTAAGCTAAACAATGCTAACAATGGTGAGGTTACCACAAAGCCTCGGTTGAAGATATTTCCCATGGGAACTCTCAGCTGGCACGGCGTGGGGACCTGCGTTTCTGTGCGTGTGTATCCGCGCAATGTGTCTGTGCGTGTATACGTGTCGGCCAGTCATCTCAGTCAGTCGACCCATGGCACATGGGTCTGCCCCGTGACCGCCTGCCAACGGGCGTTCGACACTTTACGTGGCCTAAATGTGCACATAGCTTGGCACAAGCGCCGTGGTGATGTCACCGCCACTTAGTGGCGAATGGCAGTTGTTGTACGTGTCCATGTGTGTGTTCGTGCATGCGTGTGTCCATGCGTGTATCTGTGTGTGCGTCCATGCGTGTGTCGTGTGTGTCTGTGCGTGTGCGCGTCTGTGCATGTGTGTGTGTCTGCGTGTCTGTGCGTATCCGTGTGTGTGCGTCCATGCGTGCCTGTGCGCGCGTCTGTGCATGTGCGTGCCTGCATCTCTGTACGTGCTTGCGTCTCTGTGCGTGCATGCGTGCCTGTGCGTGCCTGTGCGTGTTTGTGCATGTCCATGTCTGTGCATGCGCAAGCTACCGCATCAGGTGCTGCACCAGTGCTGGCGCGGGGCTCTCTTCCAGGTGGCTTGGACTGAACTCCTTTTCCAGCGCCACCCCACAGCTCCTCTCCAGACTACGGTCAATGAACAACAGTGGCACCCGTGCAAATGACCATGTGTTCGTTTGTATCAGCCCTTTAACATGGTAGGAATTGGACGAGGTTTTCTCTATAAACAATTACCCCCCCCCCCATCCTTAGGAATGTGGAATTTCCACCACTGGTTCAAGGCTGTAAACATGAGATGAGCACCGCCCCCATGCTCATTTCAGCCAAAAAAGACTTTGGCTGGCCTGCCAATCGACTCTGGGGGTACCCACACTTTACCCCACCACACACGGCCTGCCAATCGAATAACTGATGTACCTATTTATAACGCCGGGAGAAGAGAGGCTGGGGCATTTAAGAACCTTGCCAATTCTTTCAACTGACACACCGCCACGCATGTCGCATATTAATCGAGGAATCCACACAATCTGTGCAAGCAGCGTAACAAAAGGGGCATGTCGCACATCCGCGGAAGCATGTGCTACGATAGTCACCCACCTGCAGAGACGCGCGTGTGTGTACTGCAGGAAGACACCCGTGTCGCCTCGGCTTTGCAGTACTCGGTCCCAGTCGAACCTGTAGCCTTTTTTGAGGTCACCCTGGAAGTCCTGACCAACGCAATGAGGCGAGCGGGGCTTCAGGTTGGAGCACGAGCGGCGTGTGTGTGTGTGTGTGTCCGTGCAGTGGCCAATGGCACGCAGCAAATGGAATTGTGCAGGAGGGCACCTGAATAATGATGGCGGCAATGCCGAGCTTCTCTGCCGTGCCCTCTGGGTCATCCAGCTCCTTGGTGGCTGTGAAGAATCAAATCAGAAACGTGGCCACTGCTTCGGCGAAGCTCGGTTCGAAAGGTCGCGTCGCGCGGGCACGAGTGTTGTCAACGACAGGGCAGCTCTTGAGATTTTAAAAAACGTCAGTTAGGCTGTCATGAGGGGTTTACTCTTTATTGCAGTTGCCCGAGTACAGGCCTGAAGGCATGACGCAATACCCCTTTCCCATGGGCATCGCAGCCGAGCCAGTGTGGGGCCCTAACAGTGCAGGCGTTTTTTTTTCCACTGGCTATTTAAATGTATAATTGGCCAGGAACTCAAGTATCATGTGATTCCACCATTGGAACCTAATTTGCCAGTAAAAAAATATGATAATTGTTTTTTTACCCTTATATCTGGCAACAAAACAGACACCTTTTTTACAAGGAGTCATGTTTGCATAGACCACAATACCTGCAGTCATAATGCAAACAAAAAACATAACTCTGATGATGTATGCACTGTCCTTGAAGTTGATTGGTCCACACTCGAGACAGCTTTCCTTAGAGCCTAGTCTCACATGGGTTGGACCAGATGACGCCAAAAGGCATACATCATCAGAGTTATGTTTTTTGTTTGCATTATGACTGCAGGTATTGTGGTCTATGCAAACATGACTCCTTGTAAAAAAGGTGTCAGTTTTGTTGCCAGATAGAAGGGTAAAAAACCAATTATCATATCATGTGATTGTTACAATGCTACCGTATTGCATGTTTCCCCGCAACACGGGGGAAATTGCCTGGTTCTCCGGAACACAGCGGGGGGGTTGGGGGGGGGTTCAACAAGACGTGTGCGGTCTGCCTGCGCGGCACTCACTGGACGTGGAGTCCATGTTCTGCCTCATCCTGGCCTGGGCCTCGTCCAGCACGTCCTCAAGGAAGACGACGTCGCCCCTCCGCGTCTTCATGCCCTGCACCAGGCCAAAGCCCACGTGAACGCACCTGGTGGGGGCAGCCGCATTGTGATCAACATTTTACTCTTGCGTACGGTGGCAACACGTTCAGGAACTCAATGCCAACGTCGAGGTCTGCTCGCCACGAGAGGGCTTCGGGAGAGGGTTTGTGTGTGGAGTTTTGCCGTCCCTCCATTGAAGGAACGCAGGCTACAGTGGCTTACTTATATGGTCCATAGTCTGGGTTGCATGGCTTGTCTTTAAATGTCTATTCATGAAGATGTGTGCAGCGGCTGGCTGATAGCCAATGACAATCCACTGCTGGATGAAGGCATTCCTCCATGCCACCTCCTCAAATTGTAAAATGGTCGTTGGTCCTGCTTTGGTGGCCGGGTGGCTCAGAGGACAGAGCATTGAGGTGGCATCGCCGAGTTCCAAGGTTTGAATAAAGGCTGCCACCAGTGATTAAACTGGGTTCTCAAGTACAGCACGTTGATGATCTCAGCCAGCTCACCAATGACTGCACAAAATTAACCAATCACATTCAATTTCACTATCTGTGCTTAATTTAGCCAAATTCCAGCTCTGAGGATTTAAACAAACATTAGTTTCACCGTCATGCTACGATCGTCGCTCTCTGCAGCAGTGAAGGTAAAAAAGTGGTGCCCCCTGCCATGTAGACCAGAGGTCGCTTGCAGGCACCCCAAATTTGAGAAAATTCGCAATGTCCCCAAACTGTGCTGTTAAATTTCGATTAAAGCTTTCGTGACTTCAGGGATTCATCTTCTTGGTTCTTTCGGTAAAGTCACGTAGAAGGGAAATAATAAAATAATACAAATAAAACATTAAATAATTCTCACGACGTTTCGGCCACAACGCAAGCAGCCGTCCTCAGGTGAAGAACAGGTCTGTCGGGAAGACAGCGTCTGAATGAAACACCCCAGGCTTGGAGCGTATATTGAAGCTGGGTTGGAGGGGGAAGAGCGTCTTGACAAAATAATTTGCATATCAAGAGGAATTTAGCATATTTATGGGAAATGCAGATATGGGATTAGTACTACTTGTGAAATGCGTAGGAGGTGGGCGGGGGGTTTTCAAAGTCATATTATGCCCGTGCATTATGCAGTATGCAGGATTAGCAGCATCAAAGGGAGGGGATAGGGGTAGCATTAATAATAATGTGCTGTTAAAGTTCCCTACCGATCCGTCCAGCCATTTCCCATGAGCCTCAGGGTCTTGAACACCTGGCGGAAGTGTCCCTCCTGTCCTTTGTCCGTCTGCACGAGACACGAGCGGGCAGACACAGCGTGGGAATTAGCTCCGTGCCCCGAGGCACCCACGTTTATAGCCGAGCGCACAAACACCTGCACAAGCGTGGGCAAGGGAGCACGAGGGGGAGGCGAGTCCACTCACCACGTAGATCATTTTGTCGAAGCAATAGCGATCCATGCGGTCAATGGCGGCCGCTATGTCCCTGTATTGGTTAGAATGAGCACACAACACAAGGGAGACACGTATGCCTCTCAACGCTCAACGCGTATGCCTCTCAATGCTTGCACACTGCTCAAGCGTTCTGCACCACAGGGGTGTGTGCAACTTTTCCCTTACTGACTGCCTGTACCGTATTCTTAGGTTTTTTCGGTAAAGTCACGTAGGTAAAAAATTAATAAAAGTAAAATAAAAATAAAATAAAAATCACGACGTGATTTTAATTAAAAAAATTTACCTACGTGACTTTACCGAAAAAACCTAAGAATATGAATCCTTGCAGTCACGAAAGCTTCAAATCTAGAATGCCTGTACCGTGTTTGCCTTGTATAATTTTTTTTGTTACTGGTTGATAGTGTTCGCTGCAGAATACAACTGTTCGTAAGGTCTGTGTTGCCAGCCGTACAAAAACAATTGTTTCTCACAAGTATAATTTAATTAATATATCAAATGCCTAAAAATCAATATTGATCAATGAATGAATCCATTAATGGTGTTGCTCCAGACTGTGTCTCTATATTACAAGCTGGTGTCACTACAGGCTGTATATATAGCGTTTTATAAAATACGCCGTACGTCTCTGTAGGGTATGGAACACCACTTTGCACGACATCCCCACTGCCCCACCGTCCCACCATCCCACCAGCCCTTTGCCCCACCGCCCTGCTCCACACACCTGGTCAGGTAGAGGGAGGAGCCGTCACTTCGCGTGAGCGTGGCAAGTGAGGTCATGTCACGTCCCGGCGAGAGATCCACCACCCCCGTGCCCTGCCTGGCGACACACACGGATACTCACGCATTCCTCCTTGGCGCAACTCGACAACATCGATGCAGAGTCACTTTAACTTTTTATCCCCTGCGCAACCGAGCCACAGTGGGGTTAGGCCAAGCCGCCCAGTAAGCGCCAGGGCTGTACATGCGATCAACGAGTCCAGACGCACGTAGACACCGCGATGATGCCGTCTCCTCGCAGTCGACCGACATCACACGCAATGAGCGAGTCAATGCGGTGACGCTGTGTACTGCACTGACGTCACATTAGCCCTGCCTATGGCCCTGCTTGAGCACGGTCTTGTCAGCCTAACATAACATATCATGGCTCTGTCACGGCAAACAGCCAGTGGAAAACCATCCGTACCGTGAGGGCCCTGTGTTTGCTCGGCTCGGATGTGTCAGTGGAAAAGGGGTATAAAAACCTGGTCGCCTGGATGCCACTTTAGGATAGAAGGCCACTGTGTGTGTCTGTGTGTGTGTGTACTGTTATAAAAAACAAAGATCTTTGCTTTTTCTGTGCTGTTGTCTCACCTATGAAAGCCGGCACGGCACAAGAAGGGGTGGGAGGCCAGCACCACGCCCGGCTGCCTTTGTCTCCCCAGTGGCGATCTTTACATACCGCTCCAGGCACTCATTTGAGGCCAAGTCGACCAAGGGGAGGCCCAGGACCGGTTCAGATAACCGTCACTGGTGTTGACCATGAGCGGGAATCAAACCCGGGTCGCCGGGTTCGTAGAGCAGCACGCTAACCACTATGCCACTGCCCCCCCATAACCATAACCCTTCATCGGTGCTCGCTAACAGCACTTGCTCCTACAGCCTATTTTAAGGCTAAACGGGGAATATTATTATTTGTCTTTGCTGCCATCTTACTCGGTTGTTATGAAGAGGCCCAGTTCCTTCAGCCGTGACACCACGTCCTGGGCCTTGTCCCTGTAGAGGGACTCGCCTGAGTACTCGTCAAACCGCACTGCCAGCCGCTTGGGGGGGAGCATTGAGAGCAAGACGACAAAAACACGGGGACGTTCACACGAGAGCTTGTCTGGAAAGTGACAAGCTTGACAAATAAAAACTTTCTTCAAGATAAAAAAAGCCATTGCAACATCATAAAAGTAATAATAGAAATAAAATAAAATAATAAATCACGACGTTTCGGAGGCAATACAAGTCTCTAAGAGTATGAATCCTTGCAGTCACGAAAGCTTCAAATCTAGAATTAACATCATAAAAACTGAGTGATATTTTGACATTGTCATGGCCTGTTTCTGTCAAACTTTCCTATTTTGTCAAACTATGCCTCTGGAAGAAGTGGGGTTGGTGGAACATGGCCCATCTTGTCCTGTGCAAGTCACAAACCAGTTGGTCCAATTTTTTTTGTTCTGTCACTGCAAGCATCATAGCCGCATGCAGCAAAGGGATTCTTGGCCTGTCCCATTCAGGCATTTGAGCGTTATCCCCCTAATATTTACAATTTTGCAAAGAACAAAATGGTCACATCGCCCCAGTGCAGGGCCCTTCTAAAAAACAGCCTTGACACTCAGCAAGGCCATTTCTACGTTGAGAACACGACTGCCTACCCTATCTGGCTCACTCTGATATGATCCTCTTGCGTGCTGCGGGTCCGTACCTGGTACGTCATGCTGTAATTCTCCACGCTGAGCGCACGGAATTTCCGCCACAGAGACAGAGCCTCGTCTCCGCCATCCTCCAGGCTCCGCAAGAAGCTTCGAGCTTCCTGTGCCAGCGCCGGGTCGTCCTTGGCTGCGCGGTTCGCTTGCACGTACACCTGGCAGGGCGAGGCGTTTAAGACAACAGTCAACGATTCAGCGTCCTTTCATGCAATGTAAAACCCGAGACACAAAACTAATCTTCTTGGTTCTTTCGGTAAAGTCACGTAGAAGGGAAGTAATAAAATAATAAAAAGAAAACATAATAAAGTACAATTCTCACAACGTTTCGGCCACAACGCAAGCAGCCGTCCTCAGGTGAAGACAAGGTCGCTGTCTCCCCGACAGACCTGGTCTTCACCTGAAGACGGCTGCTTGCAGTCACGAAAGCTTTAAATAGAGATACGTTAACCTTCATCAAAGTCAGCTGCTCCCTTTATAACGTGCCTGCATTGTTTTATTGCATTGCCCTGTCTGCTGGTCACCTTGACAATAAAGCAGAGCTCGAGTTATTATGATGATGATGAAGGTGTCTGGTGAAGTCTTTCACCTCAAACAGGTGCTGAATAGGGTTTCTCTCCAGGTGTTCCGTGGAGCCGAAACGCTGAAACCCAGCTCCCAGCATGCCTGGCCAATTGTTGAAATACAGAAAACAAATTAGGCCGAGATGTTTTTTTTACTTGCGTGCATTTAAAAAAAACAATACTCCCCTCATACTCTTAGGTTTTTTTCGGTGTATTTGGATTGTCAGCCAACACCGGTTACAACCCCAAGTGCACCTATTGTTCTCTTTTAGCCCAGCCCACCCCCCCCAAACACGTTCCATTCATTGGCTATTGCATTCAGATAAGCCCCTCCCCCCTCCTCCCCCCTTAACTTGTATTTAAGAGCTTGCCTCTTGGAATTTTGCCTCACTTGATACAGTAAATCTAGCTGTGACGGTCCCACCTGATGACGGAGACTTGTGTTGCCTCCGAAACGTCGTGATTTATAACTTTATTTCTATAATTATTTCTATTTTTATTATTATTTATTTTTACCTACGTGACTTTACCAAAAAAAACCCAAGAGTATGAATCCTTGCAGTCACGAAAGCTTCAAATCTAGAATTAATACTCCCCTCAATAGAAAGAAGATTCAGAGACTCTCCCAATGTCATTGTGTACATGCAGCAGGCCTTTTGTCAAGCCATTGCAGGATGAGGGCAACCCTTCATGTATCGTGTCATGAAAAATCATATCGAGAGAGCGAACCTACCAAACTGCATGCCCCAGTCACCCAGGTAGTTCATACGGATGATGTCGTGCCGCAGGAAGTCATGCAGATTCGCAAGGAAATTTCCTGTGGGGAGAGACGTATGTGTAGAACTTATTTCGCTCCGTACGTAGCCAACCGTCCTAATCGGAGGTGCGGGGGGAAGGACAACAAACTAAACCCAAAAAGCATTTATAAAGACGTGAGTTTTAAATTTAGATATAAAAGTGCATTGCTCCAGTGGCTTCCTAATATCACAAGGGAGAGCATTCCAGACGGCCGCCGAAGCGAATCTGAAAGCGCCCGATGCAGTGACCGTCTTTGTTCGATGGTTAGCCAAAAGCCACTGCAAGGATGATCAGGAGTTCGCGTGATGGTTTATATTCCTTGAAGAGATCAGCAAGATGTGAGCACATGGAGGCAGCGTTGCATCATCGATGTAACGACACGCGTCGCCAGTCCCCCCCCCACCACAGTTCATGAGAGTTTACAACGTCAACAGCAGCACAGAGATGAAACACAAATCACACGTTCATCAGTTTACATTCAGTGCAGGCGCTTACCAATGATGGTGGACCGCAAGTGCCCAGCGTGGAACTTCTTAGCGATGTTAGGCGAGCTGCAGATAAAAAATCAGAACGCATGCCATTTAGAGACCCTTAATTAACGTAAGTTTGCACGCTGGGCTTGCAATGCGGAAGTCGCACGGCAGTTAAAAAATGCCCCCATCTGTCCACCCTACAGTATAAATGTGTACACCACAGTTATTCTATCATCTGAATATCGTGCGTGGTGGAGTAAGCTGTTGGTATTCCCACTTCTTCCAAGATGTTTGGCCACCAGGAAGAGTAGGCCCAATACCCTATGGAGGGGCTCTGTAGAGCTTCCCTCTAGTGGAGGCCCTTCCACCAGCAGTAACGTGAACAAGTAATTGCAGGGCTGCACCTTTTACCATCAACCTTACTGACGTCAGGAGCAGTGAAATTTCTCACCTGTACTCGACGATGATTCTTTCCCTGGGGAGGCCAGAGAACAGCTCGCTTGTGGCTCCGAAACACTCTCCATCCTCCTCCACTCTGCGCAACACAGTCTGGTGAACAGGATCGGCGACTACAACAGAGCGTAAACAGGGGACAAGGGAATTACTCCATGTACGTACGATGCAACTTCTTTCGCACCGTACGTGGCCAACCGTGCTACTCGGTTGGCTCCTGTCTAAACTTTAATCAATGCCTTGCGACTGATAGGATGTGTGAATTGAATGTAAAATATCATGGGACCTCTTTTGCCAGTACCAAAATATGAGAAAAGGTTTTCCCCTTTTTTCAGGCAACAAAACATGTGTTGAGACTGTTAAAACATCAAACTGAAAACTTTAACAAATAATCATGTCTGCATTAACCACAATAGTAATGAGAGCTCGGGGTGAGCAACTACATCATACTCTGATATTGCTTGTTTTTGTGCTGTACACCTTTTGGCATCCTCTGGTCTAACACACCGTTTGGGACTAGGCTCAAAAGGAAGCTGTATCTGGTATGGACCAATCAGTTTCAAAGACAATGCATATGTTATCAGAGTATGTTTTACTGGTAGGAACCTCCTGGTTACACCAGCCCACAGGGGATTATTGTGTCCATCCTTCGTACATCCAAAAATGGGTGTGGCTGGGTGGGGAGGGGCTGGGTGGGGCTGGGTGGGGAGGGACTGGTCACCCCGTGGTGCCCTTATAAAACTCAACATTTAACCTACTCACGCCGGCTTGTGCCTGCCCTCACAGTCGGGCATATTTGCGGAATACACCACGCCGCCATTGACCCTGGCCATTGATCGAGCAACCCAACGTTCCTACCCGCTCCCTCCGCAGGAATGTGTTTTGTTTGCATTCTGACAAGTATTGTGGTTAATGCAGACATGATTCCTTGTAAAAGGTTTCAGTTTGGTGTTTTAACATCTCAACACCTGTTTTGTTGCCAGAAAAAGGGGAAACCTACTCTCATATGTACGTAAAATAAATAAATACTTTATTAAAGGATCTATATTTTGATACTGGCAAGAAAGGTCCCGTATAGGAGTGAGATGGATTGTGGAATCGCAGGATCATGACGGATGGTGATGCCATGGGGAGGGCTGCGGTAGAAAGACCATGGGCCATGATGACGATGATCATCAAACTCTTTGGGTTTTTCGGTAAAGTCACGTAGGTAAAAAATAAAATAAAAATATCTCAGTAAATTTAGAAAATTACTGTATCTCAGTAATTTTACAGTAATTTTGCTGTGAGGGTGCCTCCGAAACGTCGTGATTTTATTTATTTTTATTTTTTACCTACGTGATTTTACCGAAAAAACCAAAGAGTATGGACCCTTGCAGTCACAAAAACTTCAAATCTAGAATAGATGATCATCATCACAATACAGAGGGCGTAGAAGCTTGGAGGTTTGGGTGCCCTCACCGACGTCAGCAGGGCTCGATCCACGGTGAACCCAAGCATGCCTTGCCTCTGTACACCCACCGCCCTCACCAGCGAGTCGCATGGCACCTGCAGGGAGAGGTCATCAGTGCACGCACTCGCCCTACACGTGGACACATTATCATTGTGTTTTGCGGCTTCCTAAAGTCTATTTGTTTTTTACATTTGGAGCAATTTTCTCCATGGCCGCTATTTGTAAAAGTTAAGTCACTTTCCTTTTCAGAATTTCCAATATTTTTTGTAGACTTAAAATGTTTAAGTGCAATAATTCACCCTTACTTCGCCTTATTAGTTTTTTGATTAAACTATTGTTAAAAATAGTCTAAACTGTGAAATTTACTGTTTTTAAACATTTGGTGCACTTAAAATGTCTTGTTGCCCTTGCAAAAGAGGAAATGCTTCATGTGCCTCAACGTAAGAAGGGAATCATCCCAAATAAAATGAGGTAAAGCCCCTAAAACACATCGGAGAGTTACACACGACAAACACAAAAACCTTAAATAATTTCCTATTTTGACGATACATGCAATGCATCATGCTTGCAAGAACAAAATGCTACAAACACGCCAAACAACACAGCAATGATAACACAAACAAGAGCGTAAAAACGAAAATATATTTCGAATCAAATCATGACTCCGGAATTGTGACAATTTGTGGAATCTGCAAGATTAGATGCCACATTAAACGCCTCTGTATAAAAGTGTGTTGTTCATTACTCGTTGACAAAGCCTCAAACGCAGTGTTCATTTATCAGCCCTGGCAAATGTGCGCGAGTGGGATATGAGCCTCATCGTGTGCAGACAGCATTAAGGGAGGGGGGGGGGGGGGCTGTGCATGCTCGTACATCGCACCTTGCGTGCCAAACTCTGGGCCTCGGCGTCCACGTCGACGACTGGACCGAGGAGGCCCCCGTCCGCCAGCGCCCGCACGGACACTTGTAAATGAGCGCGGTCCCCGGACAAACTGTGAGCACGGAGGAGTCGAGGCTGAGTGACACGAGGCAAAGCACGGATACCAGAACTGGGGGGGGGATTGAAATGGAAAATATTAAACGCAATTGCTCACCACCCCTTTGTCAATCCGGAATGAAGGTTTCCAGTACAGGAATGTGGGAATTCCACTTGATGGGAAGACGGTGGCTTATTAATTCAAAGGGGCACCACCACACTACTCGTTCTCTTGTCAATGCCCAGAGTTACAGTTGCGCACACGTACAGACATTTTGTCAATCCATTGCTGGATGAGAGCGTCTCTACGCCGTGCGGGTCATGGGGTTGTTTAACCATATTTCACCATCTTTGTCAGTATGAGTTGGTGTAGGGTAGCCTAAATACCGGTTCAGATACCACTCGCCATGGACGCAAACTGTGGCCGGGCAGCAAACTCAGTGCAGTGCACAGACCGGATGCCACTTCTACCGTCTCTCTCTCTGTAATACACAAAGGGCAACACGGATTATCGTAGTAGCAAACGTATCGTATGCTACAGTCCCCGCACTTTCAAGGGCCCCGCGCTAAATGCTTTCAAGCCATCAATTCCGGTTCGGTGATTCTGCACTTGCTCTATTACTATAGTACTATACTGCCTTCAACTTTTATGAACGACTGGGTGTTTAAGGTTAGCGATTTGTCGTATTATCTGGCTGTATAGCAAATGAAAAAATACAATTACTTTAATATACAAGTAAAACAATGTGTTTTAATATATCTTATTTATTTAGGGCCCCTTCATAACATATGCTACAGGCCCCATACTAGCTTAATCCGGCACTGGCAACACGTACTCCTCTTGCTTGGTGACTGGAACCACTCGCACCAGCGGAACCAGTGCCTCTTCATCTGCGACCAGCACTCGCGAAAGCTGCACGCAAAGACAACGCAATGCGAGACTTGTCAGCGAACACCGCCAAGTCTCCAACACCACCTTCTCGTCGCAACCCACTGCTGTCTTGGTGACGGCTGCACGCCGGTTCAGCTTGGGTTGAGAAGACGTGGAAGCAATCGGCGGACAAAACCAATGGATTTCGATTTAAAGCTTTCGTGACTGCAGGGATTCATCTTCTTGGTTCTTTCGGGTAAAGTCACGGCCGCTTGCGTTGTGGCCGAAACGTCGTGAGAATAATTTTATTATGTTTGATTTTTATTATTTTATTATTTCCCTTCTACGTGACTTTACCAAAAGAACCAATAAATAAAACCAATGGAATTGTTCCTCACTGGCCTCGAATGCCCAAGCACGCCAGCCCCGCCGGCAATCAATGGCCAACCTGTTTGTGCGTGGCGGTCACCATCAGCATCGCCAACGTAGCCAGGCTCAAACAACGCCTGCTTAGCTTCAGAAGTTTGGGGGGGGGGTGTATTCCGGGTGATTTGGCCATTGGTAACCTTCCCAATATTCTTGGTTATTTCGGTAAAGTCACGTAGAAGGGAAACAAAATAAAAAAATATAAAACAATAAAATTCTCACGACGTTTCGACTGCAGCACAAGCAATCATCATCAGGTGTGAAGAACACAGCAAGAAAATTTTTCTTGCTGTGTTTTTGGTGACTGCAAGGATTCATACTCTTAGGTTCTTTCGGTAAAGTCACATAGGTGAAAAATAATAATGAAATAAAATAAAAATAAATGCAAGTAACTAAATTAAATCACGTTTCGGAAGCAACACAAGCTTCCGTCATCAGGTGTAACTGCTCCAGTAAAATTACTGTTAGAGTGTGAAGAGAGCTATTCAAGACACGTGTTTATATAGGGTGCTGGGCAGGGAGGAGTCAATGAGTGGGAGGGGGAGATAAACATCTCGGTGCTTGTACACTACAAGTAAAATGTTTGTATACTGCTTTGTGGGGAGCTGTTATCACGCTGCGCTACGAATCCGGCGACCAGAGTTCGATTCCCGCTCATGGCCAACACCTAGGTCGACTCAGCCTCAAACGAGTGCGATGCGTAAACGGGAATAAGTATAACCCGTAAAAACAAAGTTTTTCACTTATAAATCCTTTATATGCGTGGCGGCTAGAGTCCTCTCGTCCTCTGGCTTGAGATGGCTGCCACCTATGGGTCAGATGATTGTCTGCCAGTATTAAGCAATTGGTAATTAAATATTTAATTTGTTTTCCCTAAACAGTGTAAAATTTTTGAAAAAAAATTTCACGCACATATTGTCTCGCACAACGAGTCTGTGTGCAAAATGTCAGCTCGATTGGATCACAGGAAGTGGGTTAAAAAACGACCGAAAGATTTGCACGGTCGTAAGCAAGCAAGCACGCAAGTGAACTTAATATAAAGGATTTTAAAAAGGCAGGCCGGGCGTGGTGCTGCCGTACCGGCCTTCATAGGTGCTCGTCGTTGACAGCAGTTGCCCCAACAGTTTGGTAAAGGCTACGTAGGGAGATCTTTATCTTTGTACAGTTCTACGTTGTGTGTGCTATATTTGCTGCCCGCCTTCACCAACCGGTAGTGACCACCAAGTATACTGTAGTTAAATACCTCACAAGGCAGTCGGTTGACAATCAAGGGCTTTATGTACACACACGAGTTGACGAGTCAACAGTAGCGTTGTGTGGCCGCTTGTGTGCTGTGTAACGCGGTTAATGTAACGTCAGTAAAGCTCCCACCTGGCGAGCCACTGCCCTGCGGAACACGCACGCCATGTCGAGGGGGGGTGCCAGGCCTTCAAGTTCACCGCGGCGACGTTAATTGGCGAAGATATTGTGACATTGAGGAGCCCCAGAGGACGCAGTGCGCCCCACGTGTTGCTGCTGCAGCTGCAGCACGCACGGTGAGTGGCCAGCCCACGTGTTCTGTACAGTGGACCAGTATCGATTCCCTTGTCGATTCCCTCGTCGATTCCTCGCAAACCGATTCATCCGTAGCGTCTGCTGGAATCGATTTCATTAAAGCGTGTTTTTTTTTAAACGTATTTTTAAATATTTATTTTATTTTAGCACGAGTTAAACCGTCATCGATCTTGAGTTGAAGCTTTCTTTGGTTCTTTTGGTAAAGTCACGTAGGTATATAAAAAAAAAACATTTTTCTTGTTGTGGTTTTCCCACCTGATGATGATTGCCTGTGTTGTAATCGAAACGTCGTGAATTATTTTATTTTATGCCGACTTTACCGAAAGAACCAAAGAGTACCGTCATCGATGATGTTGACTAACCAATCTGAAAACGTGACGTCATCGATCATGTTGACTAACCAATCTGAAAACGTGACGTCATCGATCATGTTGACTAACCAATCTGAAAACGTGACGTCATCGATCATGTTGACTAACCAATCTGAAAGCGTGACGTCATCGATGATGTTTTACTAACCAATCTGAAAGCATGACGTCATCGATGTTGACTAACCAATCTGAAAGCGTGTTTCGCGCCGTTCCCGCATGACAATGACGTCACGCGTCACGAGGTAGTTTCTGTTCGTGGTGTAATTTTGTTCCGATAAATAAATTTTTGTTCGAGATAATTTAGTTCGTTAAACACTGTGCAGCGATTCTGTATTTGTGCGTATAGAAAAAAAATGGCAACGAAATTAATTCGATTCTACAATAGACGAGTGAACGTTATTAGTGACGTCATCGATGTTTGCTAACCAATATGGGACCGTGACGTCATTAACGTTCCACAACCAATCTAAAAGCGCGACGTCATCGATGTTTGCCTACCAATCTGGAAGCGTGACGTCATTGATAGTTGCTAACCGATCTGGAAGCGCGACGTCATCCATGTTTACTAACAATCTGGAAGCGAATCGTCATCGATGTTTGCTCACCAATATGGGATCGTGACGTCATCAAGTTCCACAACCAATCTGGAGGCGTGACGTCATTGATAGTTGTTAACCGATCTTAAATTGTGACGTCATTAATGTTTACTAAATAATCTGAAAGCGTGACGTCATCGATGTTTGCTAACCGAGCTAGAAGCGTGACGTCATCGCTAGTTTGGCAGTTACACCGCCCGAGTGTCAACTACTTCCGCAATCCATGGTATCGATCCCATCAGGAATTAATTAAAAATTGTTACCACATTGATACCTCACCATGCATCGATCACAGAGATCATATTCGTCTGCGGTACAATCCTTAACTTATGAAATATGTAATGCGCGAATCGATTTATGTATAAAACATGAGATGTGTCTGAATCGATTCACGCCGCGTGGCGCGAACCTCGCGGGAATCGATTACCACAAACTAGTAATCGATTACTTTTGTGCTCTCTCTTTCTCTCGTGTGTCTCGTTCTCGTCCGCAATTACCTTATTTATCCAGTCTCGTAATATAACGAGACCCACCATCGCAATTGACACAACCGCTTGCGTGCTTTTGAAGGCGAATCGATTTGCTTCTTGCGCGGGGTTGAATCGATTCCGTGGATCGCGAGCGAGCGTCGTGAGAACGCACGTGGACGTCATCTGCCCCGCGCGTTCGTTGTTTTTAAAACTCCACAAATCATGACTTCCACAACTTCTGTCTCCAAGGTAAGACGTTCCACATTCATCTTCACCACTGCCCACCAGCGGATGATCGCTGCAAAGTATGATCTTGTGTTTTGATTATAGTGTGCTGATCTTTTTAAAGGTGCATTGAAAAATGTTGATACTCGCTACTGATGCCCCTCCTGCTGTTGTGGAGTGGGCCTCATGCAGCCAGCTATGGCTACAGGGTTTGGTGGTATCTTCTTGGTTCTTTCGGTAAAGTCACGTAGAAGGAAAATAATAAAATAATACAAAATAAAATACAATTCTCACGACGTTTCGGCCACAACGCAAGCAGCCGTCCTCAGGTGAAGAACAGGTCTGTTGGAAAGACAGCGTCTGAATGAACACCACCAAGCTTGGCAGCGTATATTTAAGCTGGGTTAGAGGAGGAAGAGCGCCTTGACAAATGAACTTACATATCAACAGAGGAATTTAACATATTTATGGAAAATGCAGATATGGGATTAGTCACTACTTGTGGAATGTGTAGGTGGTGGGGGGGGAGGTCTCAAAGTCATATTATGCTCGTGTATTATGTAGGATTAGCAGTCATAAAGGGAGGAAGTAGGATTAGCAGTAATAAGGGGAGGGAAATTTTAATAGTAAGGAGCTGCAGCAGCCAAAGGTTTGGTGGTCCATGTTGTTTATGTCGTTTATTGTGAAAATTCGGTCACAGTTCCTATAATCACTGTTTCATTGCTTGCGTGGCTTTATTTTGATGATTTCGAATCGTTTTTTGGTTTGGCCATGTTTGTTTGTTGTTGTACGGAGTTAGACTGATGGCCTTAATCTAAGTTGTCTTGTGGTTGTTGTTATTTGACTTGCATCCCACTGGGATTTGTGCACACAGCGTTGGTGTACGGTGCTTTTTCTGCAATATTTTGCTGTCTTTTCTGTTTGCACATAGTCACATAGTCACTATAAGATGTTTTCTTGTTCATGTTTTTGTTTTTTGTTTGTTGCGGTTGCACCCGATTCGAGAGCCGAATGGCTCACAGGGCTATACCTAATAAATGATAATCACAAACCTGTCAAGCCCTTATCAGTGCCCTACCTGACTACAGACCAATTCAGACCTTATTGGTCACCCCGTACCCTTACAAATCTCAACGTTCATCCTACAAAGTCCCATCACAAGGGAGAAACTCAAAGAAATAGACAAAAACATTTGTTCGTATTGAATCGGCTGTACGCCGTATGCACCTGAAAATTCAATATCCCTGTACAAGAATACAGGTAAACCGTATGGGTTGACAGGTATGTGATGATGGCTTCTATCTACTTACTGTCGTCAAAAGTTCCACTTGTTAGCGAAGTAGAATTTCGTGTTCCATCGTCCTGAATACTTCATTGATATTCTCTCAACCCCTGATGCGGCCTGGTACGGGTACGGGTAGGCCGTGAGTCACTGGTGAGTAACCGTTTGTCACTCATTTCGGGTAGGGTACGGGTACGGGTAGGGAACGGGTACCCGTACCCAGCCGGGTACGGGTACCCATTTGTGACCCTGGTGCGGCCGGGTACAGGTAAGGAATCAAAACCCGTTTGCGACCTCTGATGCACACCAGGTTAAGAACCACCGCTCTGAACAATACTTTTTTTTTTTCTAGGGATGCTTTGTCTTCAAGCCTTCTGGCAAGAAAAAGAAAAGTAACGACGGTAAGTAAGTTTAAACGCGTAGGCTTTCGCGACCAATATCCGTAATACTGGGTTTTTTGGGGGGTTAGATCGTGTAAATATATAAATGTGTCGTTAAACCCGCCACCACCCAACACAGCCAATTATTAAGGTTTGTCACGTAAACAGAACATGCCAATTCGTTACTAGTACAGCACACCGGTGTTTACGTGACAACCCTTACTAATTGCCTGTGTTGGGTGGTGGCGGGTTTAATGACACATTTATATATTTACGCGATCTAACTCAAAGAAAAACCTGTATTAAAGGTAAGTAAGATGACTGAATTGTGCATCCTTGATCGACAACGGGAGGCACATTGAGTGCCATTAAGTTACAAATCTTGAGTGTATATATGTATGTTGAACTTTTTTCTTACCGTACGTAGCCAACCGTGCTAATCGGAGGTGCGATCGAGTTCGCAGATCGATTTGTTAAATTGTCTTTGTTTGTCAGAGGTGTGCTTCCAGAACGAGAATGGTGAGGTGACCAGGGAGAGCCGTTTGAGGTTTGACACCTACCAGACGCTCAGCCAGGAGCTGAAGACATCTGCCGAGGTGATGATGGTCGTGACAGTAATCATCACTCTCATCATTCTGCACCACGACATTGTTCGTGAGCTATTTGTGGAGGCCAGATAGGAGGGTTTTTGTACTCCCTGGCAGTAAAGTTGGAAAGTATACACGTTAACATGTACATAATCGCATGAATTTTTACAATAAATCTTAAGAAATTACACTAGAATCCATCGTCTGCGTGGTCAAGACGCCATCGTATCTAACAGTCTTGCGATGCGTTCAGTCAGTCTTGCACCTGCACGTGAGATGATTTTACAGCTCCCATCGGTAAAGATCCATCCAATCACGTTCGTACGTTTGGCTGCCACTTCATCGTTAGTCTCGACAACCAGCTGTCATCTTTTCTAACTCGCTAAAATTGGAAACGCAATATAGACGAGTCAAAAATAGACTCGTCTAGTACCCAATTGGTGCAGGAAAGATTATTTGAGCGACGGATAAATATTGTTTGCAGGCCTTTCAAAGCGGTTGTTCTCATGTTGTAGCTGGCTGTATGAAATTGAGTTGTTGGCTGTGTACAGCCAGCGGGCTGCAGGTTCCCTACCTCTGTTTTATATTCACAGACATAAATACATCTTAGATTTGAAGCTTTCGTGACTGCAAGGATTCATATTCTTAGGTTTTTTCGGTAAAGTCACGTAGGTAAAAAATTTAAATTAATAAAAGTAAAATATTTTATTTTTATTTTACTTTTATTAATTAAAATTTTTTACCTACGTGACTTTACCGAAAAAACCTAAGAATATAAATACATCCTATATTCTGTAGGTGGCTGTGTCCTGAGTTTGTTTGTTTAACTTATTTCGCACCGTACATAGCCAAAAGCCTCTGCTGTGTGGATGTTGTATGCATGCTCAGGCAGTGCATGTCGAGATGAATGCCCAGGTGTTTGAGAAGATGACCTCCTTCCTGTCGGGAGCCCGCGGTGTGGCCTCGGACAACCTTCAGAGCTGGGCAGAGCGGCAGAGATCCAACGAAATTCCGACGGCCGCCTTTGTCACAGGTGCCGTTCGTTCCTTTTGACCCCACCTGCACGGTCATTGTGTAACTGTGCCAGCCGTCACGGGGATGTCTTATTAGGATGTTGGCTTTGCCTCTGCCTACCGTAGTGGGGCACGCGCAGTGCTGCTGTGGCATTGATTGCTTTGTGTGGCTCTGCGTGTGTGCAGGCGTGAACGTAGCGGATCACGAGGTGGTGTTCCAAACGCTGACGGAGCGGCTGCGCGAGTCTGTCACGCCGCACATCGTGTCCCTTCAGCCGAAGGAGTGCACAGGTCAGTGTCTGTAAATACAGGTCCACGGCAAGGCTGAGCGAGTCCCACTTTAGTTTCTTAATGTTAGGAGAAGCTCGAGGGTTAATTAATGGAGGTTGTAATCCAATAAACGAACAGCTCTTTTTTGTTCATGAGAAGTTAAAGACCCATCCACCGGTGTCAGCTCCAGATTTCAAGGATGACGGTCAACACGCTTCTCTCGGCCCATGAAACTATGAACTGATTATATTTTAAAACCTGGTTTGATCACTGGCAGCTGCATGCATTCAAACCTGAGATCTTATCTGTGGCAGCTCAGTGCCTTTACCTTTGAGCCACATACTCACGTCTCAACCGCACGATGGCTGATCACCTTCGCAGGGCTGAAGCAGGCAGTGCAGAAGATTCTCGGTACGCTGCTTGGGGGGCAGACATCGTGCGAGGACGACGAGGGAGAAAGTGACGACTTGGGTGACAGGAAGCCCTTGTCGGCATCGCAGGTGCTACCGTCGTTCTCCGCACTGTGCAGCTGGTACTCGACTCTGCCGCAGGTACCCTCCGCATCCGTCATTGGCCCTTGAGCAGAGCTGCTCCAGTCGGACAGACGCAGTCGTTTAACAACATAAACCGCACCACCGATTAGCATGCTTGGCTACGTACGTTGCGAAAGAAGTTCAATATACATACAAACCATTGCTTAAACAACACAATTCACACGTTCTGTTGGTCTAAACCCACAGCTGCAAGGTATATATCCTTGTGTTTTATATCAACTTATGTGGCCTTTTATAAACTCATACAAAATGCACTGGATCTCGTTAACTTTGAAAGCTACAGTGAGTTGAGCCTGGATAGTGCTTGGGTTTGTGCCAAATGAAAAAAAAGAGGTTATTGTGCAAAGTAGCAGTATCCATTGTACTGTACTTCCACACTCCCACATCTATGCTACACAAACTCCAACTGCCCAGTGTGCTGGAATATGGCCAAGAAACCCCCACGCCAGATATGGAGTGTGGAAGCCTTCATCCATGAGTGATAGTAGGCTGTACATGTGTGCACGCGCACATATGTGTATATGGGGTGCAGGGAGCGGTGGTGTAGCAGTTAGCACTCTGCACTATGAACCCTGTGACCTGAGTTAGATTCCCGCTCATGGCCAACATTGATGATTATCTGAACTGGTCACGGGCCTCCCTGTTAGGTCCACTCAGCTTTTAAATAAGTTCCTGGTGCGATGTGTAAATGTCGCCACTAGGGAGGGTAAAGATGGCTGGATGTGTTGTTGGCCACGCACCCCCTCGTGTGCCATGCCGGCCTTCATAGTCAACAGCACTTCCGTTAAAGCAATAAATGGGGATCTTTGTTGTATGTAGCCTGTATCGGACGGTGTGAAAGGCAAGCGGAAGGTGAGCGAGCGGCACAGCACGACTCCCCCCATCGTCATCATCCTTCGGGAGCTCGAGAGCTTTCCGCCACGTGTGCTGCAAGACCTCATCCGTATCTGCAGGTGCCACGTCGCTCACATGCTCCCAAACGCTCACTTCTTGCAGGATCTCAGTACGCAGTGCAGTGGCGTAGCTATCGAGTGTGCAGGCAGTGCAACTGCACTGAGGCACATGGCCCAGAGTGGCTCAGGCGCTGTGCTATATGAGAGGGAATTTGGTTGACTACTATTACTACAGCTGTAGCACTTAACCGTACGGGGTCATACCGTCCTATATTTCAGACTGTCACTCACAGGAGTCCATACCTTTGGAGTCGAGAGGCTCACGTCCAGCTCGAACTGGCACAGCCAGGTGTGAGGAGGCTGGCCGTCTGGATGCTTCCAATCGCCGATTAATCTCGCTCCTTGTGTCAACTTGACACATAGCTGTGAATCGAACAGGGGTTCCCCATTTTCATTCCTTGTACCAGGATGATCCAACAAACAGTCGTTCGAATTCAATGAAGATCGTCCCATATGGCAGCTAGAAGGTGGAATGAGAATGCTAATGGTACGAGATGAAGTGGCGATAATGTGGTTGAGTGGCTTTATAGCAAACATAAGATGCCACTGGAACAATGGGCGTTAAGTAGTCTCGTACCATCGTCCGTGTTGCCGTGTGTGCGCGTGTAGCCAGTACGTGGACCGGCTACCCCTGGTGCTGGTGCTGGGTATCGCCACGTCGCCCCTGGCATTGCACCGCTTGCTGCCGCACTCCGTGTCATCTCTGCTGTGCGTGGAGCGATTCCAGACGCCGCCTGCCACCGAGTTGCTCTCCTCTACGCTCGACCAGGTGGGGGCTGTGCAAGCAGCACAGAGCTGCTGGTTGATGGGCTCATGTGTCCATGTGTAGAGGAGTAGAAGAGAGTGGTGACGTTATGTGCGCTGTCCGGTGCGATGGCGTCACGGGACGTGGGGTCACGCGCGCTGGACGGCGCACATGACGACACAGCTCCGCGAGGGTAAAGGGGGGACCCCGTGACGCAAGCGGGGTCGTAGCTGGAGTCAAGGGTCGAGAGAGGGTGAAACGGGGAGCCAGGGTCAAGAGGGTAGGGAAAGTGGAGATAGCACAGAGCCAGGGCTGGATGTGGCTGTGCTCCTCGGTCGGCCGTGTTGGATGATTCCACGGCCGGTGCAGAGGAGACAGCACAGGGCAGCCGGCTGTGTTGGGACCCAGTGGGACCTAGCCCGGGACCCCTAACCCCTGGGAAGTGGTTCACCCCCCTTGTGTCTTGTGTAGCCCTTTAATAAACGGCGAAAGCCCTTAACCTCACCTCCGTCTCGGAGTGAGTCGTCGCCAGCGCCTCAACACATGTGTAGTGGGCTCAGATAGGCGCGCACACTTCTTAGTAGGCAACACCGTTTATTAACACCAACCACGTTACACTAACCTAGGGTGGTAACCACCGACCTGCTCTGACTAACATACACACCGTCACTCTCCATCTCAGACTCTCGGATACACTACCGTCACCCAGCCAGGTGGGCTACTGACTGGAGGCTTGACTCTTCTTCTTAGGAGGCTTCTTCACGATCCATCTTCATTCTTGACACGGGCAGCCTCGTGTCCCGTGATGAGGCTGCTTATATCGGCCTCGGCGTGTCTGGGCCCCACCCTGGCCACGCCTCCCTTCCAGAACCCTCTCGAAGCTCCTCAGCTGTCCACATTGACCACCCAAGGTCCCCCCGGGGCCCCCGGCCCCCACCTTGATAGGTCACGTGTCCAGCCGGATTCACTCAGTGCCACGGCCTCACCCAACCTCCAGGTCCCTGAACCGGCAATGATGTCATCCCTGCCTCCAGCCGGGATGACGTCATGTGTGTCTGTTTGGACCTGCGGGGTCGTGAAGCTCCCTCGCCTAGTGACGTCACACGTGTGTGTGTGTGTGTGTACATGGTAGTGACGCTGCCAGTCACTACACATGTATCTGCTAATCGGCTAACTGCTACTCAGTATCTGTTAATTCAAAAACTGTTCACGTGTTCAATTGTATTCAAGGAGTTTAAGGCACCACACTGTAAAGCGTGATCTGCATTTAACAGTCAATATCTCTGCCTTTTCTTCACTCTGAAGAAGGGCCTTTGCTAGGAATGCCACACATACAGACATTTTTTGTCAACCTACTGTTGGACGAGGGCCTCCCCCACACTGCTGTGCTGGACTGCGTGGGTTATCTTACCATCATCTCAAAATGTCTGGACGGTGCGTAGAAGTACTGTAAAACTAGAATTTCCTGCATTATCATGCATGGAGGTCCTCAATATAAGCACTGTCCTGGCTCCATCCTGCTTAGCTTCCGAGATCTGAAGCATTCTGGGTGATTTGGTCAAAAGCAGCCATGTGACACGAATGATGTATTCCAAGGCGAGTCATTCTTTTGGGTTGAGCTGGCAATGATGCCACAGTCGCCCGGGTACAAATGGACTTCGGATCAATGTGAATGAAGCTTTTCATTTCTACCTTTCAGCTGCTGCTAACGGATCGCTTCCTCTTCAAACTGAGCGGCAAATCCCTGCAGGTGCTCATCGGAATCTTCCTCTACCACGACTTCTCCGTCAGGAACTTTGTCAAGGGCTTGCAGGTAGGAAAGATGAATCCATTGATTCCAAGATCAAAAGTCGATTCTAACAGTCACAATGCACACGCCAATTTGTGTGTAAATATTGCTCGTGTAGAAATGGTTCAAAATATATTGTAATAATATACATCCATTTGTCAGTCGGATAAATGCCTCCCCATACTGTGTTGGTCATGGGAGTTGTAAAGACCATGCTTCACCATGGTGGTTATTGTGGGTTTGGGAAGGCAGGACCAGGATCAGTTCAGATATCACTTGTTACTTCTGTTAGCTGTGGCCTATAATCGAACCCAGGTGGCTGGGTTCATAGCATAGTTCATGAACAATTATGCCACTGCCCCACCCCATGGAAAAATATGCACATTTTATGCAGATGTTGTCTTAAGGCTAATGTAAAGAACAACTAGTCGGACATTATCTATGATACAACATACAATTAATTCCTGAATATGATTTGTCAACCCACATCTTAGACATTCATCAAATAAAAGAGTGAAGGGTGATTTTTATCACATGGCTATACTGCATGTTCCACCATCACAATCAGAGCATTCAGTGATTCGTGTTCATTCGATCGCTTCATTGCTCGCTGACTCGCATACTTTATTTCATCCTTGCAGTTTGCCATGATGGAGCACTTCTACGAGCAGCCGCTGAGCATGCTGTGTGTGCCGTCGTCCAGCCTGAAGGCTCACGTCGCTTCACTCGGACCGGAGCTCTGTGAGGCCGTGCGCCAGGCCCCTTCCTTCTGCCGGTTCGTCAGCAGTATTGGCACAGTGTAGATCCTTACTTCGGGTCTGAATTGGATTCAGTACCTGTTGCGGGCCACCCATTAAGACACACGCCTTATCATAATCATCATCAGAATTGCTTAGATGACGAAGGCCCGTTGTGCCAACCCAGAGTATCCATATTCTTAGTTTTTTTCGGTAAAGTCACGTAGGTAAAATTTTTTAATTAATAAAAGTAAAATAAAAATCGTTCAAAATAGTTTATAGTTGACAATGCTAAAGGATTCTGGTGGTCACTTCATAGGTACATGGAGGGCAGGAAGGCAAAGGAGCAGGATCGACTCCTGACCGATGAGTACCTTAAGGTAAGTGGACACCAGCCTTGGCTGCATGCTTTCCTGCTTCCTGCCATTATACTGCATGCCACTTAGCATACAGTAAACACTCAATTATCTGGGCTGCAGATTAACTGTGCTTGTCAAAGAAAGAGCTCAATCCACGTGCTGGATTAATTATTAGCTGTTCTTCACTCCTCAAGGATCAGTGACCCGTGTCACAGCAAACACATCTGCAAGTTAAACCGATTACTTTAAGAAGCAATAAAAACAGACGGGGACTTTGGTGTCTTCCCCCCCCCCCCATTCTACCTCGATAAACAATACACAAGTGCACTTTACGTGTGTTTTGAACTATATGTGTTTTAGTATTTTTTCATGTAACTCCACTCTCCATTACCATGCAGAATGGAGAGTTTACTCTGTAACTCGGTGGGATTGAATGTTCATGTCTTACATGATTATTTTTGTTGTTGTTGTTGTTGTGAAATGGACGATCCCGTTTAGCCAGTTTCCAGGATATTTTACAATAGATCTGTGATGCTTGAGCACAGCAGCAACACAAAGAAAAAATAACGACTTCAAAATTTCAGAGAACGAGTACAGGCCCCTTAAGGAATATTGCACAACTCAGAAACGAGGTATTGGTAAATGAAAAGCACGAGGATAATAAGTATAACCCGTAAAAACAAAGTTTTTCACTATAAATCCTTTATATGCGTGGCAGCGAACTTAATATAAAGGATTTAAAAATATATTCGCCTGTGGAGGACGCGGGGATCGATCCCGCGACTTTTGGCATGGGAAGCGAGGGCGCTACCAACTGCGCTACTCCGCCACGGCCTGTGGAGGGGTTACGCTCTGGGCTCTTATACTGTGACGTTCAGCCAAAGCGATGAATGAGTTCTATTTGAATATATGTAAAATAATTTTTTTTTGCCTAAAAAGTGTAAAATTTTGGGAATTTTTTTTCACGAACATTAATTGTCTGGCACAACGAGTCTGTGTTGAAAATGTCAGCTCGATTGGATCACGGGAAGGGGGTTAAAAAACGACCGAAAGATTTGCACGGTCGTAAGCAAGCAAGCAAGCACGCAAACTTAATATAAAGGATTTAAAAAAGAGTGCAGATATAATGAGAGCAAGAGGTGCCAGCAAAGTTTCGGTACATGTGCAAATAAGCTTTGTATTTCAGTCTTAGCAGTGACGTAAACACACGCAAATCGAAAAAGACTGTGCACATGTGTGGGGGCAAAATGCGCCAGATAAACGTTTTGTGCAAATAAGCTCTGCTTTGGCCTAATAGAGGGGAGTGAAGGGAGGTAACCAAGTTGTAGGTGAGCTGCAAGAGTATTCCACCTGATTATGTGCTCGCTAACAGCACTTGCAGCAAGTCTACGAGACTGTGGCAAGGTCTTTGTTGTTGATGCTTGTATATCATTCATACGGGTACCACCAGGACCGTGTGTGTATCCTGCTGTCCGAGCTGTACCGATACCATCGGCGGTTCTTCCTGATGCTGCGGGGCCTGCACACCTTCACGCACCAGCTGCCTGGATACCCACTCGGCAAGCAGGTGCCGGACGTCACAGGGTCCACTCACCAGTCCCTCCTACTAACAGGCAGAGTGCTCTGAGAAAACACTGCCAAATTTCCAGATGGTTATATCACCTGGGCATCCTGAACCTTCCCAGAAAACTTACCACATTTATTAACACTTCTTTATAAGAGATAAAATACATGATAGGCTGATGTTTCGGGCAGTATTAAATACGTGCGTATTACACTTTTGTATTTTTGCTCGAGCACCATTGCAAACTCTAGATTTGAAGCTTTCGTGACTGCAAGGATTCATACTCTTAGGTTTTTCGGTAAAGTCACGTAGGTAAAAAATAAAAAATAATAGAAATAAAATAATAAATCACGACATTTTGGAGGCCTGACGGAGACTTGTGTTGCCTCCGAAACGTCGTGATTTATAATTTTATTTCTATTTCTATTATTTTTCACCTACGTGATTTTACCGAATTACCTAAGAGTATGAACCATTGCAAACGTTGAAATATGACGTCGTCATCTCGTTATGCGGCTCAGAAGGTGACGTTAATCAGAGGACAAACCTGTTGGAAAGAGTGACAAAATCCATGCGTAAGCATTATATATTTTTTTCCCTTTGAGAAGTGAGATTGAGTGCCGTGCCATGTGAACTGAGCTTTGGCGACGTGCACACGTGTCGCGGTCTGCAGGTGCGGGAGCTGTACTGCAGCGTCCTTGAGTCGCCCGTGTGGGAAAGTGAAGGCTACTCATCCGCCATGCTTCTCCTCCGGTGGGTGTCCTCGCTTCCTGACCAGACATCCCCCCATCGCCGCCGCCACCATCGTTATTATTGTGATCGTCACAGCGTTATGCTTACAATGAAGATAATTCCACTCACCAGGTGCGGAGGGTGAGACCTCTGCTGCCAAATGGCGATGAGCATAGTCCCCATGTAGGGGAAGCCTTCTCCCCTCTAACCACCCGATTGCTCGTGGTAAGATGTTTTTGTTTTTATGAGGCTGATGATAAGGCCCCCCTCCTCGTTGTGGCAACGTCGCGGTTCAACAGGGCCTCCAACTCCTACTCAGAATGGGCATTGATTACCAAAAATGTCTGATGTGGTTGACCTCGAGTGTTTCCATAACTGCCTGGGAGCTGCCGTTGAATCATTGAATCGGGGGGATGGGGCACAGTGGCAGAGGGAGACAATTGCTGTTGATGAGGTGGTTATAGTCCCCGGCAGTAGTGGGGAGTGGTAGTGTCGTGGTTAGCGCGCTGAGCTATGAACCCGGCGACCTGGGTTTGATTAGCGTTCGTGGCCAATAGCAGTGATGATTATCCGAATCAGTCCTGGGCCTTCCCTAGGATGACTTCGCCTCAAATGAGTACCTGGTTCGATGTCTAAACATCGCCATTCAGGAGTCTAAGGTTGGCCAGGTATTGTATTGGCCACCCACCTCCTCGTGTGTCCTGCCGAACTTCAGAGATGTTCACCAACGGCATTTGCCCCAAAAGTCTATTTCGGTTATATAAGGGATCGTTGTTTTTGTTTTACAGTCCCCTGCCGGCTCTAAAACAGAATTGAAACTAGGATTACTGCAGTGACACGCTTGCCTTGCCATGTGCCAGGATGCTCGCCCGGGATGAGCTCTGCTGTCTGCTGGAGAGCTGTGTGGAGCAGCTGTCGGCCGCTCCGACTGATCCTGAGCTACAGGGTGCGGTCACGTCCCTCCAGGGTGTCCTACAAGGCCTGCATGCACTTGGCGAGCCCGGCGGGGCACCCAACGTCGAAGAGATGGCGTTGCCAGCACAAAAAGTGCCAGTGCTTGGAAAGACCGACCTGCACCAGCTGCAGAAGGTGAGTGGCAAGCGCACAAATGTCGCTGTGTGCGAAACTTGATGCACAGTGCTCACCATACACGAGACACTGCAAACCACGTGCTACATACTGCACACAATGCAACACATGCTGTACAACATGCTGTACAAAGCTAAGTATACTCTGTTCAACTACCATACTCCAGGTCAAAACAATTCTTATTCTGTTGCTTTCCATATACTGCTTGATTTTGAAATTCATTCCCATCATCTCATCTCCCAAGTCCTTATAACATTGCTCGATTCAAGAAACATGAACTCTTATCCACTATAAGAGTCACTTGGTGTTTTGGGCCTTTGAGCCTGTGCCTAGCAGGCTGCATAATACTTACCATGCCCGCTGCATAGCACACACGGCTGACGTATCGAGGCACAGGGATGCGCGTCGCATTGGGACCATTCCGTTTACAATGTTCCTGCCGCAGACACTGATGGAGATGCAGGCGGCGAAGAAGCAGCAGAAGAAGTCGAGTCCCTACGAGGTGCTCCGTACCAAAGCTGTGGATCTGCTCGACGATCTGGTCAGGTGGGTAGAGGCCGCAACAGCTTGAAAAGAGTCGCCCAATATGGCACACCAAGCATCCCATGGTGTGCCATATCGTATTGCATGGGGGTTAATTCGGCTTGGTTTACAGTGGGGCATTTCATCTCTATATCTGTGTTCAAGTCGCACTTTCAGATTAGTACACTTTTACTGCGCTCGACACTTGCTTTACTGACATGTGGCCACCTCTAGGTTGGCTCCAGACTTGGTGCAATTAGAAAAGTGCCAACCCTACCTGGTGCGCGTGATCGTTATTTAGTTGATCACTTTCGAGATTGCAGCATCCATTCTGCTGCTGCTAGCACATTCATTCCCTTATTTAATGCTGTCATCCCATGTTGATGTCCGTGTTCTACACCCCCCATACCCCTCACACTTTCCGTTTACCTTGCAGCACTTTAATGTTTAATGTTTTACCAACTTCATCTCTCCTCACCTTTCCCCACATCTCTCATTTATTTTCCTTTAGATCTGTCCCCCCCCCCTTGCCTCTTCCCAATGTCTGCCCCCTGCCCTCACTCTACCCATCCAACCCTCGTCACCCACTTTATTTTAGCAGGTGTTTAAATAATATTTTTTTAACTCGCAATCTCTTCAGGTACTTGAACCCATTTTTATAATACAATACTATTTATAATTACGTTTTATTGTGTGTAAAGTGCTCTGAGATCCCGTGGCATGAAGGACGCTCTATCAAAACACATTCTAATTATTTACAAAAGCACTACAGTATATAGAATCGGTGCATGTATTTAGCTGCAAAGTGGCCACTTTTGATACATTACAAACTGCAGAGCTTTTCGCGTTTGTCAGGCTTGTTGGGAATTCCGTTCAGTTTTACCAACCGATTGTCGAAGCAAACTGCGCGTTGCTTCTGAAACATATTTGCCTTTACACAGGAAATATCTGCAGCCACCTGAAGGGCAGACGCTGCACGAAGTGAGCTACTTTAGCGACTCCTCCACACTGAAGCAGCACCTCAACGCGTCGCCACGTGCAGCCATCCAGATGGCGCTCACCAACCCTTACTACTACCTGCAGGCGAGCAAAAAATTAACCCGTAAAAACAAAGTTTTTCACTATAAATCCTTTATATGCGTGGCGGCTAGAGTCCTCTCGTCCTCTGGCTTGAGATGGCTGCCACCTATGGGTCAGATGATTGCCTGCCACCATTAAGCAATTGGTAATTAAATATCTTTTTTTTTTTCCTAAAAAGTGTAAAATTTTGGGAAAAAAATTTCACGAAAATAAATTGTCACGCACAACGAGTCTGTGTGCAAAATGTCAGCTCGATTGGATCACGGGAAGTGGGTTAAAAAACGACCGAAAGATTTGCACGGTCGTAAGCGCGCAAGCAAGCAAGTGAACTTAATATAAAGGATTTAAAAAGCAGCGGCTCTAGCAGAGCTTCATACGTAGTACAGCAGCTGATCGGCGAAGCGTGGTGGAAGATTCCTGTGATCTGTTGCCACGGAGGCAAAGATTTGGCGGATCTTGTAGATTTGTAAAAACTCAGATCTTCGTGCGCTGCGAGTTGGCTAAAGCATGGCAGTATAGAGAGGTCGGTTCATGAATCTGTGAATGCAGAAAATTGTGTTATCTTTTCGTATGTCTAGGCCTATTTAAGGACTGCTTTTTGACGTTATTCATATGCATTTGCGGCTCTTTAAATATCAAGTTTATCACCGAATTCGAAAGTAAAATGCCTCTTGTTATTTTGGTTGCCGACCCCTGGTCTAGGTTACTCCAGTTTATTTCAACGTACAAAACACTCAGTAAAATTGAATTGGTCAAACAACCTTTTGAAAGAAATACAATTAAAAACTCAAGCTCTCCTGGATAAGTAAAGAACCTTTTTAGTTTTGCCAGTCAATGGGCTGCGTGTTGGTCGAGAGACTGAATGGGATTTGTGCATGTCTAAATCCTGATATACCATAAACGCTGGTGGGTAGCGACTGTCATTGAACCGGGAGCGGTTGAACAAAATTATTTGCTGGTCATGGATTCTGGCTCCCGTGGGTCTCATTAGGCCCTGGTTGCTTCAGCCCCCTAAACTTGGCCTTGTTGGCCCCATGTTGCGCTGCACTGCACTATTTCTGTCTCCCATGTGCACGTGCCCTTACCTCCCTTCCTATTTGATCTTTTTCCCCAATGTAGTATCTCATTTTCATATATCATCTTGAGATGCGGTTACATAAATTGTTGTGGTGATGATGATGATGATGTGCGCCATCAGAACAAGGCCTTGCGCAGCGCGGAGGGCAGCATCACCAACATGGCTCCAGATATATGCATCGCCTATAAGCTGCACCTGGAGTGCGGTTGCATGATTAACCTGTACGACTGGCTGCAGGTAAGCACGCACAAAACAAGTTGCCACCGAATGAAATTGAGGTGTGTGTCAAATGACCAAACTTATTACGTTATTGCAGGAATAGCACTCAGAAGAGACTTAATCCTGGAGAGACGTTTTGGAGTTAAGCCATATGAAGCTGGTTAACTGCTACCACTTAAGTCTGTGGTTGAGCGTTCTGAAATGCACTCCATAGGGATAAATAACCTTTTAGCCAATATTGTCTGTTCCATCAGCAACTATAACAACTTTTGAACATTGGTAATAAATGTCGGTATTGTACGTTAAACGTAGCGACTATAATTATTTAAAAAAACAGCTGATGGCACAGCGAAAGCGAATCGGGGATTAAAGGGTGGAGTTTATAGCCTCTAAAGGAAGCATCATTGAATGGGATTCCTCAACAAATGAGTTGCTGATAGTCTCAAGAGCTCTGAATCATATATAAATAATTTCTCTTTTTTTATGCATTGTCCAATCCAACATCCTTGTTTTTTAAAAGTCCACAATTTTTTTTTAAATCCAGTTTTAAATGTATATTTTTTGTGAAGCTTAAAGTAAGTTTTGTCTATATCACCACTGCTATGTGCCTGCGATCCCAGGCCTTCCAGACAGTGCTGCAAGCTGGGAACGACTCTGAAGAGACCGAAACACCTCACGTCATTGACCAACAAATTCAGTATCCTTTTTAAATCCTTTATATTAAGTTCGCTTGCTTGCGTGCTTGCTTGCGTGCTTGCTTGCTTAGGACCGTGCAAATCTTTCGGTCGTTTTTTTACCCACTTCCCGTCATCCAATCGAGCTGAAATTTTGCACACAGACTCGTTGTGCGAGACAATTAATGTTCGTGAAAAATTTTTCCCCACATTTTACACTGTTTAGGGAAAACAAATTAAATATTTAATTACCAATTGCTTAATACTGGCAGACAATCATCTGACCCATAGGTGGCAGCCATCTCAAGCCAGAGGACGATAGGACTCTAGCCGCCACGCATATAAAGGATTTATAGTGAAAAACTTTGTTTTTACGGGTTATACTTATTACTGCCAAGCACCTGTGGGGTTTGTAGTCCATCATTGTTTCAGCCAAATATGCTCACATGCTTTACACACTGCCTGTTGATTGGCTGCTACAGAAAATGGGTGTGTCCATAGGACGTCCTTTACCAAATCTTGCCAGAGCACACACTTGTGCAGGCCTCACTTTTTCTAGTTTTTCTTAAGATTAGCCGAGCAACTGCATGAAGAGCTCTTGAATCCTGAAACTGTTTACAGGCGAAATGAAGAGTGCTATATGTATGTAGAATTTGGCAAATCCATTTTTTTTACTGGAGACAAATTGAGGATTCATTAGGTTAATACAAAAGCCGAATGGCTACTACAAAGTGCCAAGCTTTTTCATAAATCAATAACAATTTATACCATTCCCGCATGCATAATTCCATGCAATTAAATATATTTTCAATGGTGAATCAACACTCCCTTACATGCCTAATACTGGTAGGGACCTCCTTGTTATACCAGCCCACAGGGGATTACTGTGTCCGTCCGTCGTGCATCCAAAAATGGGAGGGGTGGGGCTGGGTGGGGAGGGGAGGGGCTGGGTGGGGAGGGGCTGGGTGGGGAGGGTGGGAGGGGTGGGGCTGGGTGGGGAGGGGCTGGTCACCCCGTGGTGCCCTTAAAACTCAACGTTTAACCTACTCACGCCGGCTTGTGCCCGCCCTCAGTCGGCCATATTTGCGGAATACACCACGCCGCCGTTGACCTTGGCCATTGACCGAGCAACCCAACGTTCCTACCAGCTCCCTCCGCAGGAATGTTTATTTAATCACGATTAAGGAACTACAGGGGTGGAACAGTGACAATGCACTATGAACCCAGCCACATGAGCTAGATTCCCTGCCATGCTGAACAGTGGTGAGTGATATCTGAAACTATTCCGGGCACCCCCCCTTCACCAATGCACACTGACCAACATCGTGCAGTATGGTCATTACCACCTCCACAACGGAGATGGTAGAGGGAGGCCTTAATCCAGAAGAGGCTTGAGAAGGGGTGGTTGACTTCTAAGATATTGCAACTGTAGGTAGCTACCAGATGGCTAATGGCTCGTCCATAAATGACGTCACGTACCTAGGGGGGGGGGAGAGAGTTTGATAATGTGACGGCACATCAAAATGCTTAACTTTAAATATAGACGACACTTTTTACTTAAATATACGTTTTAATAAATGTTTTCTCCTACATCAGAGTGCAGCGGCACATTAAATACGCACTACTATGACAATAGCTTAACGCGATTTGAAGCATGTTTAAAAAACATTTTGTAGGGGGGGGGGGCAGAGCTTTGTGACGTCATTTGAAAGGGGGGTCTGACTTTGTGACAAGGGGGGGGGGGGGGGTCAACAATCGTCCAAATCATGTGACGTCATTTATGGACGGCCCCTAATGTGTTTGGGCTGCTCCCAATGAAAATGAACTCGGGTGACCAACTAGTTGGCTGCAATATCTACAAAACTTGTTCATACTCTGGTTCACGTTTGGCCGAGCTGTTGTCCTGAATTGTTACGCACCCAGCGCACGGTTCATTCGTGCCGTCTCCGAACTGCAGTTCCTGGGCTTCGTAAAGCCCACCAAGCGCAAGACGGACCATGTGGCTCGTCTCACTTGGGGTGGCTGCTGAGGCATCAATCTTGCTTGGTGGTAATATTGCATACAATGATGGTAATGTCAACAAATCTTTTTCAATTAGTGAATGAGCAGTGGACATGTCGTAGTCGTTATGGTAAATACTAGCCACCAATGAAAATGCAAAGATAATTTAACATGAGCAGACTACAGTGCGTAAGTGTGGATTAGATTTTCAAACAGAATGCAAATTAAATCAAGACCGACTGGACTGGCTTTTATAAAAGACTGCATTGCATGGTAGTGCTGCACCAAGGATAGTAAAGATAATCCAGTTCCCACTGCACTGCAATAGGTTCTTGTAAATATTCGTATGCTGTAAATATTAATGCGGTTTGTGCTTTAATAAACATTTACGATTTGCGCATTGAATTGAGAAGTGTCATAACCTTAACCTTGGAGCTGGTATTTGCAGTCTGCCATCTTGTTCCATGAATATCCATATATATCTTACAAAATGGTGTAAAGACCCAATGCATTTCCATCTTTTAAAAAGACAATTAAAATTAATGAAAAATGTTCTTTGCACGCAGATCCATGTGTTAATACAGAGGTATCAAATTCGAGTAGTAACACTATCAAGAGATTATTTTTAAAGCATTAAATGTCATTTTCCAGGGTCTACCCATACCACAAAGCTGCAAATCATGAGTAAAATGGGTAAATTTGGATACCCAACATCAATGAGACATTTCCACTTGAACCAATGTGTAAATTGGTATACTGCCGACCTATGGCATCAGAAAAGTCAAACAGAACACTTCCATGTTTGGAATACAAAACTACCAGTTGCTATTGCCAGGGTGGAATAGAATGCTTCAATCTTGTGAAAAGCAACCCCACATTCTCACAAGTACACCTTGTTGCTGGGCATAAAACTTGGGCTCGGAGAATAAGGATGGTGTAAGGTAACTTTATTACGGTATGTTTCATATGCGCACATTAACTGGCAGTCCTATGTACAGTACAAAGGCATTGTTACAGGTGCACTAGTTGTTTTGTACTAACATTTACTGGAATTGTCTCAAACAATACTAAATCTACGGGTCTAGAACCCAAGAAATAAAACGAGTCAGTCAACACAACAAACAAAAAGAAAAACAGCAAAGAAGTTCCCAAACCTCATACGTTAAAAAGAACAGGCAACGCAGTCAGTGCAACATCTTAAAGCAATGTCTGTACATGCTAAGCAATTGACAGCAGCTCTAAGATTTATACAATGCACAGCAAGTGTGAGAGAAATCAATATGCTTGCAATAGTAAGTAATCAAATTGTGCCATGCGTTTGCAAGTGAACGTTAATACCAGTCATGTTGGGAAGTGTCAAACACGGTCATTTAGGTTATACATTTTAGTTGGCGAGGCTGCACTTGTGTGGGTAAGGCGGTTTGGCAAAATTTGAACGTGTTCTCCAAGTCAACAAAACTCAAACCCCACCAGCCAAATTAACAAGTCTGGGTCCTGTACCTGGAGCAGGCACAAAGATCATGCGACTTTCATGAAGTCAATAAAGCACCAACCAGGGCAACTCCAAGCCAGAGACATTTGGAAATGTCACTTCATTTAACTGGCCATTAGGGTGTAGTTGTATACATGACCCCAATGTTATAACTACATCTAATATTGATAATTAATTTGCTTGCAAATTCACATCAAGGTCCTTTAAAGGGTGCAATTGAAAAGCAACAGGCATAAAATGCACATTTTTCTCTCCAACCCTGAATTCTTTCATATTGCAAACACCATTTACTTCCGATAGACCAGTTTTCAAACAAAGTACACTGGGACCAATACCCATCCCAGATTTCCATGACAGAAAACTTCTAACACGTAGTTTTCCTTGTGAAAACCTGCTGATTGCTAGAATTCGAAATCAAGGCTGGGTAAGATGTATCTAAAGGCCTGTGATGAAATCCACCCTTTATGCTTTCCCTGGCTGTATTTACAAACCACAACTCCAAGGCGCCTTGTATCCCATTCACACATTACTTGTAAACCCTTTACTTCGTGAGAATCTTTGATTACCCACATTTCTCAACCCTGCTATTCCAATACAAATAGTTAACACTTGCTCCACAAACCATCTTCGCACTTAATGTCTGTTTGCAAAACATCTTGCCTGCATTCCCCAATTGAAAAAAATAATAACAGCTATCGACCAAAAGGAAAAGTAAAGCTCGGAAGTCAGTGTTAGTTACAATTCTTATGAACAGCAATATCACGGAAACTTTTGCTAGTTCTGATGAAGGCAGGGTCAGCTTCCACAACGCAGTGTTACGCACTGATCCCTTTGCACTGTTTTGACTGTTTGGGTGGGCCTCTACACAAGTCAGGCATCTCGACTTGCAGCAGAACAACAGGACAACTGCAGCCTGGCATCTTCAGGATACATCTGTGGAGCAGAAGAAAAGAATGTTATACATCTGCTTGGAATGTATGTGACATTTCACAATGGGGTGGGTGGGTGGTTCGGCCTCTTTCGGGCAGTATAAAGTGTCGTGTAAAAATTGCATCATGCCATTGTAAGAAATTGTGGCGACGCTGTTTTGAGCCGATATTAAACCAAAATAAGGGTGGTTCAGAAATGACAAATAATTTACAACAATTATGGTACTAATAAAATGCTTACTCCAAACATAACAATGGTAATATTCATCTTAACGTTTAAACTCCAATGTAAGTATGAATCAGGAATTTTTAAAATCCGAAAATTACTTGATAAAAGAATAGTGCAAAGTACATAAAGATGGCTTCATTTGTCTATTAGGGCTTACAGCTGGCTGGTCGTTCGCCATACTTCCGCATAATCTGGTCCTGGGTGAACTTCACAAACCCCTCGTATTGCTCTGAAATATAACAAGCACATACACAATAGCAACATCTAAGCACAGCAGACATCTTCATAAAAGTCGCTGTTTTACCACATGCAACTATTTGGCAAATTACTTGGAAAAAAAAACATCAATTCACTGCTGTGTTGTATAATTGATGTATTTTTGGGTTGCACCGCACGTATTATTCAGCACGATATCCAACGTTTCGCTCCATATGCTGGGGGAGCTTATTTAGGTACTCCCAGCATGTCAGCAAAACGTCAGTCATGCCAACCACAGACACACCGTACAACCAAAAAAAACACATTAAAGACCATAAAAGACAATTGAAAATGGGCCGCCATCCCTGGTGAGTGCCATGAATTACCTGCGAGCTTGGTGGACAATATCTGGTCGTACTCCTGGCGGATGTGCACCTCCCGCTCGCGCAGCAGCCCATCGCAGATGAGCCCCACCTGGCGCAGCGTGAACAGAGGCTGCTCACGTCGTCCACCGTCTCCACTAACGCTCGCTGGCGTACAGAGAAAGAAAACGCATTTGAATGTCAGCCTCACTAACACTCCGTTACTCGCAAGTATAAGTGTAATCATGGACTGGGGCCGGTATTCACGGATAATTGAATTGTATGCATTTAAAATCTGAAAGCAATTAAGCATAATGAAATTTTATCTTTGGAACTTTTGACAAATAAATAATTTTTTTTATTGAAACATAGTGAAGTGCCAGCTGTAATACACTCTTATTTCCATGCAAATATTAAAGCCCGTTCTTGTTTCCAAAGCTTCTGCCTTCATTGTATACAGCACTCCGTAAAATACCAAATTACATCAACATTTTATCCGTTTACAAGAGTGCACAGCACATCACCGCTCACCATCACGCTTGCATTGCAAAATTGATGGTAATTGCAGATAACTCCTCGTAAGGCTGATGGTTTTCACATAACATTTCAAAATACAATTTTAAGAGCATGCCATAAAACTGGCTGGAGTGTGGATGCGTGCATTAACTTAATAGGCTCAGCTGCTGCGGCTCTTCAATATGCAGCTGATGCTCTTTTGTATTTCGTCTCGAGTTCAGACATACCAAAATTTCATCAGACCATCTGACGTGCAAAGCAAGGGTGGGGAGAGTACGAGTATATGCTGCAATGTCAAATGGCTGGCATGCCAGGAAGCCTTAATATGGGTTTGTATGGGAAAGGCATCGTACATAGAGTAGCGTGCAATATTTGGAGGGTTCAATTTAAATTCCACAAAGCAGAGTGAATTGGAGCCAGCATGCGAATGCTCGCTACTGCTGACAGACTTAAAGCAAGCTTGCAGGAGATGCTTGCAATCGTTACATGGTGCTTGATGGACAATGCCGCAGCCAGCGCTGGGACTGGCTGAGTATGCTCCGCACTGCGGAACCAGCGTCGATCCCAGGGCAAGGAGGGGGGGTTTATTTGGGGGCACAAACGGCGTGGCACTGGCCGTGGCTCATACTGGGAGAGGCGGGGCCGCTCTGCATGGAGGCGCTGTCTCCAGCGTGTGCATCGGGTGGCCCGTCCACTTGCAGGCGCCGCTGCATGCGCGAGTACTCCTGCTTCAGGTTGGCCAACACTTGCTCTGCACACCAGACGCACCAGAAGCAGTCCAATGCAGTGATGTGCAAGAATGCGACATTTTGTAGAAAGCCAAATTTACAATCAAGGCCAACCAGCTCACGCTGTGATGTATCTGGTCACACCACTACATCTATGCTGCCAGGCACACATGGGCATGCATTTCGTTCTAACGCTCGAAGCCTGTGGCATAAAGAATTACCATCAGGAGCTCATCCAGCTAAATACCAAAAATCTCGACGTTTATAGAACGAGAAAAAAATCCAACGAGCCCAGCTTCACAGCGGTCATTAACTAAATAATACTAACACTGAGAAAACCGACAGCCAAACATCATCCGAGCTCCAACAATAGTAATGGGGGCTGCATTTTACACCACACAATTTGTCACGGCAGCAATCACTGGCTGCTATGGCGACTCATGATATGCACTGTAATGCGACATGGGGGAGTGGCAGTGCAGGTGCGGTATGAGGGCAAGCCAGAGTTGTTTTGGCTAACTTTACGTGTCTGGTTTAATTACGGCACAGCATCAGCACGAGTGCCTATCAATAGTGTTGGATCCACAAACCTCTCCTTTCTTAGACTACTGATTAAAAAGTTAAAAATAAAATGTGTGCAAGGCTATTCCACCACCCGGCCCTTTCTGTATGATTTGTATGCTTGTATAAATATCATGGGGCGGCAGTGCTAATACATGCAAAGGTTCTGCTTTCAGTGTATACAAACCCCGGTGAACAGGAGGGGGATAGAATATGGAGTAGCCAGGGGGGTTAATCATTCACTCCACAAGCACACTCAAAATGGGTGCTGTGTTGTCAAAATATTTTCTTTTTTTATACCTCTCATTTGGATTCGGAGAATTTCTAAAGCATACAGAGCCACTGCGATAAGCTCGTGAAACATAATGACTTCACCAATACAAGGCAACTTGGGACCCAGCCCATAAAACATTCCAGCAGACATTGTGCAGATCCCTTTCAAAAGCCAACAACAAGAAGAGCTGTTTAAATCCTTTTGAGCACATGCTACAGTTTTACAAACGTTACAATGATTTACTCTTTGGTTCTTTCGGTAAAGTCGCGTAGAAATATAAAATAATATATTTATTATTTACCGAAAGAACCAAAGAGTAATTCCTGCTGTCACGAAAGCTCCAAATCAAGTTTGTTACAATGAATGTTATTTCTTAGCTTATCATTCCCTAAGCGACATAAAATTACAACGTACTGTAGAGTAATGCGACCCATTTCAAGGAAACAGCCCTATAAAGAGGGCTTCCTACAGTATGGCATGTACTTCATTTCGACAGAGCTATACATTTCCACCTTTGGGTATCCGGAGCGACAAATTTCTGCCTGCGTATTAATCTTAAAAATACGTGTTGGTATGTAGAGATAAAACGAGCGCTCAAACTAAATAATTGTTCCAAGAGACCAGGCCCTCAATTTAGTGTTGCACCAGTACCAAATCTTAACTCCACACCCTATTTCGTGTGGCATCTGCTGCGTATTGCCATTTCATAACACGCATCAGTACTGCACAATCATAAGAGCAGAAAGGGCTTTAATGGAAAAACACATCTATGCCGCCCTGTCTTGCCACATAAAGACTTAAATGTAAGATTGCTCCTACCAACGGAACTCAACGTCAGGGCTATAATGACGCTTGAAACATTTCAAAAGGTTAAAAGTGAAGGTCCATTTTTAAATGAGCGCGTATCCAGCACCAAATAAGGAATATTACCACGTAGGCTTGAGTATAATCTATTGTTACTCGGGAGGAAAGGAATATACTATTACCGGTGCATTATTGTGCATATACTGACGCCGAATCAGACGCTTAAATCACGCCCTTACAATCGGGCGATCGTAGGTTTAAATTGAGTCGCACTAATCAGGTGAGAAGATACGTCTCTTTGAAGAAATGTAACCACAAAGACTTGTCAAGGCCACATCTTGTGTGTACACGACGGGGGTTGGTGGCGCTATGCAAGCCACACAGCCATTTTAAAATTCACAAGGAGACTCAATAGCATTGTTATTGCTGCTGCTGCTGTGGCTGAGATAGAAGAAGCCACGATACTAATCCAGCGGCCATTTAAAACTTTGGCTAAGACCAAGAGGAAATGTGGAAATGATGGCCAGTGTAGATACACTGATAGCGGCGAGCTCCTCTTCTTCTTCTTCCGAGATGGTTTATCTCTGGCGATGATGAGCACAGGGGCGTGGGTCCTGTTTGTGAGCCCACAGCAGCGTCTCTACGCCGGGAGCCATACAATTAAAAACACATTGCGAACACAACAAATTTAAACAAAAGAGTGTAACGCCGAGTTGACTAACATCCCTTCCGCCACGGCCTTCTGTGTCATTGTTGAATCTGCTTGGCACAAATGGGGAAAATGCAGGCGACGGGGAACGTATTAGCGTTGCAATCAATCATTGCAGCACCATGTTGGGTGTAGAATTTAAATGCTTCGCCGGCCATGGCGTTTAAAACCGTATTACCCTCCCACAGTCATTCACACGCGCATCAACGTTTTAAATTAGATGTTAAACGTAATTGAGCGTGTGAATTAAGTCTAAGGCATTTTTACAGGATTTACACAGTAAATGCCGCACCCTTGTTTAAACGCCCATAACGACCAATTACTTTGGTTGCTTCTCGGCACATACACCAGCAAAACTATCCGATCATAACGATGATTTTTTTTAAATTATAAAGTAACTTGACAAACTATTCTACAAATAGCCGGCGACGCGAATTAAAGGCCGGGACCGAGCGAGGCCTAGCAAGACGGATGGATCCTCGGACTCGCCTAGTAGGCCCTACCGCCCGGAGCTGCACTTACCCGGGGTGAGGCGGGCAGCGGCAGCGGGGGAGTGGAGGTGGTAGTTGTGGCTCTCGGCAAGCGATGGCGTCGGCTCGGCCTGCAGGTATTTGCCCGATGAGGTGGGCGACGGCGGCGCCAGCGGCGTGCAGCGCCGCCGCTTCGGCGACTGCGACGAAGGGCTGAGCAGCGGCTCGAAGTCCAGCTGCCGTTTGAGGGTGGCACCGCACGCCATGACGGCGACGGCCGGGTTTTTCCCTTGAGCGGCGGAGCGAGCGAAGAGTCTCAAATACCCGCTCCTAGCGGGGTGATCGGAGCAAAATGACGGCGGCGATCGCCTCGCGGGACTCTCGGCGTTGGATGCGAAGAGGAAATGGACGACGGGAGGCGGCGGGACGCGGCCGATGGGTGCGGATTGCGCGGAGCGGGCGGAACCAACGATCAACGGCGGAGAGACGCGATCTTCAACATGGCGGCCTCTCGCCCGGCGTGAACAATGACAAGGCCAGGGTCACCATGGCAACGACCGCATTATTTACCATAAGCCCACAAGCCCCGCCCCCCCCCCGTCCGGTGATTTTTTTTGTTTCCCGCACCCGATGTTTGTTAAAGTTCATTTATTGGGTATAGCCCTGTGAGCCATTCGGCTCTTGAATCGGGTGCAACCGCAACAAACAAAAAACAAAAACATGAACAAAAAACATCTTAAAGTGACTATGTGACTAAGTGCAAACATAAAATCCAAGAAAAGACAGCAAAATATTGCAGAAAAAAACACCGTACACCAACGTTACACCTACTTTGCCTGCGCGATTAGTCGGGTACGTGTCGTCGATTAATCGATAAATTAATCGATACGCGCGCATTGGATTTTTTTGTGCGGTTGATTAATTGGGGCCCCTTTGAAATTATTTTTTCAGCTGTTTTTGATTAGTTGAGTTATTTAACTGATAATCGGTAGAGTAATCGATTACCTAAATAAGCTTATAGTCCTACTGAGCACAAGCAGCGGCCCAAAACACTGCCTTAATGCAAGGAAGAAACATCATACACATCCATGGGTTTTGTACGTTTGGCCTACCAAAAGTATTTCATTTTCCCCGTGAATGTGCACGACGTACTACCTGATATGAGATGGATCATTTTCTTCGTGAATGTACATTAATGATGAGGGGTGACAAGCTGGCCAAATATGTCATCATTAGGATTAACTATAATTCAATGCAGAGCTGAATCAATGGCTTCCTAAGCCACCCGCATCTCATCATCCCTTCTAGCGATGTTTTCCTGCATAAGGTCAAATACTTTTCTTGATCAAAATTGTCTTTACTCTATATTCCATGTGTTTGTCTATGAGCATTACTAAAATTCCAAGCACTTTTCATTTTCTACGTCATTCGTTCATGTCCATAATTGCGATCCATATGTGAATAGAAAATATCTGTCGTATGAACATATATTTGAAAATCAGAAAGTTAACTTCTGTAATATAAACCCTAACTGCAGAGAGAATGAAACAATCTTTGGTATCATTTAGATGTTATTGCAGCAGCAGATCGATTGTAACATTTAGGACTAGGTGACAAATGATCCTGATGAGTATTGGTCAGAAGATTGTTCACTCCTCCAACATTGGCTAGAAATCAGCGATTTTTTTCCTCAGGAAAAATATTCCAATTTTAGATTGTGATTGAGGGCTGTTAAGCAAAGCATCCGATGCATACAGATTTGTCTCTGCTCTTATAGATTATGTATATATTTTTATATAATCAAGCTTCCATTAGAATTAGAGATTTTTTAAATTGGTGGTGACACACCTCCAAAAGTATTCTCCATTCATGCTATCACGTTTCTTCTCTGTTTCTGTGTAAGATATGGAACCATTACTTTTACAATATGTACTTACAAATTATTTGGGTCTTTCGGTATAGCCACGTAGATAGCTTTCCCAACGGTTGGGGTGATAGCTTTACGGATTGTGTAGTTTGAATATCCATTAATCTTGAGGGCTTGGTGTACGTGTTCCAGTTCACTAGCTAGGTGGGAATGGTCAGAAATACATCGAGCTCTATGGTGTAGAGTTTTGATGAGGGATTCTTTTGGGTTGGATGGTGGTGGGAGTCAGGTTTTAGGTAGGCATCTGTATGGGTGGCTTACCTGTAGACAGTGTCCCATTACGCCATCTGTTCTCTTTTATTAAAACATCCATGAATGGTAACTTGCCATCCTTTTCCACCTCCATGGAGAATTTGATGGTTGGGTGTATGTAATTGATGTGGTTGAAGAATTGGTCCAGAGCTGGTAGGCCATGTGGCCAGATGACGAACGTGTCATCTACGTACCTCTTCCAATAGGAAGGACGTAGGGTGGATGCCTGGATGGCATCTGTCTAAAAAAAAATCCATGAAAACATTGGCTATAACTGGAGATAAGGGAGAACCCATTGGGGTACCTTCAACTTGTTTGTAGAAGGTTCCATTCCAGGTGAAGTAAGTGTTGGTGAGGGCAGTGTCTAACCAGCAGAGGTGGGACAAAGTCATTGTTATGCAAGTCCAAGTCGAGTCTGAAGTCATCAAATTTATGACTCGAGTCTGACTCGAGTCCAAGTCACATGACTCGAGTCCACACCTCAGAGGTGGGACAAAGTCATTGTTATGCAAGTCCAAGTCGAGTCTGAAGTCATCAAATTCATGACTCGAGTCTGACTCGAGTCCAAGTCACATGACTCGAGTCCACACCTCAGAGGTGGGACAAAGTCATTGTTATGCAAGTCCAAGTCGAGTCTGAAGTCATCAAATTCATGACTCGAGTCTGACTCGAGTCCAAGTCACATGACTCGAGTCCACACCTCTGCTAACCAGGGCCGGTACATCAGCATTCAGTCCTTGTTGAACCAAACCATCGATGATTGCAATGGTGTCAGGAACAGGAACTTTGGTTAACAAAGATACTACATCGAAACTGACAAGCAAATCACGTGGAGATAGTGAGATGTTTTTAATTAACGATACCAAGTGAGCTGAGTTAAGTACAGCTGAGGTGGTCTTACCAGTGAATGGTTGTAGGGTCTCAGACAGAAATCGGGGCAGTTTGTACGTAGGTGAGTCAATGGTGGAGATGATAGGCAGAAGTGGTGTACCTTCTTTATGGATTTTGGTAAGCCATAAAATCTGGGTGGCATAGCAGCAGAGGGATTTAAGGAAAGCCGCTTGGTCGGTTCGATTAAAGATGTCGAATCAGTGATGATATTGTTGGTTTTTGTAACCAGGCGGTTGGTGGGATCTCTATTGATTTTGGTATAACTACCATCTTTAACACCATTGGAACCTCATTTGCCAGTAAAAAATTATGATAATTGTTTTTTTACCCTTCTATCTGACAACAAAACTGACACATAGGCTCTAAGGAAAGCTGTCTCAGGTGTGGGCCAATCAACTTCAAGGACAGTGCATATATTATCAGAGTTATGTTTTTTGTTTGCATTATGACTGCAGGTATTGTGGTCTATGCAAACATGACTCCTTGTAAAAAAGGTGTCAGTTTTGTTGCCAGATAGAAGGGTAAAAAAACAATTATCATACCATCATTAAGTAGGTCCTGATTTTTGTTGTTTGTGGGGTTGTCCATGATGACAGTGGCATTGCCCTTGTCGGCTGAGAGGATGACCATGTCATCTTTCTTTTTTAGTTGAGAAAGCTCAAAGCGCTAATCCTTACTGATGTTGCTAATAGGTGTCTTAGCATTTTTGAGGATTGCAGCGATTTCCGATCTTGCCACGTCTGCAGGAATGTGTCCCAAACCCTTAAGGGCTACGTAGCCCTTGGGAAATGATATCATCAACTGGTATGTGTTTCGGGGTGACTGCGAAATTCAACCCTTTAGCTAGAACCGATTTTAGGCTGTCGGAAATTGGGCTGTTACTCTGATTGATAACAATCTTATCACCGTCTAACTTTTTAATGTGTGGATCTGGCTTCTTCTTGGACAGAAGGTTGAACTTGGCAATCAGGTTATCTTTGCACTTGGCTGACATTGAGGCGGCTGACGAGGCAGTCATGTTATCTACATGTTCCCAATCATATGTAGACATTTTTTCTGTCACTTACAAATTGAGAAGAAAATAAGAGGGTTATTAGAGCTTCCACAATGCAATATCCCAGAAACATTTAATAATTTTACTTTTAATGTAAAGAAATACCTGTTGATTAATTGAAGGGGTTTTCTGTTGTTCAGTAGCTACAATTATGTAACTATTCATATGCATATTAAGAACAGGTCGTGAGAAAACATTTTAAAAATGTAATTCTCATCAGACCGCATTGTGTAGTCTCCAATCCCTATAAACAATCTGGTCTATGTGTGTTATGAAGGGCCATTTTATTTATTTTTAAGGTTGTGGTATTTACGAATGCCTTGAGTTGTTTGTTAATATTGCTTGTGCACCACTGCCAATGCAACATCACCAAAGTCATTTGTGGGTTATATATAAATGAAGCACTTTATATTTTTTTAAATAAAATACATGTGATGGTTCAAGAAGAACAAAAAACCTCTTTGTAGTAATGAAATGTAAATTTGGAATGATTAATTTGAAATATGATTTATCTGTGATGACTTTTTAACTGGCAGTTGTTTTTGTCAGAAAGTAATTATACACTGTCAGTGCAGAAATGGACGATGAAAATTGCTTTTACACTTTTAATAAAGGCGTGTAATTTCATGCAGCTATCTGGCCATGAATCATTTTGTTAAATTAAATTGTGTAATTGAGTTGTGATGTTGTTTTCGCTAAATTTGACACCGATGGTTGTCATAACTTTGTTCACATTAACTTGGACCATTAACAATCTTGTACAACTTAAAGCACGCGTTACACGCTGCCACTCATTAAATCACACAATACCAGACGCTTGATGTCAGGACAAATACTTTTCAAACATTCATCATTTGGACAGTTTTTTTTTATTACTTTTATATCCAAACTCAAAGTAATTCAATGTAAAAGCCAGCCCAGCCTTGAGGCTGATTGGGATTAATCTCCCATGCATAGCGTAATTGTATTATCCTTAAAAGTTTCCGACTAAAAGTAGCTGGTAACAGTGTGAATATTTTGCAGGAATCGTGGGGTTTTAAGTCCTCTTGTGAAGTCCTCTTGTGTTGGCACCATAGTTGAAATAGTTCCTTCTTTATCCCATGGTATTGATTACATAGGAGCATTCTATAAGACAATACCAAAGTACACTCCAATACTATCAGACTTTTATATCCACCTAAATGCAGAAGCATTCCCATTGGACGTTATAATGGCAGTCATCGCAAGTGTTTGGTGGATTTCTGAACTGCAGCACTGAGAAATGGCAATAGTTTGGGAAGGTTGTCATCCAATGGATTGATGAAGACGATGAATTGCAACGGCATCTGAAGACACCGTACACAAATATGGGAAATTTGCATCACAGGGAGCACCAAAAAAAAATAGTTGTATAAATGTTTATGGTA